GTGTACTATTTATTTACATTCTTTGATCTCAATATACTAAAATAGACTATAGATTGAAGGTTAATGGAAACACGTAAACAAAAGGGACGCTACTCTAAATCTACGTAAATACTTATATGTAACAATCCTAACAACTAGTAACTACTATTATGAAGAACTTAGTAAGAAGTAACTAGGACTTTTACTAGGTAGATCAAGGGTCTTTGCTCGTAACTTATATATTACATATGATGAAGCCTTCAGCTTTTGTTATTCATATAGCCTAGAACATAGCAAGACATAAATAATCAAATCAATAATGTTATGTCAAAGCTATGATTTTTATTCGGGGGGGGGGGGGGGGGGGTCTCAGGTTATTGTTTAATTTATTTTTTAAAATGTAAGCTGACATTAAGCAGTATTTAAATGTATCCTAGAGACTAGTTATATAGGACTAGAAGCCTACTAATGTCATTAGAGTAATTTTTAATTAATTATTTTTATTTCTGACTTAGTAAAGTTGCGTCCGCGAGTATGTTTCTCTTTTTGGCTTCAAATTCCTCTTTTTAGGCATAACTGTTCCTACTTTTGGCTGACAGGGGTAGGCATGTCTGATATTGATGGCTTCTAACTGCAGCGGAGAGCGCTCATTTTCCAAAATGAAAAAGATTAAAAGCGATCTTAGAGCACTATGGGACAGCAGAGACTTAGTATGCTCTCACTTATGAGCATAGAAAATGACATTGTAAGCTCGCTGAATTATACAGAACTAAAAGAAGAGTTTGCTATCAGGAAAACTCGAAAATGTTCCCTATAAAAGTTACTTGGTCTTTAGTTCTAAGTAAAAAAGAAATGAAATAAATGTATGTATTCATAATTTATTTTGCATTAGTAAATAAATAATTGTTACTTTAAATGCTCGTACTCTTATGTCTCAATGTATTTTAACATTACATTAAATGTTACATTTTTTGTCTATGCCATGGCTTCTGTTAACCTTTAGTTTATTCCATTCCACCTGTATTTCTAAAGAGAAGAAAATAAAGTATACACTACTATTTAAATAACTATAAAGAAAAACTTTATTTTTATTTTATTTTTACTTTCTCGTGTATACGAAGTATAGAGAAAGTCTTGTAAACGTGCACACAAAAAAAATCGAGATTTTTTCAAATCTCGACGTTTTACACCTCCCTGATACGAAAAAAAAACCATAATTTTGCAATCTTGTCCGTGTGTCTTTGTGTGTGTGTGTCTGTCTGTGTGTAAACACGATAACTTGAGTACCGTTATAGCTAGATTGATGAAATTACATATATAAGTATTTTATCAAAATCGTAGATCCCTATAAACTTTTGAGCGATTTCCGATTACCGGATGTGGTACTTTTTCTACTTTGAATTTTTCAAAAGCCTATAACTTGAGTACTATTTCAGATAGATAATGAAATTTCACATGTAAGTAAAAGATCTAATTCTCTACCTTCTGTTAAATTTTGAGTAATTTCCGTTGACCGGAAGTACTAATTTACGCTATTTCCGATTTCTCAAAAAACGCATGTAAATTTTTAAAGTACTAATAATATTGCACACTATTATGCACATTTTATTAGGCGTTCACTTGGTGTGCAATTCTTTTTTTTACGAGATTTTATTCTATTATAAAAAGTTTAAGTAATTAAAAATGGATTACAAATAGGCCTATTGTCTATGTCCTGAGTTGCCATCCCTCGTAGTTTTATATTAGAATATTCGAGAAAGTTTAGGGGAGATCACTCCCGGTTTATTTTAGTTCCCTTTTCAAACCTGACGGTCTATAGGGCAAGTGAAGTTGAGTTCACTTGTTTCTGTGACCTCGGCATATGAAGAGATAGTGTGGTCAGCACTATGCCCAGCCGCCTTTACTTTCCCTAACGCGAGTTAGGTACCCATCAGAGTTGGGTGGACTCAGGGACGGTCTACTGACTTGAACCCGGATTCGAACTCAAAACTTACGGGTTAGCAGTCCAGCTCTCTACCGCTAGGCCACTCCGTCCCGAAAAACTTTATTAGGCATCCAATTAAGTCAAATTTAATGTCAGATTGCATTGTCTTCATGTCTTGACCCACGTGAAAACTTTGAACCGTATCTGTCAGTTAGAAGTGTCCGAGTTTTCGCTCAGGCGTTTCGATCTAGACATACTGACGACAGACAGACAGAGACAGTGAGTTAAATAAAAGCTTGTCTATATCCCGAGTTGCCATCCCCCCATAGTATTATATAAGAATATTCGAGATCGTTTAGAGGAGATCACTCCTGGTTTATTATAAAAACGAATAGTATTAAGTTACTATATTAAATGGTAAAGTAATTATTGATCTGGTTGAATTTGACAGTTACAATTAAATATGTCTTTAAGAGAGTGTAGTTCGTGTGTCTTAATTAATATTCCATTATGTCAAGTTGTTATGTTTTTACAAGGACTACAAAAATGATTGTGTTGCGTTTCTTGCTCTTGGTTGTGTTGCGTATATTTTGTGTTGTAGTTTGTTTTGTGTTGTAGGCCTGCATGGTGTTTTTACTTTCTCGTATATACGAAGTATAGAGAAAGTATTGTAATCGTTCACAAAAATAACATGAACTTTTGACAGTTTTCACAGTTTTACTCCTCAGTCCTTCATCACATCCGGAGTATAAAGGACTTATTTTAATCAGGCAAAAATTATAAATACAAATATATAAACATTTTGGCGTTTCATGCGTTATCGAGTCGTAAAAACTGGACTTTGCAATTCTGTCCGTTGTCTCTGTGTTCGTGTGTAAACACGATAACTTGAGTACCGTTACAGCTAGGTTAATGAAATTTCGTATATAAGTATTTTATCTAAATCGTAGATCCAGATCAACTTTTGAGCGATTTCCGATAACCGGAAGTGGTACTTTTTCTACTTTGAATTTTTCAAAAGCCTATAACTAGAGTACTATTTCAGATAGATAAATGAAATTTCACATGTAAGTAAAAAATCTAATTCTTTACCTTCTGTCAAATTTTGAGAAATTTCCGTTGATTGAAAGTACTAATTTACGCTATTTTCGATTTCTCAAAAAACGAATGTAAATTTATAAAGAACTAATAATATTCCGCACTATTATGCACGTTTTATTTGGCGTTCACATGTGTGCAATTCTTTTTTCTAGGAGATTTTATTCTATTTTAAATAGTTTAAGTATTTATAATGGATTAAAATTCATGTCTATATCCCGAGTTCTCATCCCCTGTTTTTTTTTTATAAAAGAATATTCGAGAAAGTTTAGGGGAGATCGCTCCCGGTTTATTTCTTTTGTTTTCGGCAGAGTAATGTTTGGATGTATTATTCATATATATGGCGCGTTTTTCTCGACTCGACGCTCTCCCTAACTGGAAAACCTATATACGCCTCTGCTCCACCCCGCTCCCCACCGTCATACATCGTCACATATAGCCAGACTCCCCCCCCCCCCCTCCCAAATGACGTTAGCCCTCAGACTACAAACCTCCTCATAAATTCATGCTTTAACCTATTTTTTTTTACAAAGTTTATCCATCGGGAGACAACAAATCACACCAAAATATGCTTTCACTCAGTTTGGGCTTGAAATTATCGTGTTTTTTTTTAAACACCTGTGTCTCATTTAAACCCACCTTAAATTGTGAAACTGTACCTTCATTACTAGCAAGCCTGTCAAAAGTGTTTACATAAAGAGGCTTAATGTAATATTGTGTTACGAGCCGACCCGCTGCGTATCATACGCCGCTATTTAGTTGTTTTTTTTTTCTACTTTTCAGTAATTTATAATTTGTGAATTCGACAGTACCAATGCTGCCGTTGAAAATATTTGCTTAAAAACACTACCCCCCCCCCCCCCCACGTGAAAGCAGCCTCCTCTTAGTTACCTCCTCTAAGTTTAAAATCGTTTCAAACTAAATTATCTGCCCCTAATAGCCGTCACCAAACCCGTCTCTATGATTGTAAAATGTAAACAGAGTGAACACCGCTCACCAGATCATGTGGGGTGGGGGTGGTAGTGATAGAGAGGAAGAGAGGGGACTGCAAAGGCGCGCTTGCAGCTTGTTTTCTAACTGATCCCAGAAGAGAATTATATATATAGATGGTTTCCCCTGTTTATTTTATTTTAGCATTTATATTAATAATTTTGAATACATTCCTTTTTAAAGTTATATCATTCTTTAGTATACCTTATTTTAATAATAATTAAGAGAAGAAATTGCGTTTTAATTTTCGTATTGCAAAATTATTTAAATGAGCTTTTTGGGCACCCCAATTAGACTATAAAAAAGAGAAGCGATAAGTCATGGAAGAGGTTTGAACGATTGCCTATCTTTTACACTACAGCTCGTGTAGGTTTTTTTTTCTTTGTCTATGAAACTATGTGTGTTAGTTACTGTAGAACAATTGATGCTATGGTAGATCTCTTGTTGTTGTTATTTACAAAACCACTAGTCTATTGATGAGGTTTTTTATTTTTATTTCTTTTGGTCGGATTTTGGGGCTTATAAACGCCCCCCGCTCCCAGTGGCGGATTAATGGGTTACTGAAAGCGAAAGGGCTGAAGTCAGAGGCCCCCGATTTTTAGGGCCCCCAAATTTACCGCTTAATAATTGGTTTTCACTACAAAAAACAAAGTTTTAATGTTTGCATCACCAGCTTCAATTTTTTTTTTCAAATTATCTGAGACGTGCACAAACTTAAGTATAAATACCACCTATCATCACCTCCTACCCAGACATGATTGGTTGCGCTTCTTAGCAATTGATATCCTGCAACAGTTTTTTAATTCGGTGCCACAAAATGGTATAGAAAACAGTTAAAACTATGTGTAAAGTTACTTATTTTCGTAACTTTCAAAATGAACTTTAAGATGATTTTTTATCACTTTTGGCGTCCCCTTTATCGTCGGCGGCCGCCCCACCCGCCCTTCCCTAGCTACGCCACTGGTAGTGACAACTATGTAATCATATTTAAAATATATTTTTTTCACAGATTATTCATCTGGATGAAGGATTATTCTTTGTGCATTAACGTTTGCATGTTTAATTGGAAGAAAAAAATCAAGCCATTCATAAAACTTAAACTCAACGTGGATGAACAACCAGGGTGATTCATAATTGTCAGGTATCAGTTTTCTTATAATTGGTCTAGAGAAGAAAAAAAAACGACCCCATGCTAATTACTCCCATCACTGTGAATATGTGTTGTACATGTTATTGGTAAAGTGGCAAAATTAGCATTCTATAGAATGCTTGAAAAGAGATTACAGAGTGCAAAATAATCACATTTCGCTAAGCATTCAATAGAATAAAAAACAGGATGATCAGAAAATGCAGAATAAGTTTATTCTTTCCAAAACATTTTCTATACCTAGCCCTAGCCAAAAGGCTTCACGAAAGATGCGGGGGGTGCCGAGTGAAACCAAGGCAAATTGCAAAATTTACAGAAGAAAAATTATTTAGACAATTCAATGGACACCAGCGAGTTGACGAGAATCGTTCCGTAATGTTGTGGATGATGACATGGAATAATAAACCGGGAGTGATCTCCCCTAAACTTTCTCGAATATTCTTTTATAAAACAACAGGGGATGGGGACTCGGGCTATAGACATGATTTTTAATCCATTTTAAATACTTAAAGATTTAAAAATAGAATAAAATCTCGTAGACAAAAGAATTGAACACCAAGTGAACGCCAAATAAAAAAGTGCATAATAGTGCGCAATATTATTAGTACTTTAAAATTTACATTAGTTTTTTGAGAAATCGGAAGTAGCGTAAATTACTACTTCCGGTCAATGGAAATTACTCAAAATTTAACAGAAGGTAGAGAATTAGATCTTTTGGGCGCCAAACCGTGTATTGACGAAAGTTGTACCCTATATGGCGCCGCCCATAAGAAACTTTAGTTTTCTTTTTCGCAGAAATATTCTCGGGAGTATTCTCATCTTCTCCCTAAAGTTTCATGGCACTCGGATGAACCGCATCCGAGTTTTATTTTTTATATACCGTGTATAGAGAAAAAAATCGCCCCCCCCCCCTCGGGGGGCGCCGCCCTTGCAATATTAAAAAATATGTTTTTTGCAGAACCCTACCATTGAGTGATCTAATCATCTCCCCAAAGTTTCATGGTACACGGATGAACGGTGTGAAACCGAAATAGACTTTTATTTTTATAAACCGTATATAGAGAAAAATTCCATCATTCCGTGGCGCCGCCCTTGCGAAATTAAAATTTTTTTTTTTTTTACAGAAACCTTCCCTGGAGTGTCCAAATCAACTCCCTCAAAGTCTCATGGCTATCGGATAACGGTGTCACACCAAAATCTACTTTTATTTTTATATATCGTATATAGAGAAAAATCGGACCCTCCCGTGGCGCCGCCCTTGCGAAATAAAAAATTATTTTTTTACAGAACCCTTCCCCAGAGTGGTATAATGAACTCCCCAAAGTCTCATGGCTATCGGATGAACGATGCCAAGCCAAAATCGACTTTTATTTTTATATACCGTATGTAGAAAAAAAAAACAAATATTTTTTTTTCGCAGAAACCTCCCCAAGAATATTCTCAACAACTTCCCAAAGTTTCACGGCGATGTGATGAGAGGTGTAGTAATGCATAAAGGGCACACACACATACATTGCTTTTTATATATATAAGAATATATATATATATATATATATATATATATATAGATAGATAGATAGATAGATAGATAGATAGATAGATAGATAGATAGATAGATAGATAGATAGATAGATAGATAGTTAGATAGATAGATAGATAGATAGATAGATAGATAGATAGATAGATAGATAGATAGATAGATAGATAGATAGATAGATAGATAGATAGACAGACAGACAGACAGACAGACAGACAGACAGACAGACAGACAGACAGATAGATAGATAGATAGAAAGTACAAATGGACGATTCCGAAGGTGAAGAAGAAAACAAAGGGGTTGGGAGGTGGGCGACATGGCTTAATTTAAACTTTTCAGTAAAAAATAAAAACTAGCGATGTTTTCATCAGATGCTACCAAGCTCATTTACATTAGCAGCCATCTTAATTAATTTTTTGGTAAAATTATAGTTAGATATAGAGATTCAGGGGAAACCGCTCTAACTTACAGATGGCCGCTGTTTATATGGTGAACGGAAAAAAAACCAGAAAAAAGTCAGTTTTTGCTAGGAAAAAAAGTCACAGAAAAAAAGTCACAAAGGCAAAATTTTATCGGAAAAAAAGTCACAGAAAAAAAGTCACAGAAAAAAGTCACACACAAAAATCTTTTAAGAAATATTTTTAATTTAATTGTAGTGTATTGTTAAATTTTGAGTGTTTATTGATGTGGGTGGTGTTTTTTTTTTTTTTTTTTCTTCTTTTTTTTAGCATATTTGCTAACTTTAAAGCGTTATGGTTTAAAACAATAATACATAAAAATACAATAAGATACTTTATATAGCAACCTCAAATTTAGCTAAATACACGGTAGTAAAAATAAAATTATTAAAGACATTTAGGCCGGACGTTTTCCCGAAAGACACTTGCCCGAATGCCGTTTGCCCGAAGGCCGATTTCCCGAATGGACACTTGCCCGAATGCGACAAATGCCCGAATGGACACTTGCCCGAATGCGACAAACGCCCGAATGGACACTTGCCCGAATGCGACAAATGCCCGAATGGACACTTGCCCGAATGCGACAAATGCCCGAATGTACACTTGCCCAAATGGGACAAATGCCCGAATGGACACTTGTCGCATTCGGGCAAGTGTCCATTCGGGAAATCGGCCTTCGGGCAAAAGGCATTCGGGCAAATGTCTTTCGGGAATTTGTCGTAGACCCAGGCACATCATTGTGTTTTACATTTGTTTTTTGCCGCAGGCCATCCCTTGATCGGCTTTTCTTTTGTCGGCGTAATCCGTCTATATTGTGTGTTGTTGACCTTTTGCGTCAATGACTGTCTTTGTTCCGTGTCGGCTTTCATTTTTACTTTCTCGTATATACGTAGTATAGAGAAAGTATTGTAATCGTGCAAAATAAAAATCGAGATTTTTACAAATCTCGACGTTTTACACCTCACTGATACGGAAAAACATAATTTTGCAATCTTGTCCGTATGTCTGTGTGTGTGTGTCTGTGTGTGTGTCTGTGTGTCTGTGTGTCCGTGTGTAAACACGATAACTTGAGTACCGTTACAGCTAGGTTGATGAAATTTCATATATAAGTATTATATCAAAATCGTAGATCAGTATCAACTTTTGAGCGATTTCCGACAACCGGAAGTGGTACTTTTTCTACTTTGAATTTTTCAAAAGCCTATAACTTGAGTACTATTTCAGATAGATAAATGAAATTTCACATGTAAGTAAAAGATCTAATTCTCTACCTTCTTTTAAATTTTGAGTAATTTCCGTTGACCGGAAGTAGTAATTTACGCTACTTCCGATTTCTCAAAAAACTAATGTAAATTTATTAAGTACTAATACTATTGCACACTATTATACACACCTTTATTAGGCGTTCGCTTGGTGCGCAATTGTTTTTTACTGAGATTCTATTCTATTTTTAAAAGTTTCAGTATTTAAAATGGATTAAAAATCCCCAGTTACCATCCCCTGTTGTTTTATATAAGAATATTCGAAAAAGTTTATGGGAGATCACTACCGGTTTATTTATCCTATGCTTTGTTATGTAATGCGCGTAAAAATGTGGTTAGAAAAGGTGGTTGAACTATTGTTGCGATGAGGTGAGGGCAGCAAGTCGGATTATTTACGCTTTATGCCATCTCACGCTAATTTAAAGTTAGTGTGTAAAAAAACACGATGAAAACCAAAAGGTTAGAAAGTTCTATCAAATTCTATTAAATATACATATAGGCCTATAACAGAATTAAAAAACCTACGTACTTCATACAAAATATGTTTTAATAAATATTTTACTATGCGCATACAACCTACACACATTACATTTAATTAAAATCGTAAGTTGATTTGCACTTTCTGAATATTTAATACATAAAAGTATTAACACATTTCATACAAATATATATTTGTGACTTTTTTTCCTGTGACTTTTTTTTCTGGGTTTTTTTTTCCAGTGTTTTTTTTTCTGTGACTTTTTTCCTACAATCGTTTACATATTATATAGCAAATCTTGCTCGCAAACACTGCTGTTTAAAGTTAATTTCTGGCCTATATAGTAGATATATATATAGCCATTGATTCTAGATTATTTTTCAGTTATCTATAATATTTGCCACAAAAAATATATCACAATATACTTCTATTAAATAGTATTAAAGCCTTAACAACAGTGTTTCTTCCAGACTTTTTTCTCCGGGGGGGGGGGGGGGGCACTTGAAATTTTCGGGGGGGGGGGGGGGGGCGGTAGACTTTCTTCAGTTCGGGGGGTGGGGGGGGCGGACACTGTTAAAAATATATATTTTCTATATAAATTATATAAATTTCATTTCGTTCGGGGGGGGGGGGGGCGGTAGAATTTTTTCGGCAAAGCCCCCCGAAAAAATTCTACCGCCCCCCCCCCCCCCCCCGAAGAGATGCCTGGAAGAAACTCTGCTTAACAATGAGGCAACTTTTTCGCACATTACTAGATCTAGCCTCGGCCGATTTTAAGAACCTAAAACGATAGATTAACGGAGAAAGATATGCTGCTTAATAAAAAAAAGTCGTGGTCCTTTTCAGTTAGTTTTTTTCACAGAGGCCAGTGCAGGGTCTTACCGGAACGGCTAGTTATGTAATCATTTATAACTTAAAATTCGAAATTTTAATTGCAAGCCATGTGCTTTGACATATGTTTTTGACATAGTTTTGTTTCCCAAGTAGAAGATTCTATCCCAAAATGGAATCTTCTGAAAGTAAGCAGCAGTTAGATTTCTAGATCTAGAAATCATTATCTTTACTGACCGCTAGATTCTAATTACTAAGTAATTAGTTAAAAATGGAGGGATAATCTGTCGACCGTAGTTAAATTAAATTTTTAGGACACTTGTAGATCTAAGTGAGTCTACTTCAGTACTTAGTCATGACTTAGATCTAGAATTCTAGATCTAGGACTTACAAAGAAAAAGATCATCCATCTTTTAAAAAATAATATTAGAGTAGTTTCCCCTCGAAAATATTCTATTTGTATGTCTGTTTTGATTTTTGTTATCAAATGTGGTGTCTTTAAACTTTACGGATGATTATAGAATAATGAATAAGGTGTCTGATAATAGACTATTCCAAAAAAGGGGGTTAGAGGGTTAGGCACATAGTAATAGTAGGCTTGTCGGTATCGACCGAGATCGCGGTAAAAACATGACCCGAAATCTCCCATTACTTTCTGATACCGGGCGCACGAGATTTGGTTTTGCATACTAATAAGTTTTTAATTTATGGTAATTAATTAAGTTTAAAAGGTCATTTCCTAATGTTAAATGAAAAGTAGAATGGTTTTCTAGTTGTTTTGATGGCTTAGCGATCTGATTGCATGCTGTCTCTGCTTTGGTCTTACCGCTGTATAAAGGTTAACTTCAAATGCGTTAAAAACGCGATTTTTGAAAAGTTTCCATTTAGATAATGAAAGTTTCCAAAGCAGATACATCCCATTTTTATAGAAATGATATTTATTTTTGGATATTTTGACTTTGACATTAGTAAATACTCATTTGAAAGTAGTCACCGTAAGTAGGTCACGTTGCCCCCATTGACTCCAATGTTATATTTCTTCATCCCGATCTGCCGGCTTTTAGTTTTGATACACTAACAACAGTATTCTTATGTAATGTACAAACAAATCTCCTACTTGTTGTTTTAAACATATTTTAATATACCTGTCTTTCATTTTTTCAACTCTGGTTCTAGTTTTGCTTGAAGTAAAATTTTGCTGAGTCAGACATAGGTTACCTGTCTGTCTACACTAGCTATGTGCTAACTGTAATTTTAAGTATTCAAGTTCTACTTACCCTTACTTACAGTTATATTTATATGCTGAAAATCAGAATTCATACACAATACACACATAAAAATATTGATCAGATAACTTCAGTTCACTTTTAACAAAATGGCTTAAAGATAGACTCTACTTCACCTGCCCAAAATAATAAGGCAATTATATGCACATTACAGTGTTCAAGTCATTTACTTTAGATTGCTAACTATGTAGTTCTTTCATTCACTGTATTTATATAAAGCATTGCTTTAGAAACTTTTTCATATTTGCGCAGCACAGTTTTATAACAAAATGTCTTAAAGATGGACTCTACTTCACCTGCCCAAAATAATGGGGCAGTTATATGCACATTTCAGTGTTCAAGTCATTTACTTTAGATTGCTAACTTTGTAGTTCTTTCACAGTTTTTTTGGGGTTATGGAAGGAAGCCAACACAAAAATATACTTCTGTATTATTTTTATTCATTTCAACCGCATATACAAGTTCTATATATCATTCTAGCTAAACTCTGCAAATATGAACAAAATACAACTGCAAGTAAAATAACTATGCTCAATTTATTCAGGTATACCATGACTTGTCACAATTGGCCAATGCAAAAGCAAGGGCATTCCACCCCTCACAAAAAAATTTCGCAAAAAAAAAAACTATTTGAGCTAGACAAAAAATCTTTTTTGTTTTGTTTTCATTTTGTTGAGCTCTACAAGAATATGTAACTTTTTTTTTTATATGATGATTAGTGTTTTTTTACCAAAATCCCTAGTAATAGGTACTAAATAGTAGGACCAGGGTTGGGGTGGTTAAAAAATTAAAAAAAAGGACAGGGTTAGTCATTGACTCTCATTTTGACATATGATTAGTCAGCCATGTCCATGTGTGTATCTAGTTGACTACCCCAGTAGCCTAACACCCATTTTTTAAAGAAGATTCGGTAAAATCTTAGTTTAGAGTTTAGCGTCGTAAATTCGGCCAAAACTAGTAATGTAGGAGAGAGTGAATTAATGAATATGTCATTAAATATGAGTATATTTTCGTGTATTTTGATAAAATATTATAAATAATTGAATAATAGATCACCATTTATGGTTAAATCAATTTAAATATCCTGAAATTAATTTTTATCAACCCTGTTCGAGATAGTAAATTTGCTATTAAAAACAGCAGCCATCTTAAGAAATTGTTATTTAGAGTAGCTTCCCTTTTATTTCTATTCGTATGAAAATGTATTTAAATGTGATTGTCTTGTTGTATAATCTGTATTACAAAGCATTTTTTTTAAATTCTGCTCTTTAAAAACTGAATTTCCTAACAAACAACTTTATTAATTCTAGAAGCATTGTGAGATGCAACTTGTATTCATGTATTAAATCACGTTTTTTTTACTAATGTTAATTTGATCTTACTATTACTATATAGTTTGAGTTTTTTCTTATTGTTTGAATGTTCACTATTTTGATTTCAGGTTTTTCTTTTCATCAATTAGTGATTCTATCGTAACTTATGACATTTTTTGCTTCTCTTTACCTTAATTAAACCCCAAACTCCGTCATATTTTTGTTGTCAATGTCACAAGTCATAATGTAAAAAATTACGCTTCACTCTGCCTTATCTAAGATCTCTAACCATAATTTTGACAACATTAAATGTTTGTCATCATTTATATATACAGAGAGACAAAATGTATTATCCACCAGCTTCCCTCGTAAAACATCATCTAAAACAATGAGCCAGTCCACCCCTTAAGTGCGTGTTGTCATTATGGTCGATCGCAAGTCTCCACCTGCCAGACACATGTTGGTTATCCTTTGTTGTCAAATTGTCAATATCAAGTACACAAGTGAGTGATATGGGGTTGTCCATAAATGATGTCACATATGATTTGCTATGGGAGTGAGTGAAGATTTGTGACGTCAACTCAGGCGGCTTTGCAATTTATGACGTGTCGGTCTCATGAAAGGAGGTGAACGGGGAAAAATACCTAGGTGGTTGATGGAGAACCTCTATAATGCTTTGTTCGATCAAAATAACGATAAATAAGCATTTGTATACGTATACCTTGCCTAAAACGAATCATCACAAATGTTGCAAGCCTGCTAGTTTAAGACATTCGGCAAAACGGCCGCAACACATTATCCCCGTCAAAAAGGCTTGCCACCAAATGCCTGCCGACGAATAAGCCGCGTCTAATGCGGGGCGTTAGGAATACTGCCATTAGCATGGGCCGCGTTAGTAGAGCACCAGTAGGCTATCGCGCTTTGTAAGATGACGTAAATACTTAAATTCAATTTCGCTAAACTGCGCGAAAATTTAGTAATGTTCCATCGTTTGAGGAAATTTATTTTCTTGGACTTAAATTGAAATATCATGTTGACTGTCTGGCTCTTAATTTCCGAATATCACTTTTAATGTATCAAGATTCAGAACTATAATTTACTTTAATATAAGTGTCATCTTATCGTTTATTGTGGTTTTTATAAAGCGCAGAGCAGCTACAAAATCGGGCGGCCATCCTGTTTTCACCAAGCTTCTTTTGGAGCTTAATATGGGTAGTCTAGTTCTATACGGTGTGAGCTTAATACATTTTTAAAGGGCCGAAAGTCTCAAGACAGCAAGCTTGCAGAAATAACTACGTACGTTTAAATGGACGAGTGATAGATGTGTTAGGGGCTGTTTAATGAACACCAACTTATGTAATCAAATTAAACGTCGCAAAAGCGTCAAAAAGGCAGTGCTTGTTGTTTTTTTTTCTATAAAATTAGCCTAACGGTCGGCGGTACCGCTACATGACGTCACGTGCGAGCGTTAACTCAGTGACGATCTGCTAAGTGGGGGAATGAAAAAGGTGGGGTTCAAGAAATGCGACTCGGCAAGCTTTTTAGATTTCTTGACCCTTCTTAATAGTTCTTTCGTCCCCACTGAGAAAATGGATCACCAATGAATGACGCGTCATACTTCTACAGCTGGTCTTTCTCCCACAACCATCCCGTTTTCACGAGAAAAAAAAACCTGACCCGTCTCCAAAATCACATCGCTGAGTTCTACTCAACCTCTCCCCACCACAAATCACTATTTCTATCTGAAACAATATGTTCATATGTTTGCTCTGTAATAATACACGCTGTCATTACTATCTTAAGAGTGACGTCATTTATGAGCGATCTAATATTGATTTGCTTACTGCAAATAAAGTGTTCAAAAGTTCGACCTCCCAACAATTGTTGTGATCTTGGATGCACACTATTAAGTCTGATAAGATCTATTAGTCATTCATGTCAACTATATTAAAAAAAAAGAAAAATTACTATACAGGGGGTCATCCATAAATGATGTCACGCTTTTTTTTGACGATTTTTACCTCCCCCCCTCCCCTCCGTCACACGTCGTCACAAAAAGCCAGACCCCCTCCCCTAAAATGACGTCACACCTCAGCCTACAACCCCCCCTCAAAATTGCAGTTGAATTGTTTTTAAACAGCTATATTTTTCCAAAATCTTGTCTGAACTCTGTCAAAATAGATTATTTTAATCAATTGTTATTACAATGTATTAAAACAGTTTTTTAAAACGCAAAATAACGTCTATAATTCGTTTTGTAACATTGCTTTTTTAAAATGCAATGTGTGACGTAGCACCATCTGAACCCCTCCCACTCATCACACAACGTCACAAAATTACGGACCCCCCTCCCCCCTACGAGTGTGACGTCATTTATGGACAACCCACCCCCCCCCCCCCCCCGCATATATTAAAACAATCATATTAAACCACAAAATCAACACAAAAGACATGCGAATAGACAATTTATTGTTTTTAAAACATGGCCGCTGCTTGTATTTACTCATTGTTGTCTCGAACGGGGTAGTTTAAAGTTTATTCCAGGATATTTATGACTGGTTTGGTCTTGGATTGTGATTTGTTATTCAATTATCTGTTATATTGTGTAAAATATGACATAAATATGGCCAAATGAAAGAAATATTCATTAGTTACCTTCATCGCACATTACTAGCTACGTTGGAATTTACGACGCTAAACTAATATTTTACCGAAGATTCCATTTTCGGACATCGGTATAAAAATTCTCCCAAAATATATTTTGAAATTTTAGTAGGCTTATACCTTTTATATTTTTATAGCAATAGTGAATTAATACAACAACTAAACCTCCAAGAAAATGTGGTTCTTCATTGTCTTGATATGGAAACGATCAGAATTCACTTCTGTTGGTAGTAGAAAATCTACATCTAAGGTTTGTATTTATTCACAGTTGTTAGAAATAAAGTTAATTCAGTTGTGCTTCAGGCAGGTCATCAGGGGTTGATGGTTCATAGAATCTAAGAATAGTTATTGTATATCCAGTAAAGAGGTCTAGTCCAGGGGTCGGCAACCTTTTGAAGCGAAAGAGCCAAAAGTTACAATTTTCAAAATTTCCTTGGTTTTAAAGAGCCACTAACATTTTTTTTATTACAAATATTTTATATTTTTATTAAGATTATTAGTATTTGTGCAAGGAGCTGGAGAGCCGCACCTTGATATCAAAAGAGCCGCATGCGGCTCGCGAGCCGCAGGTTGCCGACCCCTGGTCTAGTCTATAAGTATAAATTATTTTTTAAAATCTATGTTAGTAGCCTATTTAAATCTACTATTTAAGTATTTATCTTGTTATCCTTGTCCCATTAAGACAACACTATGGCCTAAATAACGAACATTTAGATAAGAAAAACCAGATCATTGTAGCGCTATGCAAGGTCATTTATTCCTTTTTAATTCAAGGTTTTATTTTCAGAATCCATTTAATTGTTCTCGCAAAAAGATTTTGCAAAAGCAAGATACAATTTCCCATCGATGTCATCTGCCAGCAGAAAAAGTAACCAAAAACCAGAATACCAAAGATAGCCCTAAAATGCTTTTCTTAGATCAAATGCTTTGTGTTCGCAATGAAACCAGCTTTATAATTTGGCTGCGTTATGTTTTGGGAATTTCACCATTACCAAATAGTTGTTATACGCTATTATTAGTGTTAACCTCTTCACAACATTTTATTATTATATTTTTTGACTGTGTGAATTTGAGGATATTTTTTAGAAAACTAGCAGTTTATAAAGTTGTAGTTATTTTCACCATTTGGAGATGTGTTTTTAGACAATTTTTCTGTATATCAAAATATTTTACCTGTTTAATACTAAGCAGCTTGAGATTGTACTTTGTTGATCATAAGTTATCTCGGTATAATCTAAGGAAAAATTTAGCTCACATAAAATTACTCAAAAAGTTAAAAAATGAAAGCAGTGATTCAAATTTTATTAAACTAGCTGACTTAAAAACAACAGAAAAAAGAAAATTCAAACTACAGTTACCTCAACAAAAACTAATTGAATACTTAAGTAAATCTATAGAGCAGGTGCATTTTGAAATAACCAAGCCTGAAACATCAAATACAAAAGACACTGACTCTTATGATAAAGGTAAAGATTCTGGCTCACCAGATATGATTCAAGCTTTAAAATTAAGCAATTACAGTAAATTGTGGTGGTCAAGAAACACAACATTAAATTTGATTGCATATCCCCTTCACAATGTTTCAAGACAACCATCAGAGAATCCCTCACCGTCAACACCAGCCCAACAAAATCCCCAGACACGGGACATGCACAGGTTAATGCACTTTGAAGTTTTCCGTCTTTGTTCTTTCAGTTATTCACGTTTTCCACCAAATGTGAACTTATGGGTCACACTTTTGGCGCAGTCTGGTTTCTATGTTGTCAACGACTCTGGCCGTGTACGTTGTTTCAGCTGCGGGTATGAATACGAGGATTTTTTAATTGGGTCACCTGTTGACAATGCCCATGGTCCCCAGTGTGAACGACATACATTTAACAGGCCTCTTCACGAATGGATCAGAGGTCTAGATAGGGATGTTTTAGAAAGCTACTATCTGGTGTTTGGGAATTTGAGACCATATGTAAGTGATGACTCTGAAAATCTGGATCACCTGAACAGCAGCGCACAAGCTGTACTGCATGAAGATCCTACTCACCTAGAGTCGGGATTCTCTGAGACAGAAGCAAGACAGATGGGTGGTCCATCGCTTGGATCAGCTGACAGCCAGGATCCTCAGAGTTATCAGAGAGCGGCGGACGCAGTGGTTTACCAGGAGAGTCAAGAGCCACAACCCAGAGAGGTCCTGACTTCAGCAGCTCAGCAGCCGGTCACGCTAGATCGGTCAGCTAATGGTGCTTCAGCTGACCAGACGCATCCTGACGCAGAGAGAGGAGCAACGGGTTACACAAACTTTGACCTCAGCTTAGCTTCGTACCCCCAGTTTGCTGGCACTTCGTCTAGGAGATCAACATTTTCTGGGTGGAACCCAGAACATCCTCAGAAGCCTGATGACCTTGTGGCAGGGGGATTCTTCTATGCAGGTAAACAGGTTTACCTTTTTCTTTAGAATTTAATTGAATTCATTTAAGGCACTGTAAATTGTACTTGCATCTTTTGTTTTTGGATTAGTTTTATAACAATTGAGCCTTAAAAAAATGAAAAAAGCAATTTTAACTGATTAAACAACCAGATTCAGTTATGTGTATTTTATTTCCCATTTATAGATATGAATACATGCAAATGATTAGGTAGAACATTTTGTTCAAATAACAATAAACAGAATTACTGGGGGTGGGCGTGGTCTAGTTGGTAAAGTTTTTGGTTGCTAAATGGAAAAGTCTAGGAGAGACAACTCCAAAATCAAACAACTGCTGCCTTGTAGTTTGTTCTTGGTTTGGACAAAGGCTATGGAAGCAAATCCAAAAAGAAAAGCAGGCTGAAATCTGAGTCAATGGCCTCAATGGCGCATAACCAGTTGACACGTAATCCTTAATTATGATGGAGGGAATCTCTTCCAACACTAAAATTGAGAACACATAAGAAGAAGATGGAGTATTCTTTGCTTTTGATTGTCTCAACAGAAACCAGTCAAATAGAGCTTAATTGAAAATTAATTCCTGATAGCATTTTCTCCATTTAAAATATTATATGTTAAATTGCTAGTTTTGTAGATGTAACCCCAGTCCTGGGGTTTATCATATACTGTCTTTTTTTCCCCCCCATTTTTCTTTAAATGAACAAGTCAAAAATTTTCTTATTTGTTTTATTTGAGTTATAAGTTAACAAATAGTTTGGCTTTTCAGGCTATGCAGATTGTGTTAGATGCTTTTACTGTGGGCTTGGGCTTAAATACTGGAGGCCTGATGACATTCCAGCCTATCAGCATGCAAGGTTCCGCCCCAATTGTGTTTACAACAGAATGTACAAAGGACAGGAATACATAGATCGTGTGCAGCAGGACAATCAACAGGATGCTGGGAATAATGTAAGCTTCCGTCTGTCTTCTCATGTGTAGGCCCTTTTTACTACTGAAGCTGTTGTTTGTCTTTTGAAAAGTGTTTATACTAAAATGAATAAAATACACATCATGTTGATTGGGTCACATTTTTGACATGACTTTAAGGAAACTAAAAACATCAGGATAACATATCAGAATAGAAACAAATTAAAGAGGGGAAATATCTATTGGCTCATAATTTAGACATTTGTGCTATAATATAAAAGAATGTTTAAACTATACATTTCAACTACTAACTTAAAACTCCCAAACAATATCTGTTTTTTTTTTTTTTTTTTGTGTTTTTTTGATCATGACAAATGTATAATTTTAAAGTGACTTTCATTTTTCTGACAATTCTTATGAGATCTGCTAAATTGCTCAAAAGTTCACTCTGTCTTTTTAATGTTATCATTAATGTTCATGTATTATTTTAAAACATTTGCTTTACAGTATTCATTTGATCATTTCACATTAAAAAATGTATTCACAGAGGTGAGACGATTTTTTAAAAACATCATGCTTTTGTCTGTGCTTACAAACCAACCTTCATAGAACCTAACCATTTCTAAACACAACAGGTAGAGCGCAATCAATCGCAAACAGCAAACCCAGCACCACAGCCAACCACCAATCAACCCCCAAATCCACCTCCAAATGGTTAGTATATCATTACCTGACAAAATCATTTTCATTCTATACATTACTAAATTTCTTGTGATGTTTATTTGGCTTTGTTACTAGACTGTCTGATACCTTAAGAACAGAGGTGTAAAATATATTAAAAGCTTATTAGTTTATAATTAGTAACGTAAGTTTCGGAAATCATTTTTTATATTCATGTATACTTCCACATTCTTGACCCAAGTGGTTCAGTTAAATGAGCAAATTTATGAAACTGGAAATAGTTTCTTGAATTTCTCTTTATCAGCAATAAATATTTAGTGTTTAATTTATGTGGCTCCTTTCTACTTACTGTTCCTAGATGCAAAGCACTCATTCCAACATTGTTAACCTTTATACAAGTTGTATTTTAATTTTAGTAATCAAATGTTATTTTCTTTTCTCTACTCAGATAACAAGTAACATTTCTGTACAAAATTCATTTATTAAAGTTTAGTTTAGCATTGTTATCAATGAACAGTACACCCTAATTGAATCTATTTTCTTAGTAGCAGTAACCACAGAACATGCCCATTTAAGGCTTCCAGCTTCACAAGAAGCATCTCGAGCTGGCTGGCGTTCAGATCAAATCATTCCTGCTGTAACACATATTATAGATGAGCTAGGTAAATCACAATCTTACTCTTAATACATTTTCAGCTGAAAAGAATTTTTTATTTTGTCATCAATCAACCAGATAAATTCTACTTCAACTGCTCTGTGGACCTTCTGGTCTGAAAGGGAACTTAACTTTTTTACTATATCAATCTATTAAATTATTAAATATTGGTTTTTTATAATTTTTTATGATTAAAATATTTGAATCAACCAGGTATTGATGGTCAGAACTTGTCCTATGAAATACTGTTGGATGTACTGGTACAGCTGTACTCTGCTAATGATGCCCCCAACTTGGGAAGTGATCGGAGTGAAGGGAGTGTAGACAGCAATCATGGTGGACAGAGTAGTGACGGAGTGGTTGATAGCTCGATACCCACTCTCAGGTTCCCTCAGGATGTCTGTAAGTAATTGATTGGCTATATACATTTTAGTCTGTAAGAATGCACTTCAGAATGGAACTTTCAATATGAATACATTTCTTAGATTGTTTTAATTATTAAAATAAAAAATGTCTTGATTATTTCTTTAAAAATATATTTTTTTTCATTTTAAGACCAAAATAAAATTTAAAAATTCCTATGTCCATCATCATTTTCTATGTTGTTGACTGTTTACAAAAAAAACAAAACAAGAAGAAGCCTCAAGTAAATTAAATTGTTACTCTTTAAGTTATTGGTAATCCTTGACATCATTGTAAACACATGTAATAAAATGTTATACATATTTTCTTTCATCTCTAGCTGCATCAGAAAAATTGAGAACTTTAAATGATGGTGTTGAGGTTGCAGATTCCGCAGAACCAGCTCCAGTTACAACGGCAGGACCAGCAACAGCAGCAACAACCACTTCAAGACACAATGACCAAGAACAGTTTAGAGCAGTTGAAAATGAACATAACTATCTGACCCAGCGCAGTTTGTGTGGTATCTGTCACCAGAGACCACTACACTGTGTGTTCCTGCCATGTGGGCATGTCATTGCATGCCAGGAATGTGCTGAAGCCGCTACTAAATGTCCTATTTGCAACAAGAATGTCGCTGCTACTGCCAATGTCTACCTGTCTTAAGCTTAGCTTAACTCAACAATAATTATGGGCATTTTACAAAATGTACATGTACAGAATGTAATATTAATGATTATTTGTTATTCGACTAAACATGCATATTGCCTACTTCATTCTTTATGAATTGATTATGGATGTATGTGTAAGGTATGTGTTAGTGTATAACACACTAGTGTTAGTGTATGTATGTGTACATATATATATATATATACATATATATATATATACATATATATATACATATATATATATATATATATATATATATATATATATATATATATATATATATATATATATATATATATATATATATATATATAAAAAATATGTGTGTGTGTGTACATTAAAAAAAAATATCTAAAAGATCAATCTTATAACCAGTTCAGTTTATCTGAGAAAATTAATCATAAAAATATAGTTCATACTCAGATCATCTACTCAGACCCATTGCCTATATTCTGAACACAGATTAAAAAGCATCATGTTGGTATACTATACACTATATAAATCAAGGGGCTCACTCTGTATGTGAGTAAATGGAAAGTATTTTAAACAGAGAAGAAAAGTAGATAGTGAATAAAACTTGTTAAGTCAAGATACATTAGCGTACTCTCAAGACAGAAACAACACAGTCATAACTATAAAAACCCACTAAAATAGTACTTGTATGTGATAATTACACTAGCAAATATATTAATTAAATTAAAATAATTCTAAAATATTAAGCTATCAAAACAATAAATCACAATGGTAAAACTATGTTGTTTATGCTTGATCATGATGTAATTGAGAGATAAAAAGCAGAAGAATCTTTTACTTAAGTTAGTTGTATAAAATGTAATTTGCTTACTGTTATTGAATAGCCATGTCTTGCTTTACTAGAGCTGAGAAAAATGTTAGTATGCTTGCTTATAGCTTGGTATCTCAGCAGATGTCTTTTTACCACTTAGTCTCTAATACCTTACAGTTACGGTGAAATGCTTTAGTGTTTCATCTAAGATCTTAATTAATACACACTTCAGTAGGTCTAGCTCTTTATATATTTAACTGAATACAATTTATCACATTTAACAGACCACCTATACTTAGTGAACTATTTTCTGTGTAGTAATAGGATACATGGCCTCATTTCACTAAACAACTAGGTTTTTCCAAGTGGAATTTAGAAATTTTAAAGAAATATTTAATTAATTTTTAAACCTGTTTTGTTTTTTACTCTTTAACATTTTCAGCAAGATTTTTTAAAAAAAAGTTGAAATTAACAATTAATAAATCCTTTTTTTTTTTAGTTTAAGTTTAGCCATATTTGTTAGCCTAAGTGAATCGTGCCAATCCATAGTAGGATAGGTCACTGTGTTTGTTTACCTGTTTTAGTCGCCTAAGCTTGAATGGTTTTAAACTATAAAACTAAATTTCTAACTATTGTTCTGTAGTAATCCTGTTTCTGAAAATGCAAGTAAAATTTTAAGACCCTTTTGTTGTGCAGTAGTTTTGTCAGGAAGGTTCTTTGACAGAAGGTAGTGTTGGTTTGTTATAGGAGGCCTGTTAACAAGATAAAATGTAGTTAAAAAGAGTAGAGCCTATAGTTTAGATTTAGTTCTTTGAGTTATCTGTTGCACTACTTTGAAACCTCATAATACTAATATCACAAGGTTCTGTTTTTTTTAAGCCTTGTCTTTCAAACAACATATTTACATTGTGGAAGTTCTCCCCACAAATATGTAGTGTGTACTAACGTGTGTTGTTGTTTTGTAAATCTACATTAGGTTCCAGAGTGAAATTGGTGTTGCAGTGTTAAAATTACACCAGCTTTGAAACAAGCTATTTTTTACTAACAGTGTTTCACCATGTTTTGGTTCTGCTGCAGAATTTTAAAAGAATTCTTTAAATACTTTTTTGCTGTGTTAATAACATTTCAATTATTTACTTTTTGTTTTAATTGGTTTACTTTTCTTGTTTTTTTTTTAATTTCCTGAGTTTAGCTTTAAAATGTGAAACTAAAAATTAAAGTCAGGATTAAAACAAAATTAATGTCTCTCCATGGTTCAGAGCTGTTATTTTATTGTCTGATTTCATGTATTATAATAATTCATGCTTCATCATTATACTTGCACTCGTGTAGCTCTTTGTTCATTTGTATTGTTTGTTTTTTTTTTAATATAAAAAATCTAAATAAAAATACTTTTTTTAATGTTAACTTTTGTTTGTGTCAGATCTGCCTGCAACATCTTTGTTGAGTGAATGATAAATCTACACAAATCTAGATATTAGTATATTACAAAAAATATGTCAGGGCTTATTGACATTTCCAATCCTTCCAATGGTGAAACCAAAATAGGCTAATCAAGACATACTTTTAATATGCTTGGATATTAAAACCAGCTTCCAGTGCAAACCTTAGAATTATTAACATGTGTAATCCAGTGCTTGGAGTAAATCAACATATATTTGGCTTTGGTGAATACAATCTCAAGCAGATGCTTATATATATATATATATATATATATATATATATATATATATATATATATATATATGAAAATTATTATCAATTATTTCTAAAAAATTTATAAGGCTGTCGTAACATAAGTAGGCCTACGTACTGATCGTCATGCTTTTAAAGCAGGTTTTGAAAAAAAAAAAGCAGTCTCCCTCATTAAAATGTTAAGAATTACATTATCAGGGGAAGTAACTTAATAAATGTTAATGATTTGATTTTTTACTTTCTCGTATATACGAAGTATAGAGAAAGTCTTGTAATCGTGCAAAAAAAAAAAAAAAAAAAAAAATCGAGATTTTTGCAAATCTCGACGTTTTACACCTCCCTGAGTCGGAGTATGTGTGTGTGTGTAAACACGATAACGAGTACCGTTACAGCTAGGTTGATGAAATTTCATATAAAAGTATTTTATCAAAATCGTAGATCCGTATCAATTTTTGGGCAATTTCCGATAACTGGAAGTGGAACTTTTTCTACTTTCAATTTTTCAAAAGCCTATAAGGAAAATGTGGGTGGGGGGGGGGGATCTTTGTATTTTTTTAAATAGAAAGTCGTAAAATGGTGTAGATCTATATGATTTTTAAAGTATGGGCGGGTGGTTGAGAAGGGGGGAAAGTGAAGAGGGTGGGAAGATTGGCTCGAAGAGTCGTGATTTAGTTGGCATGAGGTACGGTTGTGACGGGTGTTTGTGAGTACTACACTACACTGGTCTGCCTAGTCTATATATTTTCAATCAGTGTCTATATTATAGATTCAGGTATAAGTCTAAGCTTATATATGTTCGAAATATTAAAAAGAAACGTTTGAGCCAAATGTGTTTGTGAGATAGTTTTCCAGGCCAATGACAATACAACAGATTTCGACATAATGCAACCGGTCGGTTGTCGACGCCCCGACGTCAGCTTTCTGTAGAGTAGTGTAGAGTGTAGGAAAGATCTGGGAGACCTAAAGCTAAAAGGTGTTTTCTCAACCTGTACCACGTAGCCCTATCAGTTCGTAAATGTTAAACAATTTCATCGATAAGTTATTTAGTAAAGGATAGATTGTCTCCCCCACCCCCTCCCCACGAGATAGATTGTCTGAAAGAAACTGCACGATACTTAACGTAAAATGTGACTGGCCTCTTCTGTGATTCAGATTCGGTTCAACGTGTATAAAGATAAGACAAGAAATTAAATATCAACGACCAAAAAATGGACCAAATTTGTTTGTATCTTTACGACCCACCCTCAAAGCTTCTGATTTTCTTCTTTTTATTCCTTTCCTTTCGGTTCCCTAAGCAGCATAGGCCTAAGCAACGATTGGTAAACTAACTTGATTTTTATTTAAAACTCAAACCATGACAATCCAACCTCCACCAACTCTATTTTAAAATAATTCCTTCACGACTTTTCTTTGTCTCCCCTCCGTGGGTTCCACATTACTCCCGGGATATTGGTGTTACTATGCCTTTGACTTTCTTAGAGGGTGACATATCTACCATCTTTTCCTTCCCCCCCCCCCCCCCCCCCCCCACTGTTGTTTTCCTTCTCTGAACCATACGCCATTTAGGGGCCCATAGCCGACCATAATACATTTTTTTATAGTTAAAAAAATTAATTTTCTTGCATTTTTGACTTGACGGTAAAAGCTTTTGTAAATTACAAATCTACTACAGTAGTGATGTTATACATTCGCCAACACATGCTGTTGCTTAAAAAAAATATATGCCTGAGCTGTAGTGTAAAAGATAGGCAAACGTTCAAAATACTTTCGTGACTTATTTCCCTTTTTTAAATAGTTAAATAGAGGTGTCCATAAGCTCCTTTTAATATATTTGTACTAAACAAATTAAAAAGCAATTACTTCTCTTAATTATTATTTTCAAACAAATACATACTAAAGAATAACATAGCATATAAAGGAAATATATTTAAAACAAATAATATAAATACAAAAAAAACATAAAAATAAACATCACACGAGAAACCATTACACATACAAAGCTTTCACACTTTATACTCTTTTGACCGGCTATTAACTATAGGGTAGTCAGTATTACAGCAAACATATTGAAGAAACTAGTTCTAAATCTAAAAAAAAAAAATCAAAACAGACTAATGCACTCACACACATGACATGTTGTAATTTGTTTCAATTGAAAAAAAAAGTAATTTTTTTTCAAAACCCGATCAGGCCAGAAATGAGTATCCAATGTTTGTATTCTGTGTTTGTATATATATATATATATATATATATATATATATATATATATATATATATATATATATATATATATATATATATATATATATATATATATATATATATATATATATATATATATATATATATACATACACTAACACTAGTGTGTTATACACTAACACACACCTTACATATACATCCATAATCAATTCATAAAGAATATATATATATATATATATATATATATATATATATATATATATATATATATATATATATATATATATATATATATCCATCCATCCATCCATCCATCCATCCATCCATCCATCCATCCATCCATCCATCCATCCATCCATCCATCCATCCATCCATCCAGTGTTTCTTCCAGACTTTTTTCTCCGGGGGGGCACTTGAAATCTTCGGGGGGGGGGGGCGGTAAACTTTCTTCGGGGGGGGCGGACACTGTTAAAAGTATATATTTTCTATATAAATTATATAAATTTCATTTCGTTCGGGGGGGCGGTAAACTTTCTTCGGGGGGGCGGACACTGTTAAAAGTATATATTTTCTATATAAATTATATACATTTCATTTCGTTCGGGGGGGCGGTAAAAAATTTTCGGGGGGCTTCGCCCCCCCGAAGAGATGCCTGGAAGAAACTCTGCATCCATCCATCCATTCCCAGAAATGACGAGTTAATAATCGCAATTCTCCAGAATGGAAATTGCGCTAAAAACTACAATAAAGTAATTTGCACCTGCTACAAAATTCTCTCTAAAACCAGACAGCTATTTTCATTTTAAAGGCCCTTATTGGACTCGCTAAGTATGTGTGGGTGTTTGTGTGTGTGTGTGTGTGTGTGTGAGTGTGACTCGGAATCTTAATTTAACCCAGTTCCCATTGTCCGATTGAGCTGTATTTTTGCACAGTTGTAGATCTTGGATGACAGTGCAAAAGTATCGAATTTTTAATCTAATAAACAGACAATTAGTCAATAACATTTAATTTAAAAATTACTACATTCCATAAATAAAGGGGAGATAATAAGTAAAATATTACTAGCGATAGCTTGATCAGAGGGCCGTCGAGAGTGAACTCTTTTTTCCAACGTTTTCTTTAACTTGCTTTCGCGTCTGTTTGTTTTTCCAATCAAATCTTGCGATCGAAATTTCGGGCACTTCCCAGTTAGCTAGCGCGCTGAAATTTTCAGGGAAGCTTTGTTTCCGATGACAATACAATATTCAATTATTATTATTACTAAATTGATCCATGGAAAATTTTTATTGATCATTTTAGACCCCTATATATTTGTACAAAAAAGGGACATAACCTAGTAAGTAATTGTAATTTGATGAAAACAAGGTTCGGTACTTTCCCTCTTGTGGCTTACTGAAGGAGCGAGCACGCGATTGGCTGAGTAGTGGTCACGCGGTGTTTGTGTACAAACCTATGCAAATCTGACTGATCAGGAAGTAGAATGTTGATGGTCGAATGGTTTGCACGCGAGGGCAAAATGGTGAAAGAAACGGCAACACAGAAGAAACGTCGATTGGAAAAGGCACGTGTTTTTTTACGAGTTGTCTTCGTTTACCCAAAAAAAAGTGAATGCGAGAAGATAAAATCGATAGCAAGATTTGAATGCAAACAAACAGACAAAGACTAAAAAGTAGAAAATAATTATCATTAAAAAAGTTTAAAAAAAACCCCACGTTTTCTGATTGAACTAAAAAGTAGAAAATAAATGCTATACATCACAATAATGCAAGCGATCACTCTACTATAAGCGATCGCAAACTGCGTGCGCATTATGACAAAAAATGAAAAACGTGGGGCGCCGTGATTTTCTTACAGTTTTTAATACTGTTGACTCTCTACAAGCTCCCTAATAAAACTCAATAGTATTATCTAATCAATAGTAATATAACTTTTACATCTTATATTAACAATGACCGATAAAAAACTTTTACTTCGGCGCCCCACGTTTTTCATTTTTTGTCATAATGCGCACGCAGTTTGCGATCGCTTATAGTAGAGTGATCGCTTGCATTATTGTGATGTATAGCATTTATTTTCTACTTTTTAGTTCAATCAGAAAACGTGGTTTTTTAAAAACTTTTTTAATGATAATTATTTCAGATCGCGGTGAGCTGATTTCGTGTCCTCCTATCGACCAGATAATTCAAATTTAGAGATCGCAAGCTGTGGACGAATTTTAACGCATACATTTTTAGTCTTAGCCTGTGTAGTGTCAATCACAATAAAAAAAATGGAAAAAAAAATGCATTAAAAACCTTACTAAAGCTTTGTGCTGGTATGATTAAAAATAAAAGCCCGTATGCTCACTTATGGAGAGTATATTCCTTTTCATGTTAGTGTGTTCATTGATAGGTTTAAGTTCTTTAACATAATACCTAAGTTCTAATTTTCATCATCCAGCGCCCAGGCTTTTATTTTTAGTCATATAAAGGCCTTTTTATTGAGGGAGAGGGTGGGGGCAAATTGAAAGTTCGTCCCGGGCGCCTGATCAATGGGTCTCTACGCCTGTTACTGGGCTACATTCGAGGTTGAGGAAGAGCGAGGCCGCCTACACCTTTCTAGTCTCAGGTCTTTACTTGCAACTAAAAATGTGACACCCAAAGTACCTCAAGATCCGCATATGATAAGGCTAGACTTCAGAGGTATATAGACAACAGCGCTTTCTGCGGCAAGATAATGGAATAATGGTGCACTTGTTGTAGGCCTACTTTCAAAAATTCTAGTAGAGATCTAGATCTACATCTACATCTATTAGTTAAATTAAAAAACCAAAAAATGCAAACTGCGTGAGCAAAAATATGTGTTTAATGTGTTTGTATCGGATTTACAAATTTTGTTACAGAATAAAATAGTTCTTAAACCTTAACATACGATGTCAAATTATCATTGATAAAGGATGGTAGGATGTTGCTCTCACTGCAGATAGTCATTTAGCTATGAAAAAAACAATGAGTACTCCCATAAGGTGCGCCTCTAAGCTTCCGGGTTATCGGTATTTTTTCCCCCTTTCCTGGCTAACGGCATACCCTGAAATTATTGAATCGATTGCATTTATACATCCTGCAAAATGTAGTGTTGTTGGTTTATGCACGTTTTGGATGTAAGTCTTACAATAGCACATTTATTATTTGCTTTTCTTAATGGTGTAAATAACACCAACAAACATTATTCAAGTGTTTTGATTTTAAATCTCGTGATAATGTATTTTGTGTCTGTGTGTACTGTACTGTTGTTCTACCGTGTTGTTGTGCCGAGAGAAAGCCCACCGACAGCGCCCTCCCTTCAGGGAAAAAAAATCGAGGTCAACATGCACAACTGTTTTATTTATTATTTGCTTTGTTTTCTGTTACTTGTTATAATTAATGTTGCCGTACAAGAGCAGTTTCCAATTCCTACACTAGAGGAGTTTGTAGTTTTTACATTTGAAATCTTAAGATGACACTGACAGCTGTCACCAGTGCCAGTGGTACATTTCAGTATTTTCTGACAGTGAGTGACACAGTGAGAATTCAGTGATAATGACAATAACAATAACTTATACTAATACTTATAGATCTAGATTAGATCTTTTTAATATTTACAAGTAGGCCTATAACTATAAGTGTAAATAAGTGACACTACCTTTCACTCAGGATAGACAGAAAAGCTAGTGTCCACCATATAGTAGCAGTACTAGTAGTAGGCTTGCATAAGCATAGTAATTTAAATTTAGGCCTGTTTTTGTTAACAAGACCAAAGATTGTTTTTTTTTTTTACCCTCTTACTTGGCCACTAGATCTAGGTCTGTCTTGGATAATCTTCTAATTCTCAAAAGCTGAAAAAATTAACCTGATTACTAGATCTCTGTCCAGTCTAGGTAAAAAAATGTAACTTTCACAAAATCTAGATCTAGGTAGGCCTATCTAGTCTCACACTGTAAGATACCTCAAGTTATTTTGATACATGTAAAATTCTGAGCTTTCATTTGTGTTATTTTTTTGGATTTTTACTTTACTCAACTGCATTTCACTTTTATTTTTAATTGGTATACTTAGACCTTTGTGTGAATCAAAGTATTTTAAAAAGTATTTTTTTGTTACACTTTCTATGCTATATAGCATGATTAGGAAAATATTGAAGAATTTGAAGCTGGAATATAAACTATTAAAAATTCTATGACAAATACAGAAATTGATAGATTGTAATCTGCATCTAACTCATTAAAAAAGCTAGGCCTAACTAATAAAAATCTGCCTATATTTTTAGCTTCTTGTTAAGAAACAAAATGATTGTAAAACTATATCTATCATTATTGTTATTCCACTTTAAAATTGCATTTTAAAAATTAAATATAACAAATTTAGCCAGATAAAATTGAACATGGGATTTGAATAGGCGTACTCTTTAGTGCTAAAAGTAGTTGTGACCCATTTATGTATGACCATTTATAAAGTTATACTTCCTTACTTACAGAAAAAAAAAAGATATACTTCCTTACTTACAGAATAAAACAATTTATTTCTGGGACACTTAGCTCCAACAAATTAATACTGCTGTAAAATATGTATTACCATCTGCTCTAAATTTTAAAAATTATTAGCTACTATTTGAAATTTCTGCCAAGATGAAACAGTTTTCCCTGAAAAAAAAAACATTCATATTGATTAAAAGTGGTTAGGAAAGACAGTTGTACTTTTGAAATGTATGTAAAAAAAAAAATCAAATCTTTTATGCTGCAAAATTTGACAACACTAATGCATGCTCTCTTTTTAATAATATGTGCATGTATTTTTTTGCAGTACATGCTGTAGGATGTGTCAGGGTAAGGAGACATGGGTGTACTAAAGCTAGCACTCACAGTTAGTATAAAACAATGGCAGCTGGGAGTAACAGAAGGTTAATTTAGGCTAATAAAATCTCAAATGGGTTATCCCTGAAAGGCATTTAATTGCTTTCCATTTGAGCTCTTGATTGGCCATGTTTCGCAATGTATTCAGAGGGTGTGTATCTGACCGCAGCTCACAGGCAGAAGTTCTGAGATCCCAAAAGTAAGTTCATTAGCAAAAGTTATTTTTTTAATAAAAAACTAACCCAAGAGATTTTCAACTCATTGGGAAGTTTATTTTGAATAATCTTTTAAAAGTTAATGTGAGAATCTTGTATCTGAGTCATTTCTATTATTATTTTAAACCATGTAGGCTTAAATTTGGAGCTTCCTTGTCTTCTGCTTTGAAGCATGGCTACTTGCCAGGTCCACTTGTGGTGAGTATATTAACATTCAGGTTGTTATTGCAGCTGTCCAATTTATTGTTTACATTACTAATTAACTGCTTTAGAGTTGCTTCCCCTGATAAAACTATATATTAATGAAGATGTATATATGAAAATATAATCACTTTGCAAACTATTGCCATTGACCTTTTATGAACAACTTGTCCTAAATTTTCTTATTTTTTTTGTCTTGTCTTGGTACACAGGACATTTTGGTCCATATTGCTAAAGAGGGTGTCACCACTGCAGATGTTTTTCGTCGCCCAGGGAATCCGAACGATACAAGAAGAATTGTTAAGCGTTTAACAGAGGGCAAACAAGTGATCTATGCCAACTACAGTTTTTATACTCTCGCCTCTGTTGTAAAGGTGAATGTTCAAATATTTAATTAAAAAATATTTGTGTAAACATGATCATTTATTTTACTTGATAAAATTAGTTCATTATGTTACCAATGACATTCCACAATGATGTAAAACAGGTAATAATTGTCTATCTGTGTATTTTTCTTGTAGAAATTTCTCCTCAAGATTCCGGGTGGAATTTTTACTCCAGAAGGTGAAGAGGAGCTGTTGCGTGCTTTGACGCTGACTCAAAAAATGGATCAGATAGAGGCAGTGCATAAGTAAGCAAATCTATTTGTTGCTGCTATAGTAAATTAAAAGATTGAATATAATATCTGGGATTTCTTCTGGCTTCACTTTTTTAGGTCAGGTTTTAGAATCAAGGCTATTTTTAGTGCTTGGGGTATTGATACTAGCCGTGAATGTATTTTTTTGTGATGTTTAATTAAACAAGTACCTTAATCATTCTTTACAAGTTTTTGAATGATATCTGCTCTGATTAGATGAGTTGACATATTGTAAAGAAACACATCTTTTCCCCACAGTTTTATAGAAACACTTTCTCCTGCCCATCAGCAGCTTGTGGCCTTGTTGTTTGGTACTTGGTTTCGAATAGTTACCTTTCAAGAGAAGAACTGTATGTCTGTGGAGGCCTTGTCACGAAGTGTAGCTGGTAGCATGTTTCATACATGTGCTGAAGACCCTGCTAAAGTAGTGTATTTTTAAACTTTATTTCTAGCTTAGTCTTCTGTGGTGCAACACTTTTTAAAATAACCTATAAACTTAAAGTGTTATACAATAGTGTGGAGTGGTAGAGCACACAAAAAGATGACATAAACTAAGGAAGCTACCTAACCATTGGATTTTGTATGGCCTTAATGCATAGTATTTGATTAACCTCATAGTTATAATTAAAAAAAAATAATCTAAAATAACATGAATACTTTTTGTATAGGTAGAGAAAGCAAGTCGAATCATGCAATTTCTGATTGACAACTATGGAGTGGAGAGAATGTTTGGCCAGGATAATTTAAGATTTTTTGCTGAAACAACACACACAGGGATTCATATACGTGAGCTATACCGCTACAGCTATCGCCAGGATGCACAAGTCATTCCACGTAGGTGAAATCTTTTGCATTTGTTGTTTGCTTACATTTTTTTATCTGCTCATTGATTTGCTTTACTTACAAAATCAAAATCAGGAGTTTAATTTTTTGACCTATTTTATTTTATTAAAATATAAAAAATAATATTTAAAAAAATTTAATTAACAAATAACACAACAGCAATCTAATCTAAAATTTATGTTTGAATGGCTATTTAAAATTTTTTTGGAACCATTCATTCTCTAGTGGACAAATATTTAAATAACAGCACAGGAATAGTACCTAAATGTATTCTTTCAAAAAAGTGGTTTGAGTTTTGGATAGTTTTAACTTTTTCACTATGACAAAGTAAATTATTCCTTAAAAAACATGTGAAAATGCCTGGACTTGCTTTTAGATGTGTCGATGTTGTTTGTATGTGTGTGGTCTCTTATTTGGCTTGCACTGACTAACCTGTGTTCCTGCAGGCAAGCAGGCAGAATGTGTATTTGTTGCATTCATTGAAAAAGAAGCCTCCAAGTATGGGTTTGACATTATCAAAGATGGTAAGGGGGAATGTTGAGGAGCGCTGGAGCTAGCTATCTGCATTATATTTTATTTCTTGAATTTTTCATTGCATTGATACAGTTTCTTTCCATAAAATATAAATACTGGCATTGACTTTTTATATGCTTTCTTTTATATTACACTTGATTTAAAAAAAAACAGCTATTCTCTTAAAAATATAATTATTTTGAATAATCAAGGAAGTATTTTGTTTAAACTATTGCAATTAAAAGAAAATAATGGGTGAGTAAATAAAACTAAGTTGAGATGTTCAGACCTGATCTATGGTGAGCTGGGCCTAGTTTATCTTTACATATGTTTTAAAAAGCTTTCTTATTGGCAGAATACATAGTTGATTAGGCCAGGGTAATAAAGAATTTGAGTAGCCCTACATCATAAATTGCATGGCCACTTTTCAAAGTTTTTTTTATTGACTGACTATTATATTTGAGAGCTTTGGGCACACATACAAGTTCAAATGATGCTGTTGAACCTATATAGGATAAGCATGTATTGTGTGTTTCTAGAAGATAGGTTGTGTTATGAATACAGTTTGCATTGTGTACTGCTGTATGAATCTGTTTGCACTCATTTTTCGCTACAATGCAATAATGTTACTGTATTAAAAATTATTAATTGTTCATTCTTACTTAATAATGTTATTTTATGTTAAGCTTAAAAGATTTAAATTTTCAAGTGAGTTAGTATAGGTAATGCATGGATAGCCTGAGCAAAAGTTTAGCATCAGTTTTTTCTGGTTAAGCTAGTTTGTATATTTGCATGATGTTTTGAATTCTGCAAATGGTAAGTTTGTGTTGTGAATGGTGTTAAGTATAAGTTGCTTTGAAGTTGAAGATAGAACCAAGATGTTGTGATTTTTCCTCTCTGCTAGATTTAACAAACATGTCTTGTTGCTCTAGCATTTTGACAGCAATTTTTTTACTCTCCAGTGCAGTGACATGGGTTGGCTTGTATTTTTTGTACTAACTAGGAGTGTAACAACTTACATGATAACTTAATAATAACAACTTACATGATAACTTAATAATTTACTAACTACAGCTTGATGTACTAAAATCATGTTAACTGATACAGTGGGACCCCCACTTTTAATCATACAAGACCTTTGTTTATCCTTGATTGGTTTGCATCACTTAAATACATTATCAATTCTATGAGTGGGGAGGGGGGGGGGGGGGAAGGGGGGGTTGTAGGAAATCTTTTTTTTCTCTAAGTTCTGGTCATAAAAGTGGTCAGTATATATAATATTTTTGTGTTGCCAAATAGGTTTGATCCAAAGGTTGATTATTTTGTACAAGCTTGACAATACTTATTACAGGAGGATCAAGATAATTACTATTATTACTATGTATACAATGTTAGCATGATAATTTTTTGAAAGATAGCAGCATTTTAAAATGTATATCTTGATAATAAAGAAATATTGAATAATTCTTAAAGTTGTTCAATGGTTTGATATGATTGTATTAATTTCATACGGTTACGATTTGCATTTACATAAAGAAATTGATGTTAACATTTTTATTGGCTAGTCTTTAAAATGTGGTTTTCATTTTGACTTTAAAAAAAATAATTTTTTGAAATTTAATTACAACTTTGAAACTTTTAATTTTCTTAATCTTTATCAGCAAATTGTAACTCAGCTAATTAACATAAAACATCATTAACCCCCCTACTTTATGTTAGTAGGGGGTCCCACTTTATTTCTTCAAAAACTTTTAATGCTTGCTTGCCTGCTTTTGGAAATGCTTATTTAACTCAGTTTTATGTCATAACATCGCTAACCATATTTAAATATACAGTTATGGTTTAATTTAAACTTGCTATAATATTTGTAATAATTATAAAAACCATTTATTTAGTTCACTCTTGGAAAATACATTACAAAGTTTTTAATGTAAATCTTAATCAAATACTTGGTCCATTTAATAAAAAATGGGTTAGTAAATAGTTAACAGCATCTCTTGATTTTTTTTTCCCCCAATGATTTAATAACATGTTTTGATTTCATTATCCCAGCTGTAATACCAGATTTTATTGAGGTGACTAGGATGGATAAGGATGAGGATGATGAGGATTGTGGACTGGGGCGTGACCGAGAGTTCAGTGAGAGCCCGCAGCCGTCCCCTACTGCCTTGAGACACTTGGACCTGTCAACAGATGACGCAGAAGATTCCCAGATGATGATCAACGTTTCAACTCTCTCAGCGCCAGAAGTTTCTTTAGTTCCTTCACCTGAGGTTACAAAGGTAAAACTTCATATGAGTTTAGTATATATTTAATTATACAGACATAATGACAAAATTTTTTCCACTATATAAACAACTGTGATATGCTCTTGATATATAGGCTTATTTACCTTGCTTTGTAAAAACTCTTTTGTTAACTTTTTGCATACCAAAAAATGGCCAATTGTTTGGGACGTAATGAATGTAAAATGCTAAAAGAAAATAGTATTAGTTAAAAGCCAGTTTTGTTTTTATTAGTTAAACACTTAACCATTAGCCAGCATATAAGTCTTAAAAGTTTTTTGAAGCAATTTGGTAAAAAAAAGGTTAACCTTTTAACTTAAAATTCTGTTAATGTGGCTGCTGGTCTGATTTAAAAAAAAGCTGTCACTGCACTAGGTTTTAGACAAAGTTTGTGATGTTAAATGGTTTCAGCTAGCTTATTTTGTTTTTTAGCTTACACAACAGTTTTCTAATCAGTATCTATGTTTCTTTCTGATTTCAGCGACCCAAATCTTTAGAAGATAACTTGAATGAATTTAGATCTCACTACCAAAGTCGGTGTCTAAGCAGATTTAATTCAGTGAAGCGTAAACAACTGGAAAGGTTGCGTCAGAGATCGGACTGGTTTCTGAGCCCCACAGTGAGAGAGAGAAACAATAGTCGAAAGGGCAAAGGTGAAGGTAGTCTAAGTCTGTTTGCCAGTAGTGCCAGCAACAGCAGCAACCAGCACCGAGGCAACGGGAACAACAACGGGAAGGGTAACAAGAACAATCAATCCAATGGCAGCAGTAAAGTTCTGCAACAAAAAAACTCAGGGAACTCTGTCGTAACTAAAGCATCCTCGGAGGGGGCTGTTCTGGAGGCTTTCTCTGATGGGGACAGTGTGTTTACTGACAACACAAGTCGCAGTGAATCCCCTGCCTCAGAGCCTGTGTGGTCTCACATTCTTAAAGTTCATTCTCGAGACATCATCCACAGTGATACTATAGCCGAACTAGGCCCACCTGAGCTGAGCTTGTACGAGGGTAGCTCCTGCGCTGATCTTAGCTTAGATTCCCATGACAATATAAGCGCTCATCCACTAGGCTTGTCCCCTTCTTCTATCCGAAGCCTTTTGGAGGAGAGAGTGAGAGAGAAAGGGTATGAGGAAGATGACGATGATGACGACAACACCACCCCCACGGGGATCCAAGAAGAGGAAGACACCACCCTGATGGCATCATCCATCCCAGATCTCCAGCAGCAGGAAGGGGAGGAGGAGACATATGGGCAGCAGCAGCACGGAGGTGACCAGAACCAAGCAGCACACCCAGAGGGCAGTGAAGACAGCACTCAAGTAGTCCAATGTTTTTTAGTGGAAAATACCTATGGGGGAGATTCCTAGCAGCAACCCTTTTTGTATTGCCTGGGCTTGGAGTACTTGCTTTCACTTGTAATGTGCTTTTAGTTGGGTTTTCTTTTTCTTCTTCTTGACTATTTAATTCTTTTCATGTGTGATATTTGTGTTGTATAAATTGAAATCTCAATTCTACTTTTTAAATACTTAAGGTGTTTACTGTCAGCTTTAAAAAAAAATAGTTTTTGTTATTTATTATACAAATGGTGAAACAAATCTAAACTAAGTATAAAATATGGACTAAAAATGGCTTTGTGTAGATATTTATGTTAAAAAAAAATTATAGGTTTATAGCAGTTGTTGCTGTTAAGAAATCTTGTTTTACAGATCTGTTGCTGGAAATTTAAGAATATGTCTTTAAGATGTTGAATGATCTCTTTTTTTTTTCCATTATAAAGTTAGCCAAAGAGAAGAAAAAACCAAAGAAATGAAACACTAGTCTGGAAGTTTTCTAGTCCTGATTAGGTCATCATTTCTCTTTTGTGCTGCCATAACATTTGTGATTTATTTTTTTAAATTGTGATATATAATGGCTAAGAAATTAGTGATGAATATAATTTAGTGGCTAGATGCACACTTTCATTTTTAAACTTAATTGTAACTATAGAAAAAAAAAACATTAAGTTGATTTGTATTATTTTTCTGAAACAGATTTGCAAAAGTATCATAGTATAAAATTTGTCTGATTAATCTTGTGTGAACATTTAAAGCTAGTGTTGTTCTAGGTTTGTTTTGTGTTTTTCTTAAGTTTCTAAATATGCAATTGTAACTTTTTTCATGTTTTAAATGTTTTGCAAATACCAATCTACCAAGCCCTGCAAATATTCAAATCCATGTAATTGGTTTTCTGTTTTTTTCAATGATTTGGATCCCAAGCACATTTGTTTTGAGGTGACCAGAACATTGTGGTTGGCATGCAAGTTAAGTATGTCTGTGTGTTTATATATAAATATGCATATAAATATTTATACATATTCATATATATGAATATGTATATAAATTTATATATATATATATGAATGAATGTGCTATTTAGCAGGATCCAAAAACAAATCCGTTTTTTAAATCTATAGATTCTTTTATAAATTGAAGCCAACATTTTGCTTTAATGTAATCCTTTTTATACACTTTGCAGTTAGTTGTAAATTACTTGCAACAAGTATACTTTGGGTGTCAGTTATTTTTGTATATTGAAAGAAAGGTTTTCTATTTGCTTGCTTTATTTTATTGTTGTAAAAAATGTCTATATAATTCTGTACCAAAATTGGAATGCACAGGGTCTTGCTCCACCAAATCTACATATGTTGTTTTGAATCTCATTTCTTTTATCTTACTGTTGAGCGATGGTCAACTGATAAAGGCTAATACACAAAATCAGCTTCTTTATTTCATGTTTGCTATTTATTTTTATATTTGATGACTGTTAAAGCATTTATTTTTTACAAGTAAAATGGGCTAAACTATTGAGATTCTCAACTAAATGTGATTAAAGTGTAAGGATATTTGGTGTGATGCACTGTTTTTAAGAATTGCTGAAGAGAATTTTGACATACCTGCCAGTGTGTGACAGGTATAAACATGGTACTCGTGCCTTTTATTGTGTTCTTCAACACAACTCACATTTTATCACATTTCTCTCAGCCTGACACAGCCCTCCATTTCTGTTGACTAGATGTACTTGACTAGTAAACCACCCTAGCCCACCTATTCTACTAGAAGTTTATTTATAAGTAACCATTTCAATCAAACTGGTATATTTAGCCACTCATTTCTGTGATTTAAATGTAGTAGAACAAATTGGTCTGGAAAGTTTATGTTAGTGCCATATTAACAAGCTGTATCTCATATAATTGTAAATTTGGCCAAATGGGAGATATTTACTGAGCATCTAGACCTAGGCTACTCTCTGTGGTCAAATGCACTTAATCAAGTTGATGACTAGATTAGTTGAGTTCCTGCTGATAATTAAGATCTACAGCTAGTATTTTTTTATGCCACTTGTAACAAGAAATTCCACTTTGTCCTAGTATAATGCAAAATATTTTTGATAAACTGTTTCACCATTTCAAATTTTTTTTTTTTGGCACATGTAAAACCTGTTTAAACTATTTTCTCTCCCAGAAAAATCTTAATTGTTTGAAATGTTTTTTTTTTACCTAAAGCCATATGGATAATTTTTATAGCACTTCTACAAAACATTGAAAAAGTTTTCTTTCATCACTGTTGATATGTGAAATTTGGTTTTAGAATGAATGTTTAATGTCAATTACACATGTTAGTTCTGTGGCAAGTTTGGTTACATTTGTCTTAGTAAGTCAAAGGATATTTAGATACCTTAATCTTTATTTTTTAAAAACCTTCTGGATCAGAAACTTAAAATCAGAGAAAAGATATACTTTGTATCTAGATAAAGAGTAAAACAATGTTGTGCCTTAGCTAATGTGTTGATAGTGAAATAGGTTTCATATTGCCATAATTATTCACAGAAATCAGATAACTGTTGTTCAGAGGTTTGATACATATAAGCTTTTCAACTAAATTTGTATCTTTGTAACCATTTACAATCTTTAAACAATGATTGAAAATTAGTAGACTGTAATGTCTATTTTAATTAATTAAGGTAATTTGATATGGCAATAGTGATAGAATATAAATGCTTAGTACAAAATCAAACAAAGGTGACTTGTATAGTGAGATGTCTGCTTAGACTTAGAGGATCAGAAAAGTCTAGCAATCACATTTGTGGTGGGTATGGTGTGATTACTTTCCCTAGCACTACACTAGGTTACATCTTCATTAATACCTGTGTCTACCATGGTTTACTAAAACTGGAATCTCTAATGCTCCCCACCTTATTTTTTGTGGTAGGCCTATTTATTAGATCTGTTGTTTCTGTGTTGAAGGAATTATACTTTATTACAAAATGGACAACAATTGTGCTAAATTTGTGAGGCTAAATTAAATCTATTGGTTGAATTGTATATAATAGCTAAATGTATCAGTTAAGTGATGAGCTAAAATCATGCCCATGTACAACTCAGTGACCTTACAAGTGAGCCTAGTGACCATACAGACTAGTCAGATCACCAGAGTAGTCAGCTCACCTTGTTTCCAGCTTGTTGTACATCAGTAAACATGCAGCCTACCATGTGACCAAAAGGAATATGGCCATTGGTTGAAAGTCGAAGCATCCATTTGTCACTTGTAGACTTGATAAAAAAGCGCATGAATAGTTTTCACATTTGGCCTTTGGTAGTCAACTGTGCCTTATTCCATCTGTTCCATGTTCTAATGGCCTTAGTCGCAGGGTCATCAAGATAGTTTCTCATGCACCATTACACCAGGCTGTAGATCATCTCACCTGTTAGGTGTCCTCAGCTGTATGCCAGGTTGTTTGCTTGTCTGGGCTCCTATTCTCCTTGTCAGTGTACATAGTCTTACAGACATGTTTTCTAGAGCTAACTGAGGTCATCACTGATTGTCTGCATGTTCATTGGTGTACAACTGGCTGGAAATTTACAGGTGAACTTGATACAGTTTACATGATAGAATCAAAATGGTTGTGTCATTTCTTTTCTGTATGTGCTGTGTTGTTGGGGGACTGGGATTCTCAAGTCATTTTTTGAAATACAACTTCTAGAACTATTTTTTATTACAAGATGTATATTTTTTAGATTAGTTTAAATATGCTAACAGTTGGTTAATGCTAGCTGTTCATCAACATTACTATTTTTTAAAATCACCCGCAAAGGTATTTAAATATTAAAGTATGTTATTTTTATATTTGGGGCTAAGCCCAGATATTGAAAATCAAATTTTTAAAATGAATTTCCTGTTTTAAAATGTTTTTTTTTCCTTCTTTTTCTTTTAAAAAAAACCTCTCATTTATTAGTCAGAATTATGAATGTTTATATGTTTTTTAAAATTGGCTTTAGAATTTAATGTCACTTTTGCTACTTAAACCAGTGTTGAAAATTTGTTTGCTTTAATATAGTTATCTTACTCTTTCCTTAAAAAAAATGTATGCACATTTTTTCCTTTAGCTAATTTATTCTTTTGTGCATGACCAGAGCAGATTCTCAATGTATGCAGATTTCTTTTTATTTGTTCCTTATTTATATCTATGTTTTTGACATCAACAGCTAAATCTGATTTAGTTTTAAACCCCCCCCCCCCCCCCCCCATTTCTCCATGACAAATCACACTAAGTGAAAATTTTACCTTTTAATAAATTTGATGCTGCTTTATCAGTTGTTAATAAAAACCCAAATCAAACTATTGATTGTATTATAAGTCTTAGTCATATTTAAACTAGTCTTTAGTAAACTGGGAAGCTTGTATCATAAAGCTAGTAAACCTGTTCTTTGAGGACCAGACCTGGTTTAAAATAAAATTAAAAAAAAAGCAAAGCTTTTCTGTGCAGATAACTTAAAAGTTAAAAAAAAAAACAACCTAGTTTTGAGTTGTTTATCAAAACATTCAGTTGAATCTTACATCTAGTTTCATTGGCTGTTTTTTTTTCTCTTTCAAATAAATGTTTTTTTAACAAATATTTTAAATCCAGATAATGGTTATGCAACTGTGTCACAATTACTAAAGTATTTTTAGACTTTTGTCTACCACCTTTACTACCATGCTAGAACAATTCCACTTAATATTAACTTTTGGTAAATACTTTTGACAGACTGTTGTATATTTAAACACTCTTTCCAATTGTTGTATCTGATTGCATTGGATCATTTGATCTAATTATGTATAGGCTAAATATCACTGAATTCATTGGCATTGACAGAGTATCAAAATCTAGCTCATGATATACATATTTATTAAATGCCATTGACAAATCACCAACATTAAGATCTTGCGCTTGCTGAAAGTATTGTTTTTAACTAAACTCACAATATTAAAAACTTAATTTGGCAGCAGATGTGAGAAATATTCATGTCCATTCCATTAGACATGGTTTCAGATTTGCAATATTCCTATACTTTTGTCACCATTCTCTTTCACTAAACTAAGACTGAAATGGTTGGAAAAAAAAAATCAAACTTGTAATTATTTTTGAGTACCCTTTTTGTGACCTTTCTTCTTCAGTAACTAAGAATGAAATGGTTGGAAAAAAAAATCAAACTTGTAATTATTTTTGAGTACCCTGTTTGTTTTCCCTACCCCCCTGTGTGCTTTTAAATTGTTGAGTCATGAAAACTGATGCTGTGTACCACAGTCCTAGCTTTGCCTAGTTCCTTTGAGTATATTTTTCATGTTGCCATTTGTGGGAACCTGTGTGTGCAATGGTTCATTTGGATTTTGTGTTCACCACCTGGATAAGCTTAATGTTTGGTTTCATCACATTTCAACACTTTTTCCTGTTTAACATGGGCTTGATCATGTTCATTTTTTAAACAATAAATTTGTATAAATGTTCAGCTTATCATTTTGTTTGTCTTCATTTCATATTTTAAGAAGCACACACAATACTTAGTGTGAAAGGTTGACACTAAATATATAAAAGAAGTAATAACAACATGATTACTATGAACATTTAATTTGATCACCAACATTTAAAGATCAATAAAAGAAATTGGTTATATAAAATGTAACCCAATAGAAAAATAATTAAGTATCAGCCCTTTTTTAATTAATCAGCTAAAATTGTATAAACATGGAAATTAATCAGCTAAAAATGTAATAACTTAAGAAATAATGCATTAACAAAAGTTAAGCTTATAAAAGTATTCATGGAAGTCAAAGGATAAAATATTTACATTTTTACAGTCTTCAACAGCTTGAGCAAGTTGAAACAGTCAATTTGATAATTTTATGCTACATTACTTTATACACGCGAAAAGTTGGATTTTCAAAAACAGCTTTAAAATATTTGGCATATTCAGGTGTCTGGTGCCGGACATTCTCACAAAACCTGGGTATTCTGGACTCAACAAGTCCTGGTATGTTGATATGGTCGTCTGGCATCTGGAAGGTCAATTTTTTAAATGACACCCTCAAATACAAAATTATTAAAAGAATATGAATTTTAAAGAGCACATCACTAAAACAATAAACTTGATAGAAATAATTTCTTTAAACTGAGGATATATAATTTGTAACTTTGACACTCAGGCTTAATAAGACAAACCATAAAATTAAAAAAACAACAACGCATGACAAAGTTTTATCCTGCTTGAACTTGAAACAATTTGTTTAAAGAATCCATGATTAGCTGGATGGTTGATCTATTTTCTTTTGTCAGTTTTGTGGGTTTTTTAAATTCACTTTTAAAATTCAAATTTGGAAACCTTAATTAAAAATTTCACGGATTAACTCTTGCATTGAATCACTTAACCTCGGAAGGGCATCAAACATACATTTAAAAAAAATAAAAGGCTATATGTGAAGCCAAATAAGCAGAAAACTACGCTAAAAATTTCTTACCACTCCGTTGTCAATGTCAACAAGGTCTGGGGTCCTACAACCTCCTCTGGATGGGGCCCTGCAGATACTGTCCTCAAGGATGATGTAGCTGCTTTCATAGGTTTTCAGAATGGCGTGGACATCCTCTGGCCTCCTGCGGCCATAAATCTGGTACAGCTGAGGAGACAAAATTATAGAAAAGATGTGGACACTTTAGAATGTACAAATACAATTTTAAAAACAACTTAAAAAATAGTGTAACAATATGCAACAATACTGAACAATCTTTTGACACACATTTAGAGGAAAAACAATTAAAACTGCTATAATATTTAGAATTTGGGGATTCTGATCTTATCTAATAAATTCACAAAGAAAGGCGGCCATGTTTCTAATAAAGTGTGCAGTTATTTCCTTACTTGTTTAGTCTTAAACCTGAGAAGCTTATCTTCATAGTGTGGGTGATTGGTCACAGGGCGCATAGTGCAAAGTTTGACTCCGGCAAGAAGCTGCATGCTGCCTGTGAAGGACTCGCTTGGATTTGTGCTGTTGCTGGAAACATTGACCATTGGTTTTGCTTATTAGCAATCTAATTAGATACTAAATTAATGGATTATTTAATTCATTCCATCAAACAGACCAGATACATAAACTTATTGTTATGGTTCATTTTATTAGGGCAAATATACATCATAATAGATGTATGCAAATAATACTAAACATGAACCAGAATATAGTCATAAAGACATCTTTATGGGAGAAACAAGGAAATTGATACCTTGAACTAAGACATTAGCTTCATTAGTTAAACGGTAGAGGAGGCAACGTATTCCACTTCTCTGATATCAATACCCCCAACTTTTGCACGTCTAAAACTTACCTGATCCACTCCATCAGCTCCACTGTATGAGGATCCCAAAATTCATATTTATTTTCAAGTTCAGAAAGTACACTAGGAAGCATCTGTATTTTGTGGCAATAATTATAAAAATATCAACATTTTTAAATGATTGTGTCAATAATCTTAACTACAGATAATACTTCATTAATAGGAAACACGTAATAACTGAAGAAATTTGGCGACGACTAGGGCTAAAATAATATTTAAAAAACAATGTCTTAAAATTAAGTTATTTTCTTGATACAACATCAGGTAAGCTCAGAACATCAAGGGTTATATTATCAGGAAATACCAATTTAAAGCTATATCAACTTTCAATGCAGAATTCAACACTATATTTATCCTCGACAATGTTGAGGATAAATTACACTTAAATTAGATTGAAGTCTTCACAATGTTTAATGACTCTCTCTTTTCAAGTTCCTTTATCTAACTTCAACACAAAGCTAAACAAATGACCCTAGGCTGAGCAGAGAAGACAAAAGTTCTCTATGCCCAATAGTTTCAGGTAACTGAACTCTACTATTACTAATGCATAAAATTAAGAAAACAAAGATAAAGCTATTTCTTTTCTTACCCGACCAGTTAAAGCACTAATAGCCAGAATAATGGTAGAATACTGAGCTATGGTAATCTGTGAATCAAACAAGAAAGTAGGTAATAAAAAAATAAAAATAAATGAGACACTTAAATTATTTAAATTTTACTATAATCTATTACACTCATAAAATTTTTTACTGAAGTTAATTTGTTCTTCAATGTAGCACCAAGTCAATTAGTTAAGGAACAAAGGAGATTACAAAATTTAATATAAATATAAAACAAGTGGAAATAATAAGATTTCTTGCTACTGTTTATTAATTAAAAAAATAAGCAGTTTAAAATATTTTAAAAGGCAAACAAATCAGGATAGAATTGCAGGATAGATAGCCCAGGATATATATATATATATATATATATATATATATATATATATATATGTGTGTGTTACCGGCAATGTATGAAAACCGGCATTCTATAGAAACCTTGGCAATGTATGCAATGCTTGAAATGGGCAGGCAAAGTATATAATACATCACTATTTCATACAAATCCTAGTAATTCTATAGGATATCCAATAATAAACAGGCGAAGTGTAGACATTCACTTCACTTAAGAATTCACAATCTTGATGATGACAATACTTGATGATAACTTGCACGATGACTCAAGTAGGATTGATGACTAACATGACTGCCTATTCTAGCTTTTCCCTTTCGTATACCACCTAATCTCTAAGTTCTACAATATATGTCACTTCTCTCCCAATACTTACTATGCTACAGAAGTGTACAATTATTGACGTTTGATACAAAATATACAACACAAACAGATTATGGATTTGTGAGCCATGGCTGAAGAAACAAAAAAAAGGTATTGTAGTGAAGCCTATGGTATTTTCTGGTTTCAATTGGCACTGCCAAGTGGATGTAATTGACTTTCAATCCCATCTTGACAAGAAATATAATTTTATAATGGTGTACAAAGATATTGTCAACAAGTTTGTGGTTAATAATAAAGGGAGTTGAAGAAGTAGCTTACAACTTGATAGGTATATTTACCTTGATTGGTGCATTCAAACCGCGCTAGAATAAACAAAACCTTCTGTCGCCAAATCCCATCAATCAATTATTATTGCTGAAGTGTCCCCTGCCCGTAAGCTCATAACAGAAAACATTCATGTGGAAATATTTCTACGGCTTTTCACATGGCTTTGTTACAAACCAGACTGTAGCCCAAATAATCAAAATACAGGAATTATCGGTAGACCCCCAGCATTGTAGTCGTCTCCCTGATCATTCATTACCTGGGACAATGTAAGCTTATTGCGCTTGACATCCTCAGTTGCGATCCATGCATTTAAATTGTGACAGCTGCTTTCTTAGAAGTTAACTAGGCACGATTTTTTTTTGGATTGATTTATTTGTCTCCAACATACATGGATACATACGAGTAATACTGTTGCTGTAGCCGCTTTTTCAATCTTTCACAATCCCTCCATACAATTGTTTGTCACTATAGACTTTTGTATTCACTTTATAGTGCCTAGATATTTTATGTAATAAACATTAGATGTTGTTCATTTAGTATTATTTTCTTTCATTTTTTTACAGATTGTTACTAAAGAATTTTGCAATCTGGGCATTTCACACTTTGCCTGGGCAATTCTTGTCATTCTATTTATTCCCTAGGCATTTTATATAATGCCTAGGAAAAGTATATAACAATGCCAATATTTCATACTTTGTATACATTGCTTAGGGTGCCGGGTTTTCAAACTTTGCAGGTATCACAAGTAAAGGTAAAGCAGGCAAAATTGAAAAAACAAAAATGTCAGACCCTGTCAAATCAATACAATTTATATGGATCAATTTATTGCTAGATATTCTTTCCTTTAAAATTTTTTTTTAAAAAGTGTAGGGAACATGTTAATCAAACAAACTTAAAAGTGTACTGAAGAATGTTTAGTAAAGATTGTATAGTTTCAAGTTGATTAGAAAAATAATGAACCCTAGTTGCTTAACAAACCAGAGATTTTTTAGCAAATTTGTGAAAAACTGTGATCCACATTGTTTCATCAGACAGCCCAACAGAAGCAAGCACGCAGATGTATGGTGTCCAAAAATATTTCATTCGCAGGGTAAATATTGCTAGTGCACCAAAGAAAACAGCTTGTACTGTAAAAAAAACATGAGAGGGGAACTTTGATGCAAATCTAAGAGGTATTGTTGCACTAATCACATATGTAAGAGGTATTGTAGTGCTAATCACATAATATGTAAGAGGTATTGTAGTGCTAATCACATATGTAAGAGGTATTGTAGTGCTAATCACATATGTAAGAGGTATTGTAGTGCTAACCACAAAATATGTAAGAGGTATTGTTATGCTAATTACTTATGTAAGGGGAAATAAAGAGCTTAATCAAATGAGTGAGGGAAATTGACGTGCTAATAACCCTGTCAAAGATTTGGGATCTCATAATGATGAGAGCAGGACAATTCAGCATCCTCAGAGGTTTTTGATCTGCTAGGACCAACAACTGAATATTAAAAATGTAGTTTGTTAAACTGAAATGTATTCTACTTTTCAATGTATGGACCTGAATGTGAGTTTTAATGTTGTTAAAAAAAAAAACAATTTTATATGAATGTTACAAAAGCTATTTTCAAGAATAAATGATATAAACGATTCACTAACTTTATAGTGTAATAAAGCAGGTGCAGGAGAATCAAGTGTATAATGAAAAATTTAGTGGGTATAAAGTATGAGAGAAATGTGCAGGATCAGTTGATAAAAAGATATAAACTGCACCAGCCCAGAATTTGAAAAATAACAATGTAACCAAATGACCAGTATACTTTTTTGACAATAGCTTAAACCTGTATTATTTGAGGTAGCAAAACATAACTGCATATTCCATTTAACAGATTACAAAGCAAATTAATTCCTTTATTAATTTAGAATTTTTTAAAATTATTAAGTGCTAAATTATTCTCAACTACTGAAACTTGATTGATTGACTATTTACTGTATGCTGGCTTACTAGAGATGAGATTTGTAAAACTAATGTAAGTAGGACATACAGCAATATAATATAGCTAGTTAGAGTATAATAAAATAATTGTCAAATTATCAGTATTTTTATTTTAAACAAATAATTGCTATTAAAAATTAAATAGTAGTTGCTAATGATTGTGTTTGTAGCTTGAATGTAAATTCTAATTAGGTTGAGATAATCCTTTTTTCTATCAATGAACTTTACCCAAATTATAAATTAAATAGTAAGCCTATTTATTTAAGTGTTTATGTCAGTAGATTAAATATCTTAAATATGCTAAAAAAAGTAAATGATCCAAATTTCTGTAAATTCTTTTTTCAAACCAAAGCTCAATTGGTATTTAACTTGCAGTTAGCTTACTTGTGTGAAAAGCAAGATCTGGTCTACAGTCCTCAAAGCAGGGCAGATTGGTGTTCACTTTATCTTGGCTACTGGTTAAACCTTTACCGTTGTTTGTCTGTGTTGCAGTGGCACAACTCTGGGACCTGAGAAAATATGCCGCGTTATTAAATACTTTAATTATCTCATTATGTAGCTACATCATCATCAACATCTTTCCCAATCATGCACAAGACTCAAGGGTCATATGTTTCAATGACAAGGGGACAGTGTGGTCAGCACTATGCCCAGCCGCCTTTGTTTCCATAAGAGCTGGGTGGACTTAGGGACATCATACAGACTTGACCAGGGATCCGACCTCACGACTTTAAGGTTAGCAGTCCAGAGCTCTACCATCCGCCCATGCTGTCTCTATTTTTAGCATTTTAGCTTAACTATTAATATTTTTTTGTAGAATGTAAATATGTAAGAAAACAAAAATTAATTTATCAATGAAAACTGTAATAAAACATGTTTTAGAATTTTACCTCCATTTCCTGATCACTGTGTATATGAGATAAAGTAACATCAGAAAGTGTGCAACAGCATATAAAGGTAGAACACCACTGTTTGTGAGTCTTTCAAAAACATCCCAGGTTATAAAACCAAATATACCAAGACACAAGTAAATTCTTGAATCAAACTCCCTATGGGTAATGGTAGAAAACATACATTTTAAAAAAAAAATGTATAATATATTTTCATTACATTTAAACTTTAAAATCAAAGTTAAGTATACATAAAGAAATGAGAAACAATTTTGTTTTACCTGATAAACTTATGACAAGGTATTACCTAAAATGGTTTAAACTAGCTTTAATTTTGTGTTTTTAGTAATTTTTGTACTGACAAAAACAGTGCCACCAAATGTTTACCTTGTGTCTACTGAGCTAAACTTATCCATGAGAAACTTGAAAATGTGTTCATCTCCATCCACACTGAATGCCAACTAAAACAGAATATTGAAATATTAGAGGATTTATTTAAACAGAAACATGATGTTTAAAGAATACTGGGTGGTATAGTACAATCAGAAGAAACACAAATGTTTTACATTATAAAGACAAACAAGCTGTAAAGTACTAAGAGAAAGAAAACTGACCTTAAGAAGATGGTTTAAAACAAACATCAGCAGTAATGATATCAAGGACAGTAGAATCACCCTAAAGATATGGTACACAATGGAATGAGGTGTGGAGCTGCCACTCTGAAATAGAAATAATTTAAAAAATGACCACAAAAAAAAACAGAGACTAAAACAATTTAAAAAAAAAAAGAGATTCTTAGCAGTAAACTACTGAATAAAAAATATCTTTAATCTTTAAAATTATTATTATATTATTTATTAAGTATTATTTTTGTTGTATTATATAACTTTAAAAAAAAAAGACATTTTGAATTTTAAAAAATAGGATATACAGCTATGAATTTTAAGTTAAATTTTATAAAACATTTTGCAATGAAGCTGTTTTTTACAAATACATTTTTAAAATATTCTTTTTTAGAATTAAAAACCCCATTTGCTAGATTTTTATAAAATCATTTTTTTATGAGTAATACATTTACGTTTAGAAATTTATAACGGCTTAAGTTACATTTACATTTCTGGTAGTTAAATGTATTGCTGTAACCAACTCACCTGCAATGCAAGTAAACCAAGGGAGACTAGCAAAAAAGAAACAGCCAGAGAACCAATGATCATGCTGTTGCCAAATTGCAACAAATATACAATCAGCAAAGAAAACAGCTGGCACAGCATTATGTTTCTGACCTAGGGAAACAAATTGTGAAACATGCGTCTTCACATCCAAATCTTAATTTAGTTTTAATTGTATAAGATGAGACAGATGACAATGGGAGGTGTGCAAATTTTAAGTATTTAGTTTGAACAACTCAAGTTTGTCGTGGCAACTATTTACAAAAATAAAAAACTCTGCAGCTACTGTAAACTGTCCAGATAGGAATAGCGAAAATGATAGGAAATAAAAAAGTTAATATTTAGTTAGGATTCTGAGAAGACAAAAAAAATAATAAAATAAAATAATATTAGTATTTTTAAAAAAGCTTGCTTTTTAGAATTAAGTAATCTTAAATAGAAGACAATTTCTAATACAAATTTTGTGTCTTTAAAAATTAAGACATAAGAACAATTATTAAAAGATTAAAAACAAAGTAACTGCTAACATTGTGAATCATAACTAAAGATAAAGTTATATAATAACCTTGAGAGGAGGAAGCAGATTAAGAATCCATCCACCAAATAGGGAAAATGCCTGCAGCATCATGATAAACTGGTTAAACTGCCAGAAAAGGCAGAAGAAAAATGTGCTAAGTGCCACTACACAGAGGCTGCATCGCTGTGGAGAAAAAATTAAAGTTTGTTCATAGGTTCACACACTAATTTAAAAAAACTAAATTAACTATTTCTGAATTAAACTTTTAACTGACTTTGTACCTTGTAAAATGGACTCATGTTTGGCTTCAGATAAATTGTGAGGGCTGCAGCTTGTAACCAGAGAAACGGAAGTGAAAAAGATTCACGAAGTGGTATGGAGTGGTCGACTCGCGTTGTATCTAAGCTAAGAACAATCATTTTCAAACATGATTAAACATTAAGTTGTTATGCATTATATGCATGTTCAAAGCTTAATTAACCAAGGTGTAATCTTTAATCTATATATTACGGAGTGTATTACACGGTTCCCAGAAATATGCGTAACGGAAAACTGAGCAAACAGAAAAATGCGCAAACTCAAACTAATTATAGACTTTACTTTTTTCATATTTAGTGGAAAAGTGTTTTATTTTGCTACAATGTACACATGATCTTTCTTTGTTAATGTCTATAAATGCTGGATTTAAGAAAACAAAAATGCCCTGGCAAACGTTTTATGTGCAGTGTTCTGTAGCGCATCTTTCCAGCATTACACATTAGCAGGTTACTAAGCATTATATGCATATTCAAAACTTAATTAACTAAGGTGTAATCTTTAATCTATATATTACATTGTGTATTACACATTAGGAGGTTACAGAGTGTTATATGCATATTCAAAGCTTATTTAACCAAGTCATAATCTTTATATATTACAGTGTGTATGACACATTAGGAAGTTTTAATGAATGAGAGATGACATGCACAATCTGCTGCTGAAAAGCTTACCGGTTAAATATGTAAAATGCAGCAGAGAGTACTCCAGCTAGCCAGGTGTTACTTAAAGCCCAAGCCAACACATATATACCAGATATTAGCAGCGCATGTAAGACAAACACAGCATCTATGTAAAACATGATAGGCTGCATCTGTTCAAGTCAAAAATGGTATTCCATTTAGTTAAAATAAACTCAGTTTTTAAAAATGGGTTTTTATTAATTAGTCAAATCTATATATTAGTAAAATTTTGCTTATAATGATACTCATGGGTTTTTGATGTATAGTTAGCAGTGTGATATTTTGATGTGACTAATGGATTAGTACATTTAAAAAAGTTAAGCTCGCTTTTTTAGACCTAAAGATCCATAGGGAAGATGAAGCAGAGTTTTTATGTTTCTTGTCCCTAGCATATGAAGGGATGGTGTGGTAAGCACTAAGCCCAGCTGCCTTTAGTTTCCCCAATGTGAGTCAGGTACCCATCAGAGCTGGGTGGACTCAGGGACATCCAACAGTCCCAAGCCCAGACTGAGTTGTAAGCCAAATGGGATTAGTACATAAGATGTGTCACATGTCTATTTAATCAGATTTAAAATAGTATACCTTAAGCAAAATTAATTGACAAATTCTTCACATTAAATATTCCCTGATCGTAAACAAAAAAATCTTTATATCTCACTTTACTAACATTTTTTGGGTAATATAGAAGTGTTAAATTTTTAATTATAAAGCAATTTAATCACTAAACTTTTTGCAGATAATTTTATTAATCATCAAATTTATTAACCTGTATAATTGTTTAAACTTGACATAAAGAAATTACCGATATGCCTAAAGTTCTGTACAAGAAAGCTAATATAACTTCTTGGTACACATTCATCCTGGCCAAAATATTGATGGTATCAGGATGTTCTGTAAGTTTGTCTGATACCAATTCTTTCATACCTATAAAGCAAAACACAAAATATACTTAATACAAATTACAGACAACAAATTTAATTTCTCTACTTCAGACACTGATTAGTAAAACAATAATAATTAACTAACCCTGGCTAAAAGATTCAGTATTCACCAGCTGTTTGAAATAAGAATAATAGAGTCCTGATTCTGTGCGGAAAGATATTTCTCTTTCTACTTCCTAGAAAATAAAAAGCAGGTGTTTTAATGTAGAGAAATATATAATAATATCGAACTGATTTTTTAAACACATTTCTAAATGCAACTGGTTTAAATTTTAAACTGTATTATTTACAAAGCATTCTATTTTTTTTTATAGTTTTGATACAATTTTTAAAAAAAAATCAAAGATTGAATTGTATAAATTTCAGTCTATTTGGTGAAGAGACCTAAATATTAGTGACGCAGCATTTTAAAACTATGTATATTCTTGACAAAGAAGAAAAATGTGCCACATAAAACATTTTCGTGACTAAAACTTGAAGCTGTAACTTAAAAATATAAATCCTAAGAAAACGGTAAACAAATTTTATACTCAAACCTGTATGTTAGTAAACCATAATTTGTTTTCATGTAGCTGCCACATATAGCAACTATGTGTATAGCTTAACGCAACCATCACAACTAGGCCCACTGTAACATTTACAATTGAAGAAATGCTCCAGTGGGTCTTTCCTTGTTTTTGTTCCTTTAAATTAAGTGGATCACTGTGCCTGTTTTTCATTTTGCCCGAACCTTCTGAAGCATCAAGCCCATTGTCAGGTTCAAAACTCTTGGATCCATAATGAGCTGCGTTTGATCGTTTTTTTTGTTTGTTCGTCATTTTTCAAACTGCTTTCCTTTTGAGGACGCAAATATCTGGAAATTAGAAGTTGACGTAATATATTCAAATTCAATATAAATTATAAAAATATTTTTTACAGGTTGAATAACTAGACTGGATAGATACTTTAAGTTTAAGTAAAAAAGTGGGAGTGTAAGTAGTCTTCAACATGACTACAATTGTTGGATTGATAACACAATCTAAATTGTATCGGAGTGACTTAGTGACAGTGACAATCACCAGACTTACAACTATACAACTATTGCTGAAGCCAACAAAAGAGGTATTCTAAACTCAAGTGGTAACGTCTCAATATTAACTATGGCTTACTGTGGTTACTTAAATTAAAGATCATACAAATAAGAAATAGACCTTAGAAGATTAGAAAAATATACATAATTACTGTTCATTAAAAATTAGGCCTAGGGTAAAGTGAAGTAAATGGCAATCAGCAGTATTACTATTAGGCCCCAGTTAGCAACCAACCTACAAAAAGTCCCAGTGAAACTACTTATCTACTTATGAGGTAACAACCACTGCTATTTTTTTTACCACAGACAAGCAGAGGATTCATGTAAATATTAATGAATTTATGACCCACTTGGCCCATCAGTGAGGAGCTGAAACAGGCATTATTTCCAATTTTCTCTATTCAAACTTTTCCCCCTCCATAAAATCATTAGGGCTATGTTAACTTTTTTCCCACGTTTTCTTTAACTTGCTTTTGCGTCAGTTTTTCCAATCAAATCTTGCGATTGAAATTTCGGGCACTTCCCAGTTAGCTAGCGCGCTGAAATTTTCTGGGAAGCTTTGTTTCCGATGACAATACAATATTCAATTATTATTATTATTACTAAATTGATCCATGGAAAAATTTTATTGATCATTTTAGACCCCTATATATTTGTACAAAAAAGGGACATAACCTAGTAATTGTAATTTGATGAAAACAAGGTTCTGTACTTTCCCTCTTGTGGCTTACTGAAAGAGCGAGCACGTGATTGGCTGAGTAGTGGTCACGCGGTTTTTGTGTACAAACCTATGCAAATCTGACTGATCAGGATGATAGATGGTCGAATGGTTTGCACGCGAGGGCAAAATGGTGAAAGAAACGGCAACATAGAAGAAACGTCGATTGGAAAAGGCACGTGTTTTTTACGAGTTGTCTTCGTTTAACCAAAAAAAAAAGTGAATGCGAGAAGATAAAATTGATAGCAAGATTTGAATGCAAACAAACAAAGACTAAAAAGTATAAAATAATTATCAATAAAAAAGTTTAAAAAAACCCACGTTTTCTGATTGAACTAAAAAGTATAAAATAAATGCTATACATCACAATAATGCAAGCGATCACTCTACTATAAGCGATGAAAAACATGGGGCGCCGTGATTTTCTTACAGTTTCTAATACTGTTGATTCTCTACAAGCTCCCAAATAAAACTCAATAGTATTATCTAATCAATAGTAATATAACTTTTACATCTTATATTAACAATGACCAATAAAAAACTTTTACTTCAGCGCCCCACGTTTTTATATATTATATATGTAATATATATATTTCTGGTAATCTATCGTTTTGGGTACGTAAAATTGCCCGCGGCTATTAATGTACGAAAACGTTACCTCATTGTCAAGGCTGTAATAGAAGTATATTGTGATATGTTTGTGTCAAATATTATAGATAAATAAATAATAAACCTAAATCAATGGCTAAATATATCAATATAGGCCAGAAATTAACTTTAAACAGCAGTGTCTGCCAGCAAGATTTGCTATATAAACAGCAGCCATTTGTAAAATAGAGTGACTTCCGTCTGAATCTTGCGCTATAAGTCTATAAAAATTTAACAAGATGGCTGCTATAGTGAATGAGCATGGTTGCATCTGTTGGAAACATCGCTGGTGTTCATTTATTACTGAAAACTTTTAATTCAATTGTTTAAAAACAGGTACATAAATGAAACATTTTTGTATTTTTCAAAACATAAATCCTCCTCAAAATGTGAAATAATTATTAAAATGTAAGGAGTCACCTGTTTTTCACATTACTAGTCGCGGGCGATTTTACGTACCTAAAACGATAAGATTACCATATTTCTATATTAATTAAATTTTGTTGGGGGGTAGCGTTCTTTGGGGGAGTGGGAGGGGGGGCTATGCCAGTTTGCCACCCCCAAGAGATGCCTGGAAGAAACTCTGTCTGCACCCCCCCCCCCCCCAGTTAAGTAACTGTTAGTCTGTTAGAGTTAATTAATAGATCTAGTTAGTTAATATTTATAGGCCCTAAAAAATTATAATACTAATTACACAAAATTAGTAGGCCTAATTACTAATACTGTACTGTAAGTGTAATTAACTGTAAAGAATAGCCTGTAGTTACACTGTAGTACTGACTGTTGGATAGAACTAATAGAATCTAGAATATGTCAATTGACAATTAATATTAATATTTATGAACTTACAGCTAGGCTATCATAATCATAATGCAATCTTCTTAGTTACGTCATGACGAATGCGCTTGTTTAATGTTTTATTTATTTTCAAATTAACAACGTCGTAATCCTAAGCCGGTTAAGAAAGTTAATTTCTAGATCAAGATCCAGATCAAGTTTAGATTTGGTTATAGTTTTTAACGAACTATTTACGATTGGGATATATAAAGCATAGAACTAGCACAGAGTTTATCCTTTTGTCAAACTAAATGACATTTTTCTGTCGAAAAAAGTAAAGCCACTAACTAAATTAAGTCTCTGCAAAGAAAGCATACTGACTATGTAAAAGAAATATTAAATATAATTTTAAAACACATTTTTGATTTTTGACTGTGAACAAAGTTTAGTTAGTTTTAAAACTAATAGAATCTAGTAATTTTAAGTTTAAAGATAATTTAAATTATAATTTGCCATGCTGGCATAATCAATTTCGGGAATGCCCCAAAAAATCGGAAATTTCCTTGAAAAAAAAATACACCTAGGGGCCCAACTAAAATTAATTTTTTTTGTGGTGTGTGGAGCAGCAATAAACAGCTGCGTGCTTAAATTATATAGAAATCTATAGTTATGCCTATTTAATTAATGCGCAATTTAATTGAGCTTGCCTTTTTCTTTCTTTCTTTGACATCACCGGCACAGGATGGATGCATGGGCCCTTTTTGCAACACGGTATGGTAAACTCCTCGCTCCGACTACCTCATCATAAACTCATAAAGTCATAACTATACAGATGATACAGAGTCATACACTAAAAATCACAAGATCTAATTTCTAAATAATACAGGCTACAGGTCATATTCAACTCATCCACAGAATCTGGCTTAGGTAATAAATAGATAGATCTATCATTTTTGATTGCTAGAATCAAGATTGCTGGCTAAGAATAAATTCTCAAAGGGTATTTCTTTTTGCATCGAGCTTTGCAATGCACTTGCTTGTTGAATGGGCATCAGATGTGCCGTGAAATGGCAGTTTTGGCAGAAACGTTTTGAGGCTATTATAATAAATTCTGATGTAGTCACAATTGCTACAACAGTCGCTGGAAAACACATAAATGAAATCCATTTTGGAGAAACTGAAAATGTTTTTACTGCAAATGTTAGGCCTACAGAACTTGCAGGCGACAGGGCATATGACTACGCTAGCCATGTACTCAAAACACCCACAATCAATGTACTCTACACGCTACATAATTATATATATATTATTGTCAAGTTGACACGGATGATACAAAAACTCACAATGGCAAAGTTTCATCAGCTGACAGATCTGAGATATGGCTTACAAACCATGCTAGAGTGTTACTGCTCAATTTCAATGATGAACTACAAAAAAAATGTAGGCCTACTTGAGTTGCATGGGCATTTATTTTAACTCTCTGGATGGCAAAGCCAATGAAGCCCGGGAGACATCCCAAAAATTAAATTCAGAAATTCTTAGTGACACATGATTTGGTTCAGACTGTCATGTTGTTAACTTGCTGTATCAAAACTAAGACTAAGGTAAGCGTATTCCATCTCTCTTGTTATGATTTTATTTTGCATTGAGATAACTTTTCTTTTCAGTAATTTGTGTATTTCCCATTTGGTACAAAGCAAAGAAGAGAGATCCTGCAGGATTCAACTCAAGGCTTCTCTAAGACAGCATTGTTTGACATGTGGAGTTTCCCCAGATCAGTTGGCAACAGACTGCATATGTTGTTCTGTCTGGCTGGTATTGTTTTCAGACACAGGCAACTTGTGCTATATTTAGATAAATACAGCAGCAACGCTCTACAAACTGCTCTATTGAAGGATTTTAAAAGAGACCATAATGGCCCAAGGGCAGGCACTTGGTCTATGGGGAAAATTCCTAATATGGGCTTGAATGTCACTTTTCTATGCCAAGGAATGAAAAAGAAATCATTTTGATATGGTAAAACTAATTCATTCACTGACTTTTATAAAATTAGTACTGGTGACTTCTTGTAATGAGTCATGCTTTGTTCAAAATGTTATTTATTTTTCTTTTATCTTGAATATCAAAAGGTGGTGATGAAGTTCTTGCCAGAGTATCTCCTGATAAGACATGAAGATGCCTTTGGATGCCCCATAATTGCAGATGAAACATTGACATGCTTGATTATTTGTTGGTGACACACACCTCAAAGCTTTTAGCACTGCCACAAAAAAGTCATGGCCACAGCCCACCATACTGTCTTCAGCTGTCAGCTAACCTGTTATCTGGAGAGTGAACTAGCTGCATCTACTGAGGCCATGTTAGCAACAGCCCCCAGTGCCCCCATCCACAACATCTGGTCTGAAAGAGCTCTTGGTGTTGTTCACTACTTGCCACGCAGGGCTCCAAAGTCAGACACATAACATTTTTAGTTGCATGAACAAATCATTGGACTGGCTGCAGCATTTCAACAAACAATAAACCAATTTTTTATTAAGAGGCGCGCAGTGTGTAGGAAGATAAGAAACAGATAGGAGAGAGAAAATGAGCTCTAGCTGTGCCTGATGGAAAAAAGCCAGAAAAGAGACATGGGAAACAGGAACAAGATGGCTAAAGCTATTAAACAGCTTTGATTGAGCTTTCTACTGTTTTGACTGACCCTGTAGACCTGTTTGTTAATGTTAGCAGTTTTCAACAGTTTTCAACAAAACAAAAAAGAGTAGAGGGGTTGAGGATTGAATGTAAGTGGAATGTTTATGGGGAGGATGTTATTTTTAGTGGTAGGTTTATTTTTAAAGTTTAAGAAAAACTCAGCTGTTGATTCATTTGGAGTTGCTGATTGAAAATCTAATGAAATGGAGGATAATACCAGCCAACATATGTTTCATAAATTACCACACACTTCTTTTGAGACTTGCGTTAAGATTGGTCACTATGTGGAGGGCGTAGAAACTGGGACAAAATACGTTAACATTTAAACTGTAATTTAAAACTTAAAAAAAATTTCACATAGTTTAAATGGACTTCTCATAAATACTAAAAAAATATCGCTTAGATCTATCGATATACTTAGTAGACCTACTTATTATCGATTTTGTTGAAAATTTTTTGAAAAAGTGACAGCATTTCAAGTGTTGGGGGGTTGGCCATTTTGTGACAATGGAGTAGAATTTAATGTAAAAAAGCATGGTTTCATTTATCATAGACGCTCATCCCCATGAATTGTGCAGATGACAAAGAGGCCTACTAGTATGTGTGTGTGTGGGGGGAGGGTATGTTTTATCATTTTGTAATATTCAGTTTGGAATAGTGAGGATATTTTTGCTTTTGGTTTGTATGTGTGATAATAGCCTCCAGCCTTTTTTATTATCCCTACTTTGAGAAATTGTTTTTTAATCTGTACTATACTAGTGATGTCATTATTTAAATTTTTATTAAAGTCAAACTAAAAAAAAAACCGAAACAATTGGTTGTAAAAAACATGTATTTATTTCTTAGTTTTAAATCAAATCATTTGTACAAAATATTAGCAAACACAGACAACCTGCTCACAAATACACAATGCCCTCCATTTTGGTGTTCTTCTTTCCTTACAATGATCACATGTAACCAATATCATGCCAAGACATCTATTTCTATTATTTCATAATAGATAAAATTAGATAATAAAACTGCAATGGCTTTAACTTTAACATTTCAAAGTTTAAACCTAGCCATTTCAAGACACTCACACTAAATTAAAAAAAAGTAAATTTTGCAGGGTAAAAAAATGAAGTGTCTTAAAAATCTGGCTACTGTCAGCACAAAACATTTCAATGAGTCAGAGTGTTTGCCTGATTGACATAATCACACTAGTGTTCTACTGAGCACCAAAATCACATTGACAATGTGAGGTAAGTTTTATTTTGGAAGATAATAGGTTACCAGAATATTTTCATTATTGATACTTGCCACTTGTCAGTCTCATAGATTAGGCCTAAATAGTACCTTTTAAGAATTGTTTTATCTGAATTTTAAAAAAGTGAATTAAAAATGTTTTATATTTACTTTGGTCCTAGTATTACAATTACATACTCTACATGATTCTTTTGTTTTAACAATACTTGAACAAGACTTTTTGTGACCAGTTATGAAAATGTGTATTATTATTCATTGTTCAAAGGGTATAGAAAAAATAAATCTTTTTTTATTTCAACCAGGGTATCATAAATCTCACATTTTATATTATTAGCTTTCATCATCATACAGTTGTTTAAGATTACACATCCAGATGAACATTACAATAATTTTTAAAGGGCAGTGTTTCCTTAAGTTGCCCTCTGAAAGTCGTACACACGCATTTCTAGCGTTTAAATTAAATGAATGTTAATCAGACATACCATTCTATCCAGTGATAATATTTTATTGGCAATAATACATTTGAGATAGTACTGGTATGGTGTTCAAATCCAGACAATATTTCAAAGCACTCAAGGAAGTGAATGCTCATCTTGCTGACGTTATCAATATTATAAAAAACAACATTTCATTATAAAAAGAAACAATAATTAAATAGAGCGAACACATTGTACTGAAACTACTGACAGACTAAAAATAGAAATGTACGGTAGGCTAGTAACATCCTTGACCTTACTAATATTACATTGCCTACGGCTAATTTGTAAACCAATCTGTGAGCGCAACATTTTTATTTCAAACACGGTTAGGGGGGGGGGGGTCGTCATTAATCCTACTGTGCTTGATTTGTAGCAGCAATTCAACAGAATTCTATTGAAATTTTTTTCTTCATGTAGGAACAGTGAAATGAAAATATAATGTTTTTGCTGATAGTTTTTGATTTTACAATTAGTATAGCTTGTATATGGAAATAAGACATTCTTTTTTAACGTTGTTGTACAATAACATTTGTTTAAAATTACAAAAACATATTCAAAAAGTAAAACTGAATCTAAATGATATAAATTCAAAAATTGACAATTTACCTAGCTATATAACTTAAATCTGTTGGTCATATAGAAGATGTATGGATAAGATTGATGTAAAATCATGAGCTTTGAATGTGAAGTTGATGGACATCATAAAAGTAAACTACAGCAGAAAATATTCACAGCTCGTCTACACAAAGACACTTCAAGCTACCATTACTTACAGTTTACAGATTAATCAAGAAAGATTAAAATAAAGCAACGAAGTAAAATACACTCATCAGTGCACATGTTCAAGGGTCTTATGATACAATTACAAAACAATAATTCTTCATGCCTACAAGTACATCTCAATTTACTTTCATCCACACATATTTAATGATATATATAAAAATTCAAAATGTCACACATTTAGCATTATAAATTGGGTCTATTAGGTAGATAAGTATGTATGATTTGACTTTTCTCGCAGGTTATTTTTACAGAAACATTTAGTGATGTCTTTTACAGTAGGTCTGTATGTAATAATTCAAAATGAAAATTATTTAATCTTTAAACACTGATAAATCCAAAAAATATTTTATGTATAAATTTCGAGTTTTTGAAATTAAATTTAAAACCACTTTTGTTCTGATTGTAGTCAGTGATTAGGTTCCATCTATAAAACTTTACTGGACTGTTTTATAAAATGGTTAAAGTATATTCAAATTGACATTCTCCCTTCAAGACTGTACTTTAAAATTGTTAGGAAAAGAACAAAAAATTTAAAAGAAATATAAACAAAGGCTACATATTATGCTAATTTATCTTAACAAGATGAAGAGTTCTGAGCACAGACAAAAGTCAGTATCACAAATAAATGCATTGTTTTTTATTACATGGTGTTTTATTGGAAGCATTTATGTTCCCCACACAGTAGAAACTATTCACTCACCAGGAATAGTTACAATTAGTGAACTCTGGGTCTACCTTTAACAAGCATAGATCCAACATGACAGTCAAGCAAAATTAAAATAATATCTTTAAACATTGGCCATAAATCTTACACAATTATTTTTGGTCTGGACTGAAAATAAGGCTGAGCTAGAATAGAATTGTACACAAGTTTAGAGATAGACAGTAGTAAAAAAATATTTTATAATGAAAATATGAACAGAAAATTAAAAAAAAAGTAAACACAAATTTTAAGCAGTTTTAATTATGTTTTAAACAAAAACCACTGTAGACTATAAATAATACTGTTTGCATTAATATAAAATTGTTGTGGTAAGAAACGATGAATTAGGGACATGAGGAATAATTTATAATGAATATATCCTGAATGAGAGAATGGTAGATGTGCACCATCACAAATTTTCTAAAATACATCACTACACCTGTGATCATTAGACGGGAACAACACACAATAAATTACATAATCAGCTGAATTAATGACAGGCACAATTATGTAATTCAATAAATTAGTTGGTAGCTAAAACAATACGAAACAAATTTATCAACAGTTTTTCAAAAGGTTTTCTAATTACTATGTACAGTTCTAATAATTTGCTATTTTAAAAAAAAATTCCATTTATATTCTACATTAAACATACACAATTTTTTTTGCATTTAAATTATGTTTTACTTGTAGCCAACTTAATAAGCAGTCATTTCATCTTGCGCCTGTAACCAACTTAATAAACAGTCATGTCATCTTGCACCTTTTGTATAGAATACTTCTCGATTTGAATCCTTATAAAAAAGACACCCTTATTCAGATGTTTTGGGGTTAAAGAAAATCAGATGCACTTGATGAGCTTAGTCAGATGCTGCCTGTACAGTGTTAGCTACTGGAGGTATGAATTCAGGAATGCTAGATTTTTAGACCCTAAAACTAACACACCTTTTTCTAATGAAGATACGTAAATGAATTTTCCCTTGAATGTTTCCTGCTAGAATTTAAAAATGGTTTAATGTTTCTAGATTGATGAATGTTGCAGGTCTGATGTTTAATGATTGTTACAAGTTACATTGATGAATGCTTCCTCAAAAACCTAAACTTGATTTCCATGAAAAGTTTGAAATCAGAGTAAAAAAATGTTAAAATACATAAACACACATCTTCTTTTGCAATTAGATTTACACATGCAACTTTCAGTCACTTGAAGTTAGTATAAATAGAAATAAAGCCTCATAGTGAATTAGTAGTACCATTTTTAGATAGGACTAGTGAATTAAATAGTACTATGACTTATAAAAAATGATTATGAAAAGCAATCATAGTATTATACTTTAGCATTTAAATAATGTACAGTATATTACACAATAAATACTCCCTAAATTAGATCATCACATGGTGATGTTCTACAACAATAATTTGACAGTTGAATACTTATATACACATATAACAGCTTTTCAACTTATGAATAGTAACATTTTAAATATAACAATATTGTTTTTAAATGGCATGCATTACTTAATAATTTTTTACAATCAATATTCAAAGAACCTCAATAGGAATAGTAAAAAAAAATTATAGAAGTAAACAGGAAGTGAATGAAGTACTAAAAAGCTCAGAAAGATGTAGCACTGCACTGGGACTTATTGAGAGCCAAGAATCAGCGGTGAACCAGTACAGTTTATCACATCACTAATTAGGTGTATTAATTGAAGGTCAAATGTATTAAACTCCTGGGCAAAATTTGATTCAAAAGCATAAAATAAAAAAGCACTAACATCTTATCTTATACCCTGTAATAAAGGATAATATACTATGTTTTTAATGGGGTTAAAATTAAATTTAAAGCAAATATTTCCATTCAAACTTTGGCAATTACTTTTCAAATTTAAACACAATTTTTAATGAAATGTTGTTCTTGTTTAAATTTACATTAGACTAAAAGAAATATCTAAGTATAGATACAATGTGTGTGTATCCATGTTAAAAAGATTATGACGATGTTTGCTATACACCATGTCACCACTGCCCATAGTTCGTACGTCTGAGGTATATTTTTATTCGTTGTTAATCACAGAAATTTATCCAGATCAGTATAAAATAGGTCTGATTCATTACTGTTTAATAACAGTTTAACTGTTTTTTGTATAGAGAAGAAACATAACTAAAGACAAAATTTTGAGCTATTTGTATTATTAAGGAAAGAATTTTTTTTTAGTAAAGAACCTTGTTTTAATTTACTACTTTGTAAACTTATACAAAAAATTGTGCAGTATTATTTGTAATTGTGATTTTAAACTATTTAGTTTTAAGTTGAAAAAAAAAAAAAAAATAATTGTTTTAATTCACTTGATGGAATAAAAAAATAATTACATCACCAAAAATTTAAGGAAAAGTGACTTTTGTTCTAACTAATGCTTTTTAAATATTAGGTTAATGTGTAATTATTTAGATAGCCTAATAAAACAAAAATATGCCACTTTGTACAACTGATACGTTTTCCTATATTTAATTTATTAAAAGATTAATTAAATAAAAACAAGTGTTGTTAATTACTTGTCATGAACTGGAGGAATGTGACCATAAAATGTTCTATTTAGATTTAAATTTGAGAGATCAGTATTTTCTTGGTTGCTAAAAAGTATGTTAAGTAAAATACAGTACTCAAATTATTTGAGTATTTAAATAAAAACTTAGCGTATATTCTACAAGAAATTGAGTATGCGCACAAAATTATGTTTATTAAAAAATATTAAATGCATCATTGAAAAAAAAAATGACCAATGGAATAAATGAAAAATTTATTTATCGCAAAAAATACATTAAATTTAAACTGCAAAATTATGCTCAATTGTAGATTAAATGTAATAAAATTTGTAATATCTTTTTACTAACAAAAAGTGGATAAATTGTATCTAAAGTTAACACTCAGCATGTGTCATACCATCGACACTTTTTGACAGCGAGGGCTCTGTGTTGTGCTGTTATTGTGATGGTCATTACCAACATCGTTCCGGTCATCCATGAGAAGTCTGTCGGTGGTGTTACAACCCGTGGGGGCAGACACATAGCGTACTTCCACGTGGTCATGGTCAGGCGGGGCTCGGTCAGAGCGGAACTTCCTTCTATGATAGAACCCACAGATGAGTAAAATAATGCAGAAGAACGAGGAGATGGATGTTCCGATGGCAATGTGGAGAATTTTTATACCAGATGATCGTGGGCCTGTAGGACAGAACAATGGCAAAGTTTGTTAGAAGTGTTATATATTTTTAAAAACATGCACTTAAAACGCAAAACAAAAATCTATGTATTAAAAAAAATTGGTATGATTAAAAAATTTCATTAGTGAACATATTTTAAATAAAAATGCATGTCTAATACGGCTTTTCAATTTTATAAAGCTTTTAAGACTATCCAAAAATAAAAATATAATTATAATAAATAAAACAACTATACAGAACATCATTTTTTTTCAAGTTGATTAAACCAAATATTAGTGATGCAAGTATTAATAGGAAAGAAAAATAGTGGTTAAATAGTCAGAGATCACCTTGAAAAATCCCAACACACAGTGGAAGAATATTATTAAAGAAAAACAAATGGTTAAATAATATTCCTAAAAGAAAATAACATTGAAAATGCAGTAATTCATGCAAAAAAATATTTGCAATCAAACCTGAAAATTAGAAAAATGTAAGAGATATTAAAGAAGATGAATGCCTAACAAGACAGATCTATTTTGTTCTTCAGTTAATCAAATTTTGAGACATTTCAGAGTACATTTAACACGAATAACAAATACCAATCAGTTCTTCATATCCATTATTTGCAAGCAATTTTTTTTAAAAAGAATATTTATTACTATTAGAAATTTAGTGGCTATTTTCATGTTCATTTGTCAAACGAAGCTTGTAAAAAATTCACTTAAAAGGGTTTTCATTACAAAAATGCAAATGGAATGCTACATACCATCTTTAAACTGTGGGCCTACAAAAAACATTTTTAGATTAACATAATTAATTTAAACTCTTTTAATAAGAACATAAGTATATAATATATTATATATGAAATATACAAGAGACTCGCTGAATCGCTTTTGACAAATCTTTTGTTTACAATTATAAAAAAATTTTTTTTTTTAAACAGCCATTAATATTTTGAAGATGCATTTAAATTATTACTGAAAAAGTATCCGAATGTGAGTTTTGGACAATCAAAATGAATAAATATTTAATTGTTATATATTATTATATAGTATAATAATTCTTATAAGGTGAGTTTTTTTTTCATATGGTGCTTAGTTTTAAAATAGTGGTGAAGCAAGCCAAAGCTCTCCATCGGCTGTAGAGCCACAGGGACAAATGGAGCGTGTAGTTGTAATTAATGTTTAGCAAAATGGTGTTTGACTAAAATCATAAAAAATTGTGTAGACAAGTTCATTGGTCTAATTTAAGCTAGTAGATTGGTGATCTACGGCAAGAGGGAGAAGTTGTGGTATACATTGTGTTATAATCCTGGTACATTTTAAAATAATTACATGCATGAAGTTGGATCCAAATTGTAAAAAAACTGTTTTTATAATGAGAATTTTGCATATTCTTACAGAGTATATTAAATTTGTCTACATACTTGACACATACCAGTGTGAAATAGATGCAGCTCATTTGAGAGCAGTAGTGCATGATTGTTCATAAAAAAACAAAACAAAACTGCAATGATTAAAGTTTTACTTTTAGATGTTTTTAAACTTGTTTTTGTTTCTAATTGTGTTTCCCGCCACTAACTTGCTATTCATATAAAGCATTTATTCCAATCGAAGTATCCATTATATTAAAAAAGTATCATTTTTAAAAAATGCAAAAAATAAACACAAAACATTTTTTAAAAGTTTGTCATTGTATATTCTTTTCTGATGATGAGCAGAGAGAGAGAGAGAGAGAGAGAGAGAGAGAGCTGGAACAATAGTTTAAAAAGTTTAAATTGGCACCTGATGTAGAATGCCAAAACAGGCCAAAACAACTGTTGTCACAGATAATTTTTAAACCAATACTATTGTACTGCACTATAAACCCAGTATATCTAATTGTATACTTAATGATGGGTTTATATCACTATATAACTCACAAGCTCCACTATGGGTACTACTAGGCTGGCTATTTTCTAAATTATTAATTCTAATTTTTAAAGGAAATTTAATACATACACTTCAAACATATTGGCTATAATTTATGATGAGGTTTTAATCAAGAACTAAAAACAATTTAGAATGTGTAGCCATGATGGTAAACTGAATACTTTCTTTGAAAGAGAGAGTCATATTGTCTTTTTTTTTATTAATCCAACATAAATTTGAATAAAGAGATAATTTTGAGCTCAGCTAGAGACACAGTCATTTGTTTGCATAATTTCTGCCTTGAAAATTCAGAAAATAATAAAGATTTGAAATGAATTGTGAAAGCCTTCTTATATAAAGTGATGATATGCTTTCAATTTCTAAAGTGGGAAATTAATTTTACATGCTAATTTCTTGAGTTATTATAAGGGTAGTAACATATTCTGTGAAAAGAACCAATTGATGCTGGGAGTAAATAGCAAATTTTGAAAAAAGGTGGATCAGATCAATATTGAGCTGAGTCTCTTTGGTGAGAGATAGATTCAAAGCTGCCCAAAAAAAAAAAAAATAGAATTCAGTGATTCCTCAGTAAAGTTAACAGATTTGTGAATGAAAGGCACAAAAATAGTCTCCATGCCAAATGCTTTATGATGAGCCAGCAGTTCATGCATCAATCCACATGACACCTTACCTGGAACCACATCCCTCAGAGTTGGAAATTGTATTTTTGGTACAATAAAATAAGAAATAAAATAAAACAAGTTTGGATTATATCACAGTCCAGACGAAGACTAGAACCTAAAGATTGAATGAAGAAAAGTAAAAAAAATGTAATGGAACAAAAAAAAATCTATTTCTGGTTACAAAACAAAAAATATTTTCATTTTGAAAAAAAAAATATGAATTAACCAAGTTCCTTAACTCACATTCTGCAGTTTCATCTGAGTTATCTTTGCTCCCACAATTTGGTTCTTTGTTGCACTTTAATGCTGTGGCTATGCAATACTTGTTTACCACACACTGGAATCCCGAACAATCGGATGCTACTAAGTAAATAAAAAATACACATCGCATTTTTACTCTTCAGCTTGTAATGAAGATTAAATAAAATATCATACATGAATCAATGTCAGTTTAATATTGATTAGTCTCTGGTGTATGTAATGGTACTGACAACTAATTTACAAAATTGATTTTACCTGATGGGCATAACTGTTTTGATACAAAGTGGAAATAATAGCAAAAGCAGATAAAATGTAAAGTGAATGGACGTTGACTTACTTAAGGAAGATCCTGTTTGAACTTCTGTCCAAGAAATTTTAAATCCTTTAGCTCCTAAAGCTCCTGGCGCTGTTATAAATCTAGATAAAAATATTTTAGTTCTTTTTAGTAATTTTCTCTTAAAATAAAATTCAATTCTCTGTCACCTTGAACTAAAATTGAATTTATCATTATCATAAAAATTGAGCACATTTTAAAGTAATAGTGATACTTCTGATATTTTTTAACTATAATTACATTAATCAATATCTTTTAAGTAGAAGATAGTTTAAAGTATATATACTTACGATATTTTAAAAGAAGTTTGTAATGATAAATATGATGGGTTTTCTTCTGTAGCTTTCTTAATGCCACATATAGAAGATACAGGCTTTAAGCTTAAACTGTCATCATAGAGTCGCAAGACGGAATCTTGACAGCTTGCTGGAAGAAAAAACAATAAAAAATAGGATTTTAAATCATCATTTGTGAGTGATTAAATTATTAAAATTTATAAAATTAAGATTTAAGTTTAAAATTCTGCGATACAAAAACATAAATTTACTAAAGGTGAATATGTCTTATTTTAGGTTTATATGTTGATGTTATTAATTTTATGATCTTATAATTGTTAATTATTATAAAAAGAATTCTGAAGCAGCTAATATAGTAATAATCTGAAAATTTTAGGAATTAAAAAATCTTTTCTATTTAATTAAAAAAAATGAGAACTTGTGAAAACCTAACTCATAAAAAAATATGGTACTTAAAACTCACATTTATCAGCATCTTTCATATAATTTCCTTCCAAATTGAGGTCAGAAATCTCGACTAAAATCTTGTTTTCTCTCCTGCTTGCCTGTATGATCCACTCACACCAAACAAGGGATGTGTACTTGGCGGGGAAATTGGGGCTGATTATGGTTCCCCCTAAGCCTCCACCCTTGATAACACTGTTATATGTGGAGCAGGCTGAAATAGTTTTCAAGATTTGACATTTTTTATTCACATATCAAAAGTTATTTTGATAAATTTGGAACATAAATATGTAAATACTTATAGTGAATTTATTGATTTAATCAAGGGCAATACGTTTCTACCAGAATCAGTATGGAACTAGATATAATTATATACTCTTTTGTAAATTATTTCAGCATTCACTGTTTTTATACATTTTGAATGAGATTATGAAAAATAAAATTTTAAAAAAAGTTTGTTTAAAAAAAAAAAGCCAACCGTTATAAAGTCTACGTAAAATAATATATTAAAAATAGTAAGTTTACAACACAATCAATGAAACAATAAGTTAATAACGCAAGCAATGAAACAACAAATGTGAACTCACAAAAGTTTGCTCGGGATTTGTAAAACTGGAATTTAGCCCTGAACCCCACATAGGATTCACTGTCATCATTGGAATGGAAAATAACCTTGAGCAGCTTGTGTGTTGCATATGGGCCGGGGTAAACGTTGCCACAGTACCTGGCTGTCAGAGTAAAGTTTTCTCTGTTTGGTGTCCCCACATCTTCATAAAATGCAACATTGTCAACTGTACTGCACCTGGAAGCAGATAAGATTTTAGTTAGACATACTTTTATAAATAACGTTTTGAATCCCCATGTTTAGTTTAGTTTCTCATATTTACATGCATTTATATATATTTTATTTATTAAGTATACTTGAATAAATGACATTATCCTTTTGTATATATTTTAATTCTGCACACATTTAGGAATATTATACTATATATATATATATATATATATATATATATATATATATATATGCCTATATATATATATATATATATATATATATATATATATATATATATATATTAGTTCAGCATACTTTCGTGAGTGTTGTTATACACCCAGTGGAGAACAAGTGGTTCAGATTTTGATGATGCTATATGTTAGGGAGGAGTTTTTTTTTTCCTAAAATGCGACAATATTTTTATTACTATTTTTTATGAATTGTCATGATTGGGCTAACCTTTTTAAACCTAAAAAATCTTCCTGAATAAAAAATAACCATTCATTGGTAGTTACATGTAAAACATTTAAAGAATCAAAATCAGGCTTTTTAAAAATAACTATAAATTAAATTCTATTAATAATGTGGTGGATGCTACACATTATCAATTAATTTTTTTTAATCAGTTGAATAAGTGCAGTTAAATTTATTTAACTTAAATATTTGAATACACACAAAGTATTAATCCATTTAATTCACATTTATTTTAAAAAATAATTTTTTACGAAACAAAAAAAAAACAACAACTTACAGCGGTGGTGAGGAAGGAGGGTCCGACTTGGTGGACAGCAGGAAGATGTGGAAAGTGAGCAGCAGTACTTCACCGGGCTGGGGGCGGAAGATGTACTCACAGTCCTGATTGTTGGGGTAGTTGCCGGGGTGGCGGGGTGAGTTGATCTCCCCTTGCTTCACCCTCATACTGTTGTAGTGGAACTTGCACTTGCCTTCTTCAATTTGTTCCCCATGGATACCATAGTCTTCAGACATGAGGAGATTAACAAGTATTGAGAAAACTGTCATGTACATTTGCACTTCATACTCTCAGTCAAATATTGAATTTAAAATAGTAAATAAGACAAATACGGAAGTGTTAAACAAATATCAATACAAACATACATAACATACAAATTTTCACATTTTCATCAGATTGAGTAATAAGTAGAAAAACAATTATTTAAAAGCTGACCTTGACTACTGCTAAGTTTAAAAACAGGTGAAAAACCTTTTATCAGTTCTTGGAGATATTCAACACCTATGTTTACAAAGTTACACTTTCTGACCCGATTGTGAATAGGACTGATTGAATAAATTTCACATGTTTCTTGACCTCAGCATTTATAGGGTGGTCAGCACTATGCCCAACCACATGTGCTCTACCATCCGACAGTACGATCCCATTATGTCATAATTGTTAAAAAAAATATTCCAAAGAGTGCTGATATAAAAAAAAACAACACCTGAGTTTTACCTGTTATAAACTGGTAGCGCGCAACAAACTTCCCACCTCTGGCCCCACCTGTGGTGTTCAGTGTGATGACCATGCGAGGACCTAAGCTGACAAAGTTTGGGGGATTTAAGGCACCACAGAACTTGTTCTTCACAGTTCCATCGCTGTCTGTTTCACCAAGGTAACCCAGTAAACAACTGCAGACAACACAGGAGGCAAATTATTCAGGACCAGTCTACACAACACATACTGCAGCTAATGTTAATGAGATGAGGTGATTGTAATAAACATACAGACATTAGTTCTGTAGCTTGTTTCCTGTAACAGTTTTTAAATTTTTATTTAATCAATGCAACCTCAATGTAAAATCAAGACCCAAGAGAAGAAGTCCAGAGTGAACATTTTGAAAACAAAGAAAACTGAGGGAAGAGACAGATTTAAAAGACACATCTTACAACTGGTGTTGAATACAATTACAACATACCAAACTTTTTCTGTCAAAAAAATTCTGGTTTTTATATATTGGTTTCAAATTCACCAAAAAAAAAAAAATTCAACTGTTAAAATGCATATGCATTAGACATTCAGTAATTTCTTGTATCGAAAGAGTTGCAAAATATCATGAGCAGCAATAAATATGTTTCTTATTTTTCACTAATCTGAACCTCAACCTATCCTATCAGAATACTTCAAGCAGAAAATTAAACACAATATCAAGTTACTCACTAAGGGATATTTCCTGTAATGTTAAAGTCATAAAACATGACTTTGACTTTCTCCAAACATTGATCATCCATGAGCCCATCCAGGTAGTATCTGCACACAATGCCTTGTGGGAAGGATCCTGGGTAGCCAGGGGAGACAAATGTTCCATTTGTCTCTTTGCCACTCAGGATTCTTTGATCACACTCTGTCCCCACCACATGTTTGGCGCCGTCTTTGATGAAGTGATGATCTAAAAAAAATTTCAAACATTTTATATGAAAAATACCTCTATGAAATAATTGTACATAACACTGAAGCATTTTGTCTAATTATTTAAATATACTCATTAATTATTAATAATTAATTACACAAAAACAGATTATGTAATACTTCAGTAATTTAAAAAAAATGCTTACCAATCATTAATTACAAAATCATTGAGTTATATAAATTTAAATTATTATTAAATTGCTGTTTTATGTGTATCATAAAATTTAAAGAAATTACTAAACAAATTATTCAAAGTCAATCTTCCTAATTTTTTTATGATGCATATAAAAGTATTCTATCTAAAAAACTATGTAACGAGTATGCTTTGATGAAATTAAATCCTACTCAACTTGAATATCTACACTTTTTATTTTGCAGTGCATTCAAAAGGAGTCTGCCCTATAATATAGTTTATGTAGCAAGTATATTATGATGATCTTAAAATCCTACTTGACTTGTTTTTGACTTGTGCAACTGCACTCACCTAGCGCCACAAAATCATTGCTGAACACATAGGAGATGTTAAAGCCTCGCCTCTCCACCTTGTAGTCCTCCATAGTATCAAGCACCCGCTCATTGAACGTCAGCCTCCCTCCCCCACCTGTGATAAAATCTAGCCTCAAAGACCTTCCTGAAGAAAAAATGACTGTTGATTGGTTATAGCTGCCACAGAAGGTGCCAATCACCTCGGAGGATGTTGAGTTGCCGTCGTATATCCGCAGGTAGTCGAAGGGACAGCTGTGGATTAGGAGAAATTCACATTTTAAGGTCACCTGCTAAATCAACAACGGGATGCAGCCCTTAACTCACCTTTGACTCATGTATTTAAAATTGTTGGCATAGGAAATCTGCTAAACAAAGTTTTACATAAGGAAATAATCTTTATCCTAATCATAAAAAATAAAGTTTCCCCCTATGTAAGAACAATCTACAATTACCTATTTGATTGTTAAGGTAAAAAGCCACCTTAAAGGACAAAATATGTTTTTTTTGTGTAATTATGAAACTTTGATTTATTTTTAAAATTAAATTAAAACTTCATTATAAAAATTCCATCTTTCAATAGAATGAGATACTTTAAAATTTGTCCTTGATCCATCACACCCAAACTGTCTAACCAAAGTAGAAATTCAGAGTATATTTCCAAGGGATGGATCTTATAAAATTTTAATATGGAATACATTTCATTGATTATAAACACAGATGACCTTTTATATTGACCTCACCACAGTAGGTTAGGTTTGATTCCTGATGTCATGTTTGTATGACATACAGACTAAGTCCAGGTCATCTACTGACATTGACAACATGCCTAAAAGCTTATTTACTTTAAGCTTATCAATTGTATATAATTTTATTAAAATTTAATAAAAATAATGAATTAAGATATAATTATAATAAACATGATCAGTTAATATTTTGCACATGGTTAAACTCTAGTGGGATAAAAGTTTGGTTAGTACAAGCAGAATTTCAAAATAATGAAACAAAATTATAATTCAGCATAAAAAGAAAACCAAATGTAGGATCGACTATAGAAATTAAGGTTATAATTTTGTTTTAGTAAGCAACAGTTAAAATCTCTAGAATCTAAGTAACAATCAGATAATGTAAATAAATGATTTTGAATTTCAGTATTTTATTTTAAAACATACTTGACAGTTGTTAATGGGTTAAAGTATGTATTCCTTTAGATTATAAAATTACTCAGTGCAAGAAAATGGAAAATGTTAATTAGAAAAGTTAATAAAAAACAATTTAAGAAATCTTAATAGAAAAAAGTAAAAAATAAAATAAAAAACTAGACTAAAAAACAAAATGCAGGAAAACCCTTGTTGTTGTGATGTTGACATAGTTGTGTAAGTAACATGCATCAGTGCATATGTGTGCAAATAAACATTCAATTGAAAATGTGATACCAATTTTTTGTCCTTAAACTTACTGACTGTAGGTTTCCAATGCTACCTTAGTAACCATAGATAAGTGAGTGCCCCTTTTTTTCAACAATCAAAAGAATGAAACATTTTTGGTGTCTATGAGCATTTCATTGACTAATACTTTATATTTACTTTATAACCAATGTTAAATTTATATTATAAAACCTGAATTTACTTATCATTTAAAAAATCAATGTTTTAAAACAAAATTTACCTCAAAACATCAAATCAAAGAAAAATGAGTTTAAGGTTCCTTTAAATTTTAATCTGGTAATCTTAACACTGTAATTTATCCTTTATTAATATGTGCTCTTAGACTTACATAAAAATGAACATGCAACCACATATAAAAATACGTATTGCTGTTAATAGCTTTTTTCCCTGCCAGCTTCTACGCTGTGGTCTGAACAAGCTTATTTAGGCAGCCTAAAACATCAAGTAGAACACGGAAACAAACTTCACCTCAAGTCCTTAAACAAATAATTTCATGCTGCCTACACTAACGTTATGTTATTTTTTGTCCTTAAATTTAAATGAATTTTAATACTTATTTAAAATGATAGCAGATATTTTGTTATAGATCTGTTTTTAAAACAGTTCAGCTAATGATATTAAATGTAAGTTGCAAGTAGCACACAATTTTATTACTATTTTAAAAAGCAATATTTTTTATTAATGAATGAAGGAATTTATTTTCTATAAAAATGTATTATATCTTTAGAAATAGCCTTTTTATTTTGGGATTGATTTTTAAATAGGTGCAAATGACATTTTACAGTTGTGTGCAAGGCATACAGAATTGTACTCAGCTCTGATCAGAGCAACAAGACATGTCCCAGATAAACAGAGTTACGATGAAAAGGGCATTCAAATATGTTGAAATGTATGTGTCGTTGGGTAAGGCGAATGCAAACAGTGTTCTACTATTTTAATCTCAGATCACCAAACAGTAATTACTTCATTAAATTTTCATTTAAAGTCAAGTTTTATATGAGCATATTAACACAGGTTTGACTTATAAAAACAATCATTCAACATTTCAGCTAGATTCAATCCTTGCTTAGCAGAAACATGCAAGTACACAGATATGTTAACAATTGAAAAATGTCTTATGTACGCAGCTGATTATTCATTGATTAAACTGTTAACTTATAAAAATAAAACATTTCTGCAATACAAAATAGGTTCTTTTCATAAAGAAATATTTACATTCTCTTCTCAAGTATTTAAAAGATGTGTAAGTTTACTACTTAAACCAATTCTAATTAAAAATGTGTAATTTTATAGATATATTATTTTGAAACACTTTTTTCAACATCTAAGTCCATTAATCTAATTCAATAATGCTCATTAACAACAAGTGGCACCATGTGAAAAAAAACATGCTTATTTTACCACAATTAAGTTTAAGTTTTCTAAGTTTATAAAAGTAATATTTATTTTTATTATAATAAGAATAGCTTAAAATTCTTAAAAAATCAATCACTTGCTTTTATAAATTTAGATAAAAAGGCTAAACTGAGTTCAACTTTTTAATAAATTCTTAACATAACTGTTTGCATTGGCCACACATACTTGAATCTTACCTCAAAAAACTCACTCTTGTCAGCACTATTCGCTGACATCCTGGAACTTCTACTCTTTAAATAGTAAGCCTATAATTTACTGCCTCACGTCGGCTATAAAACCCATTGTTTTAGTTTCGAAAGGTAAAATTTATCCCTTTTTATGACTGGTTGTCATTTGATCTTCAAGTTTAGTTTTCATCTTCAAAGGATAGTTTGTTAATTTTTCTATACAAATGTATACTGTGGTCTGACTTCATGTCCAGCAAATTGTTGAGGCGTGTTATTTTTGTAAACATTATGTGGTAGATTAAGTGTAGGTGTTAATAGTACAATGAAATTAATGTTAGTTTTGCAACCCAAAGCAAATAAAACTGAGTATGAAGCATTCAATAAAAACTAAACCCAATCTATGTAACGGAATGTTAGAAATCCTGTGATAAAACGCAAAAATAACAGAAATAATACAAAGCTGTTAAATAAGTGAGGGTTATTGAATTTGGTTAGAACACGCAAAAAAATCTGGGTTAGTGTGGATGTTTGAGTGACTTACTATTCACCCCCATGAAAGAGTGAAAAGTCTTCGAAGACTAATTTAATCCTTTGTCCAGGTTCTCCCTCTAACCGGTAGAAACAGAATGTGTTGTCGGGGTAAACCCCTGGGTATGTGGAAGACATAACGAACCCCCTGGACTTGCTTTTGCTGTGCACGGTGTAGCCGCACATGTTTGATACTGTAGTACCCATGTCATAGGGAACTGAAAGAGAAGACACTGCAGACACTTTGGGATATCCACACTGTTCTATTGTGGTGTACCGGGACTAGTTGAAGTTACGCACACATGTGCGTAACTTGAGATACAATTGATGAAGAAAAAAAAAATTATTTTGTAAAATGAAAGCTACACAACTTAAATACTTTCTTTATAAAATACTAATTTAAAAAACAATATAAATAAGCATTTTAGTTGTAAGCATTGAATCTAGACCCTGGTACACCAAATAAAACTATTTAAAAACAATTACAATAATTTAAAAACTAGTTAAATTAGAAAAATTTAATTAAAAAAAATAATGTTTTAATGTATTACATAATCTGAAATTAAAAGACATCAACACAACAAATCCTATAATGTAGTGAATCTTCAATAAATTATGGTATTTTTTCCTGGCTGTCGTTAATATATCAATCTTTCAAGATAAATTATCTAGTGTGGGCTATAATTTAGAATAATTTTTACCCGAGCATTTAAATTTAAAGGACACCTTTTAAGCTGATGTTAAATTTTTTCTGATACAAAAGCAATTGATTTTTATATCCTCAAAAATCCTTAAATTGGTGTTGTTTTTGTTTAAAGACAAGAGGAAATAAAATATAGATCCTCTTAATGCAAGAGCTGTAGTTTGATTTCCATTAACAAATCAACTTGACACTGACATTAAACAATTTAAAGACAGACGTGAGATCCCTAAATGCTAAAACTATTTCATTGGCCAGCTGGATTTGTTAAATTTAAAAGAAAAACCGTAACATAAAACATGGTCTATGAATGTAGGAATATCAATTAAATAAATTACCTGAAACCTGTTTTAAAGACTAAGATTAATAATCAAGTAAAAACAAAATATAATAAAACAAGCATAATTTTATATATGGTGGCTTCAATATATAATGTCCACATCTTCCTAACAAACTCAGGGTAGCATATTAAAGAATATTTAATTACATAACATTTGTCAATCTTAAGGTTGTTATGAATAATTAAAACACTACATGTAAGCCTGATCCTATTTTACTATTTTATATATAAGACATTTACAAATTAATAATATTTACGTCAGGATATGAAAGATCAGGGTGGGAAGATCAGGAAAGGGGTGGGAGTTAAATATTTAAAAACAACATCATTCTGTGGCATCATATATAAAAGCAGCTCTAAACATATTTTAATAGGCAACTAAATTTATATGCTATTTTGTTTTTAGAGGTTGTCCATAAATGACACATAGCTATTTTAGCTGATATTTTAAAATCTGACCCCTCACCCATCATAAAGAAGTCACTAAGTTCGAATAGCTGTCCCCCCCCCCCCCCAACTCCTACCAGAATTTGTACCAAACATTAATCTTTCAACATTTTATTTTTTAAAAATACAAAAACCATGAATATGCTATAACAATATCACCAGATTTCTTGAACCCCTGACTTCATTACTCCCTACATGGCTCATCCATTACAATGTGAGAGCCACCCCTGTACTGAGGTGTGGGAAGTCATTTATGGGCACCCCCTTGCTTATTACTTGTTATTTATTATATTGTAAAATGTTAAACTATTATTTGTTTCAATCTTGTAAAGATAAGCCCCACCAAAAAGCTAACCCCCAGCCACACCAAAAAGATTATACAGAAGAGGATATGAAACTTGTACTTTTAGATTTTATTGAAGAGGGTGAAATTGGGACATGTCATTAGTAATTTGCATGAAAAGGTCTGTATCTTGGTATCTTTAACCCCAACCCTATCCCTAGAGTCAGATAAGGATTGTTTTTAATGGCGTGCGTTTGATCAAATGCTCAAGCGTCTAGAGATCAGAAATAAGTGCCAAGTGGGGACTTAAGTTTTCACTTGTGCACTTTTTAAATTAGTGTAGGGCTTATCTGGACAAGAACCATATGTTTAATATTATAAGGCTAAACTATTTATTAAACTAGACGTGATGTTAGTAATATTAGGCCTATATAAGTAGCAATATTGAAAAGTTAAAGTAGAAATCAGCTAAACTGTAACCAACTTACTTGCATCAATGAATTCCCAGGTCCCCTCAAAGCCGTTGTTGGTTTTTTCATGGTTGGAGTAGAACCACATGATGAGAACATTTTTGGTGGACACCACAAGCTTTGGGAGGTCATCCTTGGATGACCCGCAGAATGGCCCCGTCAACTCGGCCTCCAACAAGTCATCAGACTCACCCTGAAGCTGGGAGTAGATGTTGATGAAGTCATTTTTACACCTGGGAAAATTACAATAAAACAGATAGTGATCAAACATATTATAATACAAATCATTGAGTTTTGTGTCTCTATGGAGTAGTGGTGGTGGTGGTGGGGTTAAAAGAGACAAGTATTAAATAGGCATTAGGTTTATATTTAGGGTTTTAACTTTTTAAAATCTTAATTTGGCCAAATCTGTTATTCTGATGATGTAGGGCAGGGGTTCCCAACCTTTTTTTACTCTAGAGCACATTCTAAAATATCGGTAGGGAGGCGGGTACCACCTATTTTAAATCGACAAACTCCTACCAGAGGCGTAGCGACTCTTCCCGGCGCCCGGGGACAAAACTTTCTATTTGCACCCCCCCCCTCAAACTTTCATTAATTTTTATGAAAAAAAATCTGTCTCTGTCGAATAGTGAGAGGCGGGCACATACAAATCGTTCGGAGGGCGCCCGTGGACACAGGGTTGGGAACCCCTGATGTAGGGGATAAGTAGCAGGTAAGTTTTTATAACAATTTTAAAATACCTACGCATATAAATTAAAAGAATTTTAGATAAAGAACAATTAAATTCTATATTACTTACAGGCTATGTAGTATGCAGGCCTATGATAGTTTGAAAATTTTCATGATTTTACAATATCATATTGATCCTAGACTATTCTAGACCACTAGAGATTATTATAATAATAACATACTAATAATATCTAGGTCTAAAGGTATTTATTAACAAAATATTAATTAGATTAGATTAATATTATTTATTATACAAATAAGACTTAATAGGTCTAAACTTAAATGATAACTAACAACAGTCACATAGGCAGTGTATACTCGTGTATAGAATATTATAGTAGATCTTGAATCTAGATCTATTCTATTAAAAAAAAAAAGAAGTGAAAATTAAAATAGTCTAACGTTGATTGTTAAAACTGGAAAAAATAATGTCGATAAATTTATTAAATTACCGTCCAGAAATGATGTGACGTGTTTGCCACCCCCACCCCGTCACGGCGTTACACAACAATGCCATAGAGTCATGGATCGTCATGGAAAATATTAATATTTAAGTCTGACCAACACTAAATGGCATCAAACCGCAGCCTATCACACTTATAAATTTCAAAAGTTTGTTATATAAAACAGTGATTTCTGATTTCTTCATCATTATAAAATATAAATGTAGATCTAGTCAGTGGCATAGTGAGGTCGGGAGTCACCCGGTGCGGCACCCCCCATAAAAAATATATTAAATTTATTAATAGTACATATAGGCCTATATATATGTAACTAGGGTAGGCCTAGCTACTAGTTACAAATCTGATGCAACTGATAACGAACGATAAGCTGAGACGCAGTATTACAGTCTGATGCAACTGATAGCAGGTGGCTTATTAGATCGGAATGATAACAATCTCAAAGCCAACGCGTGCTATTTTGGGAAACGGTACGAGGGGATTCAGACGGCCTGTCAACTTTGATTGATAGGACGCAGATGTTTTATTAAACGGACTGTACGTTAGAACTGCGCAACTAGTAGTCGGAGACATCGAGTACAAGTATCGATTACGGAGGAATACAAGTACGAATACGAGTACGAATACAAGGGATAAATAGGAGGGGACGGCTGAACTCGCGGCTCTTCCCTTTTCGATCGCCCGCTCTCTTCATCGCTCGCTTTAGATCAGTCAGTCTGTGTGACATATCAAGTTGGTTATATTGTGTTAAGAAGGACAATAGACATGTGGATTCAGTTATATGAAGCCTAGTGAGGACTGTTAGGGGTCAGTTGATTCAGACTATTATTGTGAAGCATTCCTGTTGATTCATTGTGTTATATTGAAGCATTTCTTGATTCATGTAATAAAAGGATCAATAGCGAACCTGCATCTTCGAGTATTTCTACTGTAGTCGATGTTGTGTAGCATGAGTGGTTAAACTCGTTACATTTGGCACTACAGGCAAATAGTCTCGTAACATGTGGCGTTGCGAGCAGGGTAACTGTTCGCTCGTTACAATTGGCGTCGTCGGACAGGATGAATTCAACTAGACTTGCCGCTTTAGGCACCCATAGTCAACCTTGTGCATAACTGTGTTTAGTGTGTGTGTGAATTCGGACATTCAGGAACTGTGAAAATTGAGGAACGAGAAAAATTTTTCATACACACACGGTAAGAAAGAACTCTTTTTTTGTTACTTACGGAATAAAATGTCTACTCTGGACGAGAAGCAGACCCATATAGTGGTCCTACCCAGAGAGTCCCACATTAACAAATTTTACGGGGACGGTGATCCTACTTTAACCAACAGGTTCAGTGAAGAGGTCAAAGCGGCCTGGGCCTCGAGAGGCATGTCACCAGAGGAAAGATTAAGACTGCTGATGGGCAGTTTAGGAGAGACGGTTAGGGCAGAGGTCAAATGCCACGATAAAACCATCCAATCAGATCCAGATAAGGTGCTGGATCTGATTATGGAGACCTTTGGGGAGAGACGGTCGGGATCGCAACTGCTGGCAGGGTTCGTAGGCTTAAGGCAGAGAATGGCGGAGAGTGTGATGGAGTACTCACACCGGATGAACAGGGCCTTTGATTCGGTAAAGGTCAAAACACCTGACATTGATGCGCGCCTACTGAGGGACCATTTCATCGAGGGGCTAGCAACCCCGATCCTAAGAAGAGAGTTGAAAGAGGAGGTCCACAAAGACCCGCAGTTGACCTTCCTTCAGGTCAGGAACTCAGCGATCCGCAGGTCCGAGGATGAGGACCAATCGAACTGTTCGGTGGACAAAGTCTCTGTGCCTGAACAGAGACAATCCCCACCCACAGGGGCCGACACGATGGAGACCATGAAGGCTCAACTGTTGGCCCACCTAGATAAGGTTGACCAACGATTGGAGAGGTTAGAAAGCAGGTCAACAGCTGAGAATCAGGGCAAAAACGGGACAAAACAGAGACAGGTTGGACAGCCGCGACCTGCCGCTCCATCGCTCCGGTGGACGGCTGACGGTCGACCAACAATTTGCTTGTCCTGTTCACAACCCGGACATATGGCACGGTACTGTCCGGTGAAACGATCGCCCTCTGTACGGCAGGTCAAGGCTACAGAGCGGCGAGGTAATGACTTAGTAAACAAAATGACACAGAAACACAGTAAGGAGAAAAAGAAAGGTAAAACACAACTAATGAAAAAAATGAACTGTGAAATGAACTGGGATGTTGAAAAGTTTCAAGTGAACAATTTGTTGGTAGAGAAAAATGATGATAAGAAGGAAATTGGTAGACTTAAGAATGAGATCTCAATGTTAACCAGGAAACTGGATAGGGAAAGGTCATGCAAATTAAAAGCACAGGAGAAATGTTCATCTTTAGAGTGTCTGTTATCGGAAGAAGTAAATAAAAATAGTAGACAACAGAACAGTGTTGGCAAACTAGAAGAAATGAAAGAGTCTCAAACAAGACTTGAAGAGAAATTATCCGATATTGAAAAAGAACTTCAAAGTACAGCAAGGCTGGGATCCATCGAACAGCGATGGGCAGCAGAATTGGCACTCGTTGACCTAGAGAGAAAACATCGCCCGGGGCGGTCCAATGGCAATGCGGGCGCCTTATCAAGGAATCCTTACGAGAGACCGGGCGATGAGGAAGAAACGCTGACAGGAATATGTGAGGTCAGAGCGTCAACAGATATCCCTTATGGGGTGCAAGTGATGCAAAACGGGCAGACCGGGGTGGAGCACATATCCACAGAGCCCGGACATATGGACAGTAGTGATTTTAATTGCCTTAATCACAAAAAGATAAGAGATGCCCAGAGAACGGATAGTGGCTTACAACCGCTATTGAAATACGTCCAGGAACAAAAATTCCCAGGAAGAAGGGAAAGAGAACAATTTGGTCGAGAAACAAAGAAAATACTGAGTCAGTGGGACCGTCTCAGTATAGAGGATGGTGTTCTCATGCGGAGAATTCATGACCAAATTGATGGGACAATACACCAGGTGGTGGTGCCTGGACAGTTACGAGAAGAAGTGCTAAGGTTGGCACATGACAGGGCAGGACACCAGGGTCAGGACAGGACGCACAAAATTTTACGACGGAGGTGTTACTGGCCCAATATGGAAATGGAGGTCAAACGCCATTGTGAGGCTTGTGTGAGGTGTCAGCATGCGAAAATGCCAGTTGTCAAAATGAGACAGCCATCAGGACACCTACTAGCGACAAAACCACTAGAGATTGTGGCTATGGATTTTACGTCGTTGGAGCAATCATCGGATGGGACGGAACATGTGTTGGTAATGACTGATGTATTCACCAAATGGACTGTGGCGGTGCCCACACGAGATCAGACTGCCAAAACAGTGGCAAAGGTCTTAATAGAACATTGGTTCATCAAATATGGCATACCAAGACAATTACACTCTGACCAAGGAAGGGCTTTCGAGTCAGAAGTAATTAACCAACTGTGCAGCCACTACGGGATCAACAAATCTAGAACAACCACATTTAATCCGAAAGGAAACGGACAGTGTGAACGGTTCAACCGTAGCATGCATGATTTGCTGCGTACCCTAGAACCTGAACAGAAAAAACGTTGGCCTGATTTTCTCCCAGAGTTGGTATATCTATACAACTGCACCCCCCATGCCACAACCGGCTTTTCGCCACACATGTTGCTGTTCGGACGGGAGGCTCGACTCCCTCTTGACTTGTTCCTAGGAAAAGGGGAGAGTATGACTGGCTCATACACCGCACTGGAATATGTGAATGAACATATGAGAAGAATTAGAGAAATGTACAGGGTAGTACAGGAAAGACTAGAACATGAAGCACGGCGAAGGGAACCGCCGGTACAGACAAAGGACCCGCCACTCAAACTGAACGACAGGGTATTACTGCGTAGCCACCCGTTAGGCAGAAACAAAATCCACGATCTCTGGGGACAGGAGATATGGCAAGTCGTGGAGATGCCTAAAGTAGCAGGTGGCCCCTTTAAGATAAGACCCATCGATCACGCCAAACCGGATCGGTGGGCGAATATTGCTCAATTAAAGAAATATTGGAATAGGCAAGAAGAGCAGTTACACACAAGGAAATCCAAGACAATTAGGGAACCGGAAACTATAACGGAAATTCACATACCCATCCCGGAACCATATCACCATCAACAGAACAACCGCGATACACAAGTGGAGGATAACGGCAACAAAGAGGATCCCGTTCCTTCCAGAAACAGAGAGACAGTAGACCATCAGATAAGTGGTCCGCGGAGAAGTTTGAGGAACAGAAGGAAGACGAAATTTTTTGTCAGCAACCATCAATTCTTTCATGGTCGCGCTGGTATGAGAACAGACGGTTCAAAAAGCTATAAAAGTGAACTGGTGAAGGCACCAAACGAAAAGGGTGAATTCTAGAACTGTTTTGTGTCTCAGGAAGATGATGTAGACACAGTTGATATGTGAAATAGGTATAACTGTCAATCGTATACGAATGGGACGACGTGGACAGTGAGTGGAACAATAAAATTTTTTTTTACGATTGTGCGATTGACTTTGGAGGAGTGCACCTGCCAGGCGTTGTTTGTGGTGGAAAACACACAAAAAAAGGCAGGGGTGGATGTAACTAGGGTAGGCCTAGCTACTAGTTACAAATCTGATGCAACTGATAACGAACGATAAGCTGAGACGCAGTATTACAGTCTGATGCAACTGATAGCAGGTGGCTTATTAGATCGGAATGATAACAATCTCAAAGCCAACGCGTGCTATTTTGGGAAACGGTACGAGGGGATTCAGACGGCCTGTCAACTTTGATTGATAGGACGCAGATGTTTTATTAAACGGACTGTACGTTAGAACTGCGCAACTAGTAGTCGGAGACATCGAGTACAAGTATCGATTACGGAGGAATACAAGTACGAATACGAGTACGAATACAAGGGATAAATAGGAGGGGACGGCTGAACTCGCGGCTCTTCCCTTTTCGATCGCCCGCTCTCTTCATCGCTCGCTTTAGATCAGTCAGTCTGTGTGACATATCAAGTTGGTTATATTGTGTTAAGAAGGACAATAGACATGTGGATTCAGTTATATGAAGCCTAGTGAGGACTGTTAGGGGTCAGTTGATTCAGACTATTATTGTGAAGCATTCCTGTTGATTCATTGTGTTATATTGAAGCATTTCTTGATTCATGTAATAAAAGGATCAATAGCGAACCTGCATCTTCGAGTATTTCTACTGTAGTCGATGTTGTGTAGCATGAGTGGTTAAACTCGTTACATTTGGCACTACAGGCAAATAGTCTCGTAACATGTGGCGTTGCGAGCAGGGTAACTGTTCGCTCGTTACATATATATATATATATATATATATATATATATATATATATATATATATATATATTCCATATACACTTGTAAGTATGTGTGTACGCATGAGTATATTAAGTATATAACTCAAATATTTTTTTTCTTCTGGATATATTTGATTTTTACCCCTCTTTTTTGTCCTCTTAAGTCTTAATAAACTATTTAATTCACTCTCACCAATCATTTAAGTAAGTGAAATTATCCTTTTTTTTTGTATATATTTTGCTATTTTTTGCCTTGGTGTTACCCACACTAAATGGTGTCACCTCCACCCCACCCCCCCCCCCCCCCCTCGCTAGGTCCCTGGATCTAGTAGAAGTAAATAAAATATTAACAGACTCTAGCTGCATAACCTGTCGCAAGACGGGCAGAAAAAATTATTTGTTTCGTTAGATTTTCGATTTTTTTCTAGATCTAGAGAATCTAGATCTAGAATCTGGATTTCTAGATCTAGATCGCTAGATCTAGATTCTAGATCTAGATCAGTTACTAAACATGGAGAAAGTGTAGGCCTAAAGTCTAAAGTTTTTTATTTAGACCTCAAAAATAAATATCCATAAGGCCCACCACAATAAACTTTATTTAATTCAATAAAGTGTATTGAGTGCTAAATGCATTAACTTAGGTTAAATCTATAGGCCTACTATTAGATTATTCACTATTAGTCTATCTACTATCTAGTAATAGTATCTAGATATTCTAGATCTAGATCTAGATCTAGAAATCTAGATCTAGATATAATCTATATGCCATAAAGTCCCCTTACTCATTTTTACGATTTTTACCTCAACCTAAGACGGCTAAACTAGTTTCTTGATATCGAAACAAATGTTTGGGCATTGCTAGCTATAAAAGAATTCTTAAGAACCATGACCCGAGTACGTTCTTAGAATCGGGGTTTCCCATTACAATTTGAAGCTTTATGGATTGTTTATCCTAGATATGCATAGTAACTGAGCATAACTTAGTGGTTGATTAGTTAGGCTTGCATTACTGATCTGATGCCGCAGAATTTGGTTATTTTACATATGTGATATGGTTGTGCAGGATTGCAATCGAATAATTAGACCTATTCTTAAATCGATCTTGCCTGGTTTAGTAAGTCTGCATGTCAGACTTATCATTTGATGCTAGTAAATTCATACTGATTACTCAATGCTGGTTTCTGCCGTATCTTAAAGATTAAGGTGTTCGTGTGTTTGGAGCGCGAGCGAACGTAGCGTCATACAATTAAAAACTCAGGTAAGTCTTTGATTGATCGATCGTGTCTAGATCTAGGCCCACTTTCTCCTATTGATAATATTTTCAATAAGAGTTTTACTCTGCTTTTTATTAAATGGTGGGTCGGGGGAGTACGCAGATTTTTTGGGGCAGTGTTTCTTCCAGACTTTTTTCTTCGGGGGGGGGGGGGGGGGGCACTTGAAATTTTCGGGGAGGGGGAGGGCGGTAGACTTTTTTCGGGGGGGGGGGGGGGCGGACACTTTTAAATGTATATATCTTCAATATAAATTCCATTTCGTTCGGTGTGTGTGTGGGGGGGGGGGGGGCTCCTTCCCCCCGAAGAGATGCCTGGAATAAACTCTGTTTTGGCGTAGGGGGGAGCGGCAAGTCTAGAAAAGGCGCCACGCCATAGTGTGTGTGGTTGCCCCGGTGTAAAACTTAAAAAGTTCTTTTTAAAGAGCAGAAAAGAACAGAACACAAAATAACACATCACACAAAACTAATGCAAAAACCAAAAAAAAAAAAAAATTAAATAACACGCAACATAAAAAAAAAAAAAAAAAAAACCCACCAGATTTTGTAATCCTTGTAGAACGAAGTTTATTTTTCGGTGAATGTAATATTTAAAATGTTTAAGGGCAGCTAACAACAGTTAAGGAACGACTCTATTTAATCTACATCTATTTATATAAAAAAATTAAAGTTAAACAATATTATATATAATAGCTGTTTGCAAGTAGCTAAACAATATTATTCTCTTTTTCAAAACCAATTATTTTAATAAAAATGCTAAAATTCCCAACCATGAAACAAGCTCATGAAAATTAAAATTGATAAAAACGCGCTATTTCATTACATTAAATCGTACACGGTAATGATAAAGCAATGTTGCAAATAATTTTACCTTATCCAGTGTCACAACTACGAACAACATACTTTTGACATATGAACCTTTTTCACAATATTACCATGTTTGCAATAGCAGCTGCATTATTACTTTGTTAAAAATATATATCTTCATACTGTTCACACTCCCTATTTCGTTACACGGACTATATTTGTCAAGGTATATCGTTTTTTTTTTTTTACATTTTGGGCTAGTTGCTAAGATATCTTCTTGGATTTTGTTCATTTATTTTCGCATGATTAAAATGACACATACTTATTTCATACACACAAAAACTCTTCAGCAAGCTGATGTTGTATCTTTATCACTAAGAGCCGAACCCCACTTTGAACCTTCACAATGGCCCAGACTAACCCAATGTTGAGTATCATCCAAGCGAAACTCGACTTCATCGCAGAGGAGAAATCTCGACTGAAAGCAGGCATTGATTCATACGTCAATATAGTAAGTCCAGACGAATTACAAGGTTTGTTGCATGCTCGTAACAGTGGCGTAGCGAGGTCGGGTGTCACCCGGTGCGGCACTTAATGGTGTCACCCCCCCCCCCCCCCAAAGGCATAGAGACCCTTCCCAGGGACAAACTTTCAAACTTTCGATTTGCACCCCCCCCTCGAGTTTTCGATTTGCACCCCCCCCCCCCCTCAAACTTTCGATTTGCACCCCCCCTCGAGTTTTCGATTTGCACCCCCCCCCTCAAACTTTCGATTTGCACCCCCCCCCCTCGAGTTTTTCTCTATATATTTTGCTCTTTTTGCCTTGGTGTCACCCCCCTAAATGGTGTCACCCGGTGCGGTCCGCACCCCCCGCCCCCCCCCTCGCTACGCCCCTGGCTCGTAATATATGCAAAACCTTAGCATATTCGTTGTGTCTTCCACTTATTCCCTTCCTGTCAAAGAGTTAACTCTTAACAATATACTTTCCATGTTTTGTGTAATAATTACACGTGAGAGTTGGCATGTATGTTGTATAAACACTGAGATTCTTTTAGTACACGTCGGAAGCCACGGCAGCTGTGGAGAATGGGTCGTCTGCTGAAGGTACGAGACAGCATCTGATTGACGTCAACTCTAGACTTGACCTAACTCTGCAACTCATTCTGAAGACGATTGAAGCATTTCGATGTGAGCCTCATCCGTTTTGTTTTATTTCTGATTAATGATTAATCTAAAAAATTATTTTTTTTAAAGTGGTTTTGTAAACCAGTACAAGTCTGATACTTTATAGGAGACCACCCATTACCTTAACGATAAAACCACCAGCCTTTACCTTTTTAGAGCTTATCTGCGTAAATGTGTTAGAGTTTTAGTTGTATTTAATAAATCATTAACGTTATTACCATGTTTGTTTTTATTGGGATTGTTAAGAAAAATGCTATAAGTTAATGACTAATCGACTACATGCTAAGATATTTGTACTTGACATTAATCTGATTCTATTGTGCGTAATATTACTTCAATAGAAAATACAATCTGTGAAGTCTTGTTTTGTTGCTAGAACTGTAAATGGTTTCTACTGTCGTCTTTTAAAACACGTAGTCTTAGAAAAATTAAATATTGAGGTTATTATTATTATTATTATTATTATTATTACAGACGTAGAAGCTGCCGAACAACAGTCTGACCAGAGCACAACATTCTTCAGCTCCTGTAAGTCTGATGTTTAAATAAATACCAATTTATGACCTTTTTCTATTCAGATTCTTTAAAAAATTGCAATGTTATAGAGTTTAAATATACATGTTTTCACAAGCAAACACATTACGATTTCATATTTGACTGATATAATTTGTTGCAGATTCCAAAATCTACGACCAGCGGCTTGAGAGTCTAGAAGTTTCAACCTCGTTTCAAGACGAGGTCAATCAGAACACAACAAAACAAATGGCCTCCATCGAGGAAAGATTTCACGCTCTCGAAAGCGAAATCCAAACTCTGAAAGTAAAGAACTTGGAGCTGGAAGAGAGTCACGTGACCTTCTCTTCAAAAACCACGAATCACATATCTGAGCTGGATGAGAGAACCAACCAAATCAAGGACAGACAGGAGTCACTACATGAACAGCAAAAACTCGCCGAGATAGATTTCGCCAATACTTTCGTCACCAAATCCGATTTTTCCGAACACACTGAATGGGTTAAAAGAACAAACCAAACTTTGGAGGCCTTGAGCACGAAAGTGACGCACAACACCGTGGATCTGAATGACGTGACAAACACGTGCAAGGACTTAGGAGAAACAACCAAGGAGCTGGTGAGTAAGGTGGAGACGGTGCAAGGGACGATGCAGGATTTGAAGTTGGCCAACAGCACCGAGATGAACAAACTGCGGGAAATGAAGAAATTGCTGGCGGCCAATGAAAAGAGCAAGAAGGAAACTATGGACTATTTTAAGGCCAGGATGGAACAGGGAGAAACTTTGGTACGTCAAATATTTGTCACACGTAACTTAGCTGGTTGAAGTTTAATGAGTCCGGTGGTAAGGGGATGGTTGGCTTCTAATCTAGGGTAACACTATCGCAAGGGATATCATTATTGAATCGTACGAAATGGGGGGGGGGGGCAAATAAAAAAATATCAAATTGCTAATTGGACAAAGTAAACAAAATATATGCTAATTGAAAAGTTTCAACTCATATGATAGGCAAAATACCTTAAGATAAAGAGACGTGGTAGCTCTAAATAAGAAAAAAAATGAATACAAATTGAGGAGAAAGGAAATAGTTTTTACGTAGCGACATAGTTTATTTATCTGTTCTAGCAGTTTGATAATACATCTTTAAACTTGTCTATCATCGTGCTAAATATAACGATGCTATAGCTGTAATCCAGCGGTTGTTTTCTTTAAAAATACATTTTTGAAACAGTACTAAATTTTAAAATATTTTTTCCCTTCACTTAGAACAAAAACATCTACAAACTTATAGCGTCTAGATTGGAACCACTGAACAGACTGCAGGAAATTTTTAACAAACATAAGCAACAACAACCTAGTCGAGTAGATGGGCTCAACAGCAAGGTCAGTTAATTAAACAAAGTCTTACGCCAACATTTTTAAATGTGTTAAATCGACTTGTCCTTTAGATGACATGTCTCTCTGCAGTGTATTTTATTGTAGATTGTAATAAAATACACCGCCGCAACCTACGCATCTTCTCCCACTAAACTATCTATGCGGACACAATACACTAATACCTAGTACATTACCGTTCTTGGGGGGCCCACCGGGATCTTTTATCCGAGGCCCACCGGGATTTTACCCGGAAGACCGGCGGGCCATTCCACCCCTGGTATTATATAACTTAATGCAATAACTGATTGTAAAATACCCACACATCAGAATGTAAAGATTGTTGTATAGTCATCAAGATATATGTCCGATAGACCTTTATGAAAAGATATATCCCGCCCTCCCATGTCTCTGTCCATTCCATCCCTATCATCCCATCCATCAAACCAAATCCAATTTAGGGTGACATACAGATGGATTAACCAAAATCCTGTAACATAAATTTTGTTTTGTTTTGCATGCAGGTTGTTGAACTAAAATACAGGGCCGACGATTTCAGCTCACGGATTAACGAAATGAGTGCACGGATTAATGCATTGAGCTCACAATTTTCCATATGTAGCTCACAGATCTTTGACTTGCAAGTAAAATGTGAAGACGGTAAGCATCTATATTTATATGTCACTGTCTGCTACCTCCCCTCCCTCACCCAACCCCTTACTTGGAAAATTAGCAAAATAAAAACTGTCACAGTCAATGGAAAAACGAAACTTTCCACAACCGTGACGTCACACGCAACATATAGGACATATTCTAAACAAAGGCATAGCGAGGGGGGAACATATATTCCCGGGCGCCGACCTTACGGGGCGCCGAAATGGGTTTGAAAAATAAATTGAAAGCTTGAGGGGGGTGCAAATCGAAAGTGTCGCTACGCCTCTGATTCTAAAGCCGGAAAAGTAAACACAATAAAATGACGTCATTGTTTCTAGAGTAAACATATATCGAGGAGATCGCCCAAGTGTCAGTTACACTACGGTAGGGACACTCGGCAAGGCCATTGTTCGGTTTAACTGTTCTAATTTAAATGGTGTATGCCACCGTGTCCTTTTTGTAGGGTTATCATTGAAACGAACGTACGCGCCATAGTACTTAGGCGGGAGCCCGGGGCACAAAATCGCACCCAGTTAAAGGCGGCAGCGAACACGCCTGATTCGATTCAGTCATACAGACAGACAGACAGACAGACAGACAGACAGACGGACGGACGGACGGACGGACGGACGGACGGACGGACGGACGGACGGACGGACGGACGGACGGACGGACGGACGGACGGACAAAAAGACAGAAGGACAAAATGACAGAAAGACAGAAAGACAGAAAGACAGAAAGACAGAAAGACAGAAAGACAGAAAGACAGAAAGACAAAGACAGAAAGACAGAAAACCTAACACATCTAGTTTTGGAAGTGTAATTTTATTGGCACAATATGTGTCACGTGATATTCTGTTTTTTATTTACAGATGTAATTAAAGAAGAAATAGAAGAAGACCAACTTTCTAACAACAATGACGAAATTAACCAAGTTGGCTTCACTGCTTATTTAAAGTCCACGCTAAACGTAGATTCGAACACACAGCTGGGTGACCTGCTGGACGAACTTACTGAAGATACCGGATTTACTGCATCAAGCGGATTGTTCGTTGCACCTGTTGAAGGTCTTTACTTGTTTTTCCTGTCCTTAAAACAAGTCGGCTCAGGGAGAATTCGAGCCCATGTAAAAACTCTAAACTATGAAGATTCAGATGTGTATGTTGTATGTAAAGCCATGACGAATGAGGATGGTACAACCAGCTGTGGTCTAGGGGTCTCTTACATGAATGCGGGAGACACCGCGACGGTTAAAATAGTCCATGTGGATGGTGAACCACAGTTGTCACCATACACGAGTTTCTCTGGTTGTCTCATCAGCCGCTCATAATGAGTGTTTAGTCACCATCTCACATGTGAGTGTTGGAGTCACTATCACTCTTCACCCCAGATTTTTTTTCTAGCTATACGCTTTTTTAGATGGTGAGTGTGTATCGTATAATTTTTGTGTAGTTTAACTACCCTATGTGTGTGGTTCATTATGTGCTTACTAGAAAACTCATATATAGATCGACGTGTGCTTGAAATCGGTCAGTTTTGCATTAAAGTTTTGATCTTACTTTGGCATCCCTTGTTTGTCCAAGTATTTTGTATTGGAATTTATCGTGTTTTGTTAAAAAGTTTTGTTTTTGTGTTTAGTGATTACAAATTATGTGCGGTCCACACCCCCTTTCCCTCCCGACGCCTCTGCATCTTACTATTCTTAATAAAACAATCTTAGCACCTAGTTAAAGTTTCACAACTTAGAAAATTTCACTCATAACGTTATTTAATAAATTAATACGTTAAATAATTTTTTTTTCAAGCATCTCATTAGTGGGGCGCACCCCCCTCCCATCGAACAAAACAGAAAAAAAATTGTGTAGAAAATATATACTTTAACCTTAACCAGTGTCCCCCCCTCCCCTCTTCTGAAAGAAACTAAATGGCATATTGGGCTGGTAAGTAGGTCACCAACAAGTTCTACGGCTCAATAGAACCTGCATGAGCCATAGACATAGAACTGTTTATTGACCTACTACCAGCCCTACACGTGACGCGCTGTGTTTTGCGTGGACACATTTACGAAGCGAAGGTTTACGATCGCAACTAGATTAGAATCTAGATATCGAAAGTGAAAGTAATGTTTTATTTTGCAACATACAAAGTCTTTTAAATTCTTAAGGTAATTAATAGATCTACATCGCTGAGACAACAAGGGTATGTACTTAACGTAATAGCATTATTAAGTATTTAAATAAGATTTAGGCCCTAGATCTAGAGACTAGTGAACAAAGTAAATTTGTGTCACCGCTCTGTTAGGATTAATTTTGATCCGATCATTCTTAGATACAATTTAATACCAGCAGTTAAAAACTTCTCATGAAATTATTTGGTTGTATGTTTAATTCGTTTTTCAAAAGTAATGATTTGACGTAAGTCCTGCAGCTTCAGTAGAGGGGGGGGGGGGTCGCTCCCAGTAGGTACGCAAGGGGGGGGGGCTATCCCTACGAGCATTTTAAAGACAGTGCCGCCTTTTTCGGTGAATAATTAAATACATTTTAAAACAAGTTCCGCAACACTGAAAAAAAAAACAACCAACAAACACATAACTAAAAGTACGAATTGAAAACTGTCATGTATACCTTAAATATCACATTTTTAACAACTCATGGCAATTAGATCTATAGCCTACTTCTTGGCTTACTTATCTGCGCCTAGCTAAACGCCTGTACATCTGCTGTTTGTGTTACCCCTGCTGGATGTAGAACGTCAACCACATACTGATCGATCTTAATTCGCAAGTGTAGTCTTTGCTTGAGTCGTCAGGCTCAATTCAGCCATACATCTTATATACGGGTGCCCTATTTATTTTGGGTTTTAAGATCAATCTAGAAACGTAGGGTAATTGTTTACCTATAGTGTGCCCCGTAGAATACGATTGTGCTAATCTATGATAAGTTACTACTAGCAGGAAGGGAAGCTGGAGGTCCCTTGTCAGCTGATCTTGAACATTTTCATAAGGCAGCTAGTACAGATGCACATATTTTTAGATAGATTGTGTTAAAAACTCTATGCAACTATATGGTGGGGGGGGGGGGGGGGAAGCTGAATAAATGTACAGAAAAATAAACACATTCTCACACAACTTCAAGAAGGTTAGTATGAGTCAAAATTTTCAGCACGTACAGATGTACTTAACGAACAAATACATAAATACCTCGGAAAAAAACAACAGTATAAAACCCTGTGGACAAGATTATAATAGGATACAAAAGATGAATAAGCAAACTTTATTTTATAGGTTGGAGACATACTAGAGACATTTGACAGTTGGTTTCAAAGTGGATAACTACAGTAGCATACGTTTACATTTACTGACATCCAGTAACGTCAAAGTTTTCTTTATATATATATATATATATATATATATATATATATATATATATATATATATATATATATATATATATATATATATATATATATATATATATATATATACAGCTGTAGTAACGACTCGTGTCAGAATATTGTGTCTCTATCACCAACAGCCAAATCCCACAGTAAAGCATCAAAATGGCGCAGAGTAAAGCGATGTTGAACATGATCAAAGTAAAACTTGAATTTATTACAGAGGAGAAATCTAGGCTGATAGCAGGCATTGATTCATACGTCATTAAGGTATGTCATTGTGAGTTGGGGTGGAGTAGGGGGGGAGGGGACGAAAGCAACGAGCTGTACGATCATATTGGTATACATACACACACGGGGATATATATATATATATATATATATATATATATATATATATATATATATATATATATATATATATATATATATATATATATATATATATCTGTTAGTTCATTAATCGACGTATTCTACTGCCGTACGCGAACATTTGTATACACATCTGGCAAAAAGTAAAACTATTTCAGCACACATCTGAAGCCACGGCAGCTCTGGAGAAAGGATCGTCTGCTGAAGATGTCAGACATCTGAGAGACATCAACTCTCGACTTGACATAGCCCTGCAACTTATTTTAAAGATGGGCGATACGTTTCACAGTAAGAAGGGTTTCTATCTCTTTGGTTTATACGTTTGGGTGCCGGTTTTGATGTATTCATTGATGTTTCTAACGAGAATGGAGTAACTCCTCTTGTTTTGTAGGATGTATTTACAGAAACGTTTACAGGTCTCTAATGTGCTGAAGAGGTTGCGCTGGTTTCCTTTTGTGACATCCGGGTCTTGCGTTTATGACAGTTTTAAACTTTCCCTGACTAGATTCAGATAGCTGCTAAACCTGGGTAAACTCAAAGTCTCGAACTGAACTCGATACTTTCATGTTAGCATCTCGTATTCTGCCATTCGTCCACTCTTTTGGTTACCGCGAAGACGAGACCTCGATAAGTCTATCATGGATCTAATGTCGATGTCTCCCGAATTGTTTACTTCTTTATGCCACCAACGAGGCTTTAAATAGATGACACTTCCAAAATATTACTATAAATCTTACCATTTGATATAAGGTTGTAACTAAGCTGGCTGTATTCTAAAGGAGTAAAAAATAATTGTTCACAGATGATGAAAACAACTCATGTATGTATAACATTTGTGATTTCAATACAACAATCATAAAGACAGATTTGGGTGAAGAGTTCTGCATGAAAAAAGTAGTTAAAGAGTTATTTAATACTCGCTCGTCATACTTTATTTTTAATCAATGAATATCTCATAAACGTAAACATAAGTGTTTAGTTTCATATTTAACTGGTACATGTTGCAGATTCCAAAATCTGCGACCAGCGACTTGAGAACTTGGAGATTTCAGCCTCGTTTCAAGACGACATCAACCAAAGCAACTCAAAACAAATATCGTCATTAGAGGAAAAATTTCACGCCCTCGAAAGCGAAATCCAAACTCTGAAAGCAAAAAACACGGAACTCGAGAAAGTTCACGTGAACTGCTTCTCGAAAATCATGAATCACATATCTGAGTTAGATGAGAGAACCAATCAAATCATGGAAAGGCAGGAGTCACTTCATGAACAACAAAAACTCGCCGAGATAGATTTCGTCAACACTTTCGTCTCCAAATCCGATTTTACCGAACACACTGAATGGGTTAAAAAAAACGAACCAAGCTCTGGAGGCATTGAGCATGAAAGTAACGCACAACACTGTGGATCTGAATGACGTGACAAAGACGTGCAAGAACTTAGAGGCTACAACCAAGGAGCTGGTGAGTAAGGTGGAGATGGTGCTGGGTAAAGTGCAGGAACTGAAGCTGATCAGCAACAACGGGGTGCTACGACGCCGGGAGATGGACAAAAAGCTGACGTCCATTGAGAACAAGCAGGACGCCATGGCACAAGGAGATATCGTGGTGCGTTTTAAGTGTTTCACATCTATTTTTGTTGGCGTTTAGGCTGGCGTTTTGGTTATTTTTAACGTGTTATTAAGGTTGGTGGCTAGGTTGCGTCTCAAAATTTTCTATGATTTTTAAAATATCTTAGTTCGAATCCCTTCGTAGTATTCGTGTGTCTTGGAGAAGTCCACAGGTTTTATCATTTCGGCAATTTCCGGATAACCTTGAGCACCATTGTAGGGTTCAGACCTTTAACCAAAACACTAACGACTTTGAATTTGGATTAAGACACAAAACATCTATAAGCTAAATCAGGGCACATTAGTAGATAAATAAAGAAATGTGCAAATCAGTCTAGGTTTAACATAGTGTTAATCATTATCTCCCCTATCAGTAACCTATGGTTATCTTCTTTGAAACTTGTAACTGATTGGGAATGATTAGACCAGTAAAAGGTGATCTCCAAAGTAGGCCTATAATGTAAATACACACAACACTCTCTATTTATAGGTCACCTACCGTAGTGACTAGCGACATGCTACACATTTAGGAGTAATACATGTCTATCTGGACATTTAGATGTCGTTGACAAAAATGACATGAGAAGATTATACAGAATGATGATAAGCTTTTAAATCTGTTCTAGCCGTTTAAAAAAGGTCCATCACAGTGTAAGCATACGGTAAAACTATACCACCAACAGTAAGGTATTAAAATGCTTAACTTGTAACATATCACCGGCTAAATTAATCTATTTTGAACTCAAATTAAAAAAATAAATAAATATTCTCACATTCTTACATTCGTTTTATAAGAGATGTAAGAAGGTAACTAAATTTCATGATGCAGAAATATTTTTTTTTACGATTTGAATTTCTTTCTGATCGTTGTGAATACAGATATGTATTGTTTTCCCCGCAGAATAAAAACATCTACAAACTTATAGCATCTCGACTGGAGCCGTTGAACCGACTACAGGAAATCTTTAACAAAAGCAGACAGTCACCTAGCCGAGTAGAACTGCTGGACAAAAAGGTCAGTTGAAAAAAGGTCACGAATCTTGTGTCTGTTGAGCGCGCTGTTAGCAAATAGTGCGTAAAAGACGTTTTGGTTTACAGATAGCAAGTAATTAAAAAAATTTCTTCCCCGTGCAGGTTAATGAGCTAATAGATAAGGTTGAGGAACTGGGCTCCTATAACTCAGGTAAACACAACTTTTTGAAACTTATCCTGTATAACTATCTCTAAAATTACTCACGCATGTAACACGTAGCATTTTGTTTTGTACCGCTAGGAGATAGCGATGACGACGCTCAAACTGAATCCTCCCTCGCTGAAATCTGGGTGGGCTTCACGGCATATTTAGAGTCCACAAAAAATGTAGACTCAAACACACGGTTATATCCAATCGCGGACGTATTTACTAGCGATGAAGGATTTACTGCATCGAAGGGAGAGTTTGTTGCACCAGTCGATGGACTTTACTTGTTTTTCCTGTCCTTGAGACAAGTCGGTTTAGGGAAAGTACGAGCCCATGTAAAAAATACACAGGCATTTAGCTCAGTAACAAGCGTTGTATGTAAAGCCATGACTAATGAGGAAGGTACAACCAGCTGTGGTCTTGGGATGACTTTCATGCTTGCGGGAGACACGGCGACAGTTAAAATAGTCCATGTGGATGGTGATCCACAGTTGTCACCATACACGAGTTTCTCTGGTTGTCTCATCAGCCGCTCATAATGACAGTCACCATCACACATGTGAGTGCTTGGAGTCACCATCACACACGTGAGTGCTGGAGTCACTATCACTCTTCACCCCAGTTTTTTTTTCTAGCTATACGCTTTTTTAGATGGTGAGTGTGTATCGTATAATTTTGTGTAGTTTCAGTACCCTATGTGTGTGGTTCATTATGTGCTTACTAGAAAACTCATATATAGATCGACGTGTGCTTGAAATCGGTCAGAGTTTTGCATTAAAGTTTTGATCTTACTTTGGCATCCCTTGTTTTTCCAAATATTTTGTATTGAAATTTATCGTGTTTTGTTAAAAAGTTTTGTTTTTGTGTTTGGTGATTACAAATTATGTGCGGTCCGCACCACCCTCCCCTCGCGACGCCTCTGCATCTTACTATTCTTAGCACCTAGTTAAAGTTTCACAACATAGAACATTTCACTCATAACGTAATTTAATACGTTAAAACAGTTTTTTTCAGGCATCTCATCAGTAGGGCGCACCCCCCCTCCCTATGAACAAAACAGAAAAACAATTGTATAGAAAATATATACTTTAACCGGTTTAACCTTAACCAGTGTCCGCCCCCTCCCCCCTCACCCCTTCTGCAAGAAACTAAACGGACTACACATAACGCGCTGTGTTTTGCGTGGACACATTTACGAAGCGAAGATTTACGATCGCAGCTAGATCTAGATTAGGCGTGTTCTCAGAATAGGGTTTTCCCGTTTAGATCTAGAATCTAGATATCGAAAGTGAAAGTAATGTTTTATTTTGCAACATACAAGGCCTTTTAAATTCTTAAGGTAATTAATAGATCTACATCGCTGAGACAACAAGGGTATGTACTTAAGGTAATAGCATTATTAAATATTTAAATAAGATATAGGCCCTAGATCTAGAGACTAGTGAACAAAGTAAATTTGTGTCACTGCTCTGTTAGGATTATTTTTGAACCGATCATTCTTAGATACAATTTAGTACCAGAAGTTAAAAACTTCTCATGAAATTATTTGGTTGTATGTTTAATTCGTTTTTGAAAAGTAATGATTTGACGTAAGTCCTGCAGCTTCAATAGGTGGGGAGGGGGGGGGGGGGTCGCTCCCAGTAAGTACGCAGTAAAAAAAAACAAAAAACAAACAAACACAATTGAAAAATCGAATTGAAAACTGTCATAAATACCTTAAATATCACATTTTTAACAAATCACGGCAAATAGATCTATAGCCTACTTCTTGGCTTACTTATCTGCTCAATTCAGCCATCCATCTTATATACGGGTGCCCTATTTATTTTGGGTTTAAAGATCAGTCTAGAAACGTAGGGTGATTGTTTACATAAAGTGTGCCCCGTAGAATACGATTTTGCTAATCTATAAGTTACTACTAGCAGGAAGGGAAGCTGGAGGTCCCTTGTCAGCTGATCTAGAACATTTTCCTAAGGCAGCTAGTACAGATGCACATATTTTTAGATAGATTGTGTTAAAAACTCTATGCAACTATATAGTGGTGGGGGGGGGGGGGGGAGCTGAATAAATGTACAGAAAAATAAACACATTCGCACACAACTTCAAGAAGGTTAGTATGAGTCAAGATTATCAGCAAGTACAGATGTACTTAACGAACAAATACATAAATACCTCGGAAAAAAACAACAGTATAAAACCCTGTGGACAAGATTATAATAGGATACAAAAGATGAATAAGTAAACTTCAAATAAGGAATAACGATAGTTATTTATTTTATAGGTTGGGGACATACTAGAGACATTTGACAGTTGTTTAAAAGTGGATAATTACAGTAGCATACGTTTACATTTACCGACATCCAGTAACGTCCAAGTTTTCTTTATATATATATATAGCTGTAGTAACGACTCGTGGGTGGATTTTGTGTCTCTATCACCAACAGCCAAACCACATAGAAAAGCATCACAATGGCGCAGAGTAAAGCGATGTTGAACATGATCAAAGTAAAACTGGAATTTATTACAGAGGAGAAATCTAGGCTGATAGCAGACATTGATTCATACGTCATCAAGGTTTGTCACATTGTGGGTTGGCGTGGGGAAGGGAAGGGAACGAAAGCAGTGAGCTGTACGATCATATTGGTATACATACACACACACACACATATATATATATATATATATATATATATATATATAATAGTTATCTGTTAGTTCATTGATTAGTTCATCTGTTAGTTCATTGATTGGCGCATTCTACTGCCGTACGTGAATATCTGTATCTGACAAAAAGTAAAACTATTCCAGCACACATCTGAAGCCACCGCAGCTTTGGAGAAAGGATCGTCTGCTGAAGATGTCAGACATCTGAGAGACATCAACTCTAGACTTGACACAGCCCTGCAACTTATTTTAAAGATGGGCGATACGTTTCACAGTAAGAAGGGTTTCTGTCTGTTTGGTTTATACGTTTGGATGCTAATTTTGATGTATTCATCTATGTTTCTAACGAGAATAGACTAACTCCTCTTGTTTTGTAGGATGTATTTACAGAAACGTTTACAGGTCTCTAATGTGCTGAAGAGGTTGCGTTGGCTTACGTTTTTGACATCCAGGTCTTGCGTTTATGACAGTTTTAAAATTTCCCTGATTAGATTCAGATAGCTGCTAAACCTGGGTAAACTCAAAGTCTCGAACTGAACTCGATACTTTCATGTTAGCATCTCGTATTCTGCCATTCGTCCACTCTATTGGTTACCGTGGAGACGAGACCTCAACAAGTCTTCTATCTTGTATCTCATGTCGATGTCTCCAGACTTGTTTACTTCTTTATGCCACTGACAAGTCTTTAAATAGATGACACTTCCAAAATATTACTGTAAATCTTACTATTTGATATGCGGTTGTAACTAAGCTGGCTGTATTCTAAAGGAGTAAAAAATAATTGTTCACAGATGATGAAAATGTAGAAACACAGTCTACTGTTCAACCAACTGACCAGTGCACACCATCCTACAATTCATGTATGTATAACATTTGTGATTTCAATTCAACACTCGTAAAGACAGATTAGGGTGAAGATTATTGTATGAAAAAATTAGTTAAAGAGTTATATAATACTCGCTCGTCATATTTTATTTCTGATCAATGAATTGATCATAAACGTAAATATAAGTGTTAAGTTTCATATTTAACTGATACATGTTGCAGATTCCAAAATCTGCGACCAGCGACTTGAGAACTTGGAGATTACAGCCTCGTTTCAAGACGAGAGCAACCAAAGCAACTCAAAACAAATATCGTCATTAGAGGAAGAATTTCACGCCCTGGAAAGCGAAATCCAAAACCTGAAAGCGAAAAACGCGGAACTCGAGAAAGGTCATGTGACCCGCTTCTCGAAAATCATGAACCACATATCTGAGTTAGATGAGAGAACCAATCAAATCAAGGAAAGGCAGGAGTCACTTCATGAACAACAAAAACTCGCCGAGATAGATTTCGCCAATACTTTCGTCTCCAAATCCGATTTTACCGAACACACTGAATGGGTTAAAAAAACAAACCAGACGTTTGAGACGCTGGGTATGAAAGTGACGTACAACACCGTGGATCTGAAGGACGTGACAAACACGTGCAAGAACGTAGAGGCTACAACCAAGGAGCTGGCGAGTAAGATGGCATTAGCAGACAGGACGATGCAGAGCTTGAAACAGACCAACAATGCCGGGGTGACGAGACGCCGAGAGATGGAGGAAAAACTGACGGCCGTTGTAAAGAAACAGGAAGTTATGGAGTCTTTTAGATCCATGGTGGAGCAGGGAGATGTTGTTGTGAGTGTTAAAGTTTAGTACATCTCATTTAGTTGGTGTTTAGGTAGGTGTTTAAGTGGCTGTTAAGGTTGCTAAGGTTGGTGTTCAGATTAGTGTTAAGGAACGTGTTTAGGTTGGTGTTTAGGTTGGTATTTAGATTGGTGTTTAGGTAGGTATTTAAGTGGCTGTTAAGGTTGCTGCTAAGGTTGGTGTTCAGATTAGTGTTAAGGAACGTGTTAAGGAACGTGTTTAGGAGTTGTTTAAGGTGTTATTTAGCTAGATGTTTAGGTTGGTGTAAAAAGGTAGGTATTTAAGTGGCTGTTAATGGTTGCTGCTAAGGTTGGTGTTCAGACTATTGTTAAGGAACGTGTATAGATTGGTGTTTAGGTAGGTGTTTAAGTTGCTGTTAAGGTTGCTAAGGTTGGTTTTTAGGTTGGTGAAAAGGTTGTGTTTGAAAGTTTACAGGTGGTTGAGCTGAGATTTCTTAGAATCCCCCACGTGGTATCCATGTGTTCTAGAGAAGACAACTTGTTAATTCCAGTTGTTCCGGATAACGTCGTAATGGTCACTATTAACATCAGCGTATTGGATGGGACCTCAACAATGCATGCAGAGTTTCTTCCAGGCTTCTCTTCGGGGAAGAAAACCTACCGCCCCCCCCCCCTCGAAAGAAAAGGAATTTATATAGAAAATATATACTTTTAACAGTGTCCGCCCCCCTCCCCACCCGGAGAAAAAACTCTAGAAGAAACACTGAATGCATGCCCTCACAGACGAATGACACTAAAGGAAAATTACAAATTGATCTCATTAAAAATGTGTTTTTCTTGGTTTTATAACTGATCGCAGTTAATCTTAACCAGACACCAAATATCATTACTGACTAAATTCCATTATATTATGGGGAGTAGTGAATTAAGAGTTCAGACAAGATATGCAAAAACTATATGCTAATCTAAGCCACATTACTACATGAATAAAGTAAAGACGTGTACATTCGTCTAAAAACAACACATATCTAATCATTATCTATCGTATCAGTAGCCTATGATCGTCAACATTATCTTCATTAAAGTTTACAACCTTGGTCGGGAAAGATTAGAAATAAGTTCACAGATTGCATTTTTTATGCCTACATACAACCAAGAGACTCGACATATTCTACACATTTATAGTAATATGATGTCAATCCGGACATGCATATATATATATATATATATATATATATATATATATATATATATATATATATATATATATATATATATATATATGTGTGTGTGTGTGTGTGTCACGAGAACAAGGGTTGCTTAACATGTTACAGTCTGTCAATAACCGTATTTTCAATACCACATCGAGGTCAGCGAGGTCGAGTTGGTAAAGCTCATGACTGCTAAACCGAAAAGTCCCGAGTTCGAACACCCAGTTAGATAGGCTCAAAGGCTCAATAGCTGGGGACAGAAAACTCCAAAATCAAACAACTGGTACTTTGTTCTTGGGTGGAATGAAATCTTAAAAGAAAAGTAGACAAATCTCATTTAAATATTTACCAAATTATTCACACTTTTTTACTTTCTCATATACGAAGTATAGAGAAAGTCTTGTAATCGTGCAAAAAAAAAAAAAAAAATTCGAGATTTTTACAAATCTCGACGTTTTACACCTCACTGATACGGAAAAACATAATTTTGCAATCTTGTCCGTATGTCTGTGTATCTGTGTGTAAACACGATAAATTGAGTACCGTTACAGCTAGGTTGATGAAATTTCATACATAAGTATTTTATCAAAATCGTTGTTAGGTATCAACTTTTGAGCGATTTCCGATAACCGGAAGTGGTACTTTTTCTACTTTGAATTTTCCAAAAGCCTATAACTTGAGTACAATTTCAGATAGATAAATAACATTTCACATGTAAGTAAATGATCTAATTTTCTACCTTTTGTCAAATTTTGAGTAATTTCCGTTGACCGGTAGTAGTAATTTACGCTACTTTCAATTTCTCAAAAAAACCCATGTAAATTTATAAAGTACTAATAATATTGCGCACTATTATGCACATCTTTATTTGGCGTTCACTTGGTGTGCAATTCTTTTTCCGCGAGATTTTATTCTATTTTAAAAAGTTTAAGTATTTAGAATTGATTAAAAATCATGTCTATATCCAGAGTTCCCATCCCTGTTGTTTTATATAAGAATATTCGAGAAAGTTTAGGGGAGACCACTCCCGGTTTATTATAAAAGAAGTCGAAAAATATATCCGTTTAAGCGGAAATATGTATTAATGTTAGACATAAAAACAAGTAGACATTATGCTGGATGGAGACTTTAAAAATTAACTAGTTCAGAGCAGAAGTCAAAATACATACTTTTTATTTTCCCCACAGAACAAAAACATTTACAAACTTATAGCATCTAGACTGGAACCACTAAACAAACTGCAGACAATTTTTAACACAAGCAGACAGTCACCTAGCCGTATAGAGGTACTGGACAAAAAGGTCAGTTGAATATTTTATAGGATGACCTAAAAGGTCAGTTGAATATTTTATAGGATGACCTAAAAGGTCAGTTGCATATTTTATAGGATGACCTAAAAGGTCAGTTGAATATTTTATAGGATGACCTAAAAGGTCAGTTGGATATTTTATTGGAGGACCTAATAGGTCAGTTGGATATTTTATAGGATGACCTAAAAGGTCAGTTGGATATTTTATAGGATGACCTAAAAGGTCATTTGAATATTTTATAGGATTACCTAAAAGGTCAGTTGAATATTTTATAGGATTACCTAATAGGTCAGTTGGATATTGTGTCTGCTGAACTAAAAGCCCAGTTGAACATTGCATCGGATGACCTAATAGGTCAGTTGGATATTTTATAGGATGGCCTAAAAGGTCAGTTGTATATTTTATAGGATGACCTAAAAGGTCAGTTGAACATTGCATTTGATGAATGTCAGTTGAACATTGAATCTGATGAACTAAAAGCTCAGTTGAACATTGCATCGGATGACCTAATAGGTCAGTTGAACATTGTGTCAGACAGTACCAAACAAAAAGTAAAGTTTTTGCCTTCTTGTGCAGGTGAATGAGCTAAAGGAGATGTTTGATGAGCTGAGCACACGGCGAGCAGGTAAACACCGACTTTCAACCCTCCCCCCCTGGCTCTAGTAACTAAATCAACGAATCAGTATATCATATTACCAGATTAGTCTCAATCACTTTTGTTATCGCGTGTCGCTAGGTACAGTCACATTTATCTAACACAATATTTGTGTACGCCTGACAGGTACACCCGAATCTAGAGGCGCTGGTGTCTTGACGGGGTTCACAGCTTACCTGAAGTCCCCGCAAAGCGTCAAGTCTGAAACTGTTCTGGGCGACTACAAACACAAGCCTACATTTGGTAGCTACTTCACCGCATCCAGCGGCGTGTTCACTGCCCCAGTAGACGGGCTCTATCTGTTTTTCCTCTCCCTAAAGCAAGCCGGCCCAGGGAAAGTTCGGGCCCATTTGAAAATTTACCGGGAAGACGACACCGGGACGTTCGTGGTGTGTAAAGCGATGACCGCCGGGGACGGGTCTTCGACCTGTGGCCTGGGGGTGAGTCACATGGGGGCAGGGGATGTGGCGGCGGTTAGAATAGTGCACGTGGAAGGCGACCCCAAGCTGTCCCCCTACACGAGTTTCTCGGGGTGCCTCATAGGCCGAGGAACTTGAGTGGGATCTGCATGTCGCCCCCCCCCCTCCCCCCAAATTCCTATGTGTGCAACAAGACTGACTTACCTTTCTTGCTAGTCAATTAAACTAATCACTAAGTCACTTAAATCAAATAGTTATTACAATCGTTGGCAAGACTTTTATTGACACATTTTTTGTGTGCATGTATTGTTATTACTCTAGTCTTAGACCTAACCATGACTAACTAATCCTGACCCCAACCTGAGTCATAAACCCAATGGCTTTAACCCTAACCTGAACTAACTTATGCTCAAACTGGCGAAAAAAACATGATACGATACTTATAACTTATAACACGATATTGTCTTGCTGGGGACGGTAGAAATATCAGTTAAAACTAGATCTATTAATAACCATTTATAAACAGCATTATTATAATATTGATGACATTACCGTTTATGTTAATATTTATAACAAACTGTATTTATGAGAATGCCGACAATAAAGAATGTACTGTTTTTATATGTTAAAAAGATAAACATTCCTATTATTTGAAATGAAAATAGGATAATGGACACAATTTAACTTGAGAGAAACATTTTTGTAAATGCAGGAATCTTTAAAACCTGTCCATAAACATTTGTTATTATTGTTTAAATTCAAAGTGAGATGTGAGTTCTAGTCAACCACATAAAATAAAATCAAAATAGTTTGTGCTATAATTTATGCGTTGTAAGTTCATATATTTAGTCATGTTTTAATTGTGATTCTTTCCATGTGGCTGTTGTTTAATAAAAACAAATGGATACATAAAAGACATGATACAAATATATATGTTCATTTTTCGTTTCGTTTGTCAGGGTGTCATTGATAAAGGTGCATAGTGATTGAAATATTTGTTTACATACTGCTATCACTCATCTCTCTCATACATGGGCTACACACCGACCTTAACAACCGTTTTTAGCTGGGCAGATTGAAGCACGATCAGTGTTTCTTCCAGACTTTTTTCTCCGGGGGGGCACCTGAAATCTTCGGGGGGGCGGTAAACTTTCTTCGGGGGGGCGGACACTGTTAAAAGTATATATTTTCTATATAAATTATATAAATTTCATTTCGTTCGGGGGGGCGGTAAAAAATTTTCGGGGGGGCTTCGCCCCCCCGGAGAGATGCCTGGAAGAAACTCTGAGCACGATGAACAATCGAGTATGTTGCTAAACTCAGTAACCCATCAGACCAGCAGGCCCAATAGGGACCTCGAAAAATGAAGGAATTGTGTGGTCAGCAATATGTCCAGCAATCGCAAGGATCGTGGAATTCACATATATACTGGCCCGAGAACTAAACTTGATTATTTCCAAGTACCCCCCCCCCCCCAAATCACTTTCTGTTGTTATTATAAAGGTTTCACGATGAATATCTCAAGATTAATATATCATGAAAAATATCTCATGAAGAATATCTTATGATAAATATGACTAATATTTTAGGATAAATTTCGAATGATAATTACCTCAAGGGAAATATTTAGGATACATAAATCTAATGATAAATATCATATGATTAATATCTCACGACGTACTATTACGTTTAAACTCACCTCCGATGTGGACAATACTGCACATTTCTTAAACAAAACAAAAAGAAATTAAAACAACTCACGTGGGTGGCCTTCCTTGGAGCGCGAACTTTGAAAACTGTACAGACACCCTCTCGTTGGACCGGCCGATAAACTTGTACTTGCAGCTCACGTTGAGGGGGTAGTGGCTGGGGTACCCAGGGGAGTGGAACACGCCCTTTTTCTCCTGCAGGGTGTGGCTGGAGAACACCTTGTCACAGCCTGCCAGAATAGAAGAATTTCATTACTGTAACAGTGTGATAAAAGGCCTGCTCTAGCGAGAATAGAAGAATTTCATTACCGTAACAGTGTGATAAAAGGCCTGCTCTAGCCAGAATAGATGAATTTCATTCCAATAAAAATGTGATAATTATAGGCTTGCTCTGACAATTTAGACACATGTTGCGCATCTTTCTGGTCACCGTTAGATACGTACATGTTTACGACCATTGCTAAGTGACGACAGATATACATGTATCACCATGTTAGCCTATATGTATATATGTATATATGTATATATATATATATATATATATATATATATATATATATATATATATATGACTACATTATATTGATGTCTATACGTCTACAAACAAAGAAATCGTTGTCCTTCCCCCCCCCCCCCCACTTTTTTAACTGGACACATGTTTGGGTAAAGATTACGAGCGTTAAAAATTATTTTTGTAATAAAAAAAGCTGAAGCAAACAAGTTAGCTTTCACAAACTATAACTGACACTTCTAAATCAATGTATTTGTTTTTTCCCTTTCCAATTGCATTTGCATAATTATAAACCTTTCACATTTTTTTCCAAGCAATATTATTTTTATCCTCCACTAATTTATGTTTTATTAATTTACGATATGTTATTGAGCGGGTTACGACAACCTTCTAACAATCAAATAATATCAAATGCTAATCACAATCAGATAGATAAAGTTGATGACTTCCCGGACGTACACCTATAAGTCCCTCCATTAGCACCGTCATATAGAGTCATATAGCAATTTCATTTTATAGAGCTAGTGACATCATATTATAGAGTCGTATAGCAACATCATATAATAGAGCCAGTTAGTAACATTATATTATGGAGCTAGTTAGTAACATCATATTATAGAACCATTTAGTAGCATCATTTTCTTATGGAACAAAAGACAACAACCAATGGCCTACCACTCTACTTTTATTTTATTTTCAGGGAAACCATTTCTATTTTAAAATTCTTTGCCAACTATTTATTAAATATCCTCTGAGTAATTGTTGCACATAAAACACTTGATTTCCATCTCTGAATAAAAGTTCTAAAATGATACCCCCCCCCCCCCCCCCCAATTATATGTCGCCCCTCCCCCTAGTGAACGAGTGAGAAACAGACTGTGTCGATCAATATGTAATGGGATGCTTGGATTAGAAAAAAAATGAACTCAAGGGAAATAACTCAAAGTTATTTATTTTCTCGAATTTCATGCAGAGTTATCTCCCTCCCCATTTGATGCGTATACCGTCGTTCCACTTGAGCTGTCTCGATTCTACGGACTGGCGGGCAGCATATTACATCATGATTTGCTGCGTGGCGCCCATCTGATGTGGACGTGAGTCATCGCGATAATGGTCAGCTGTCTGGCAACGGCTAATGCACGGCATGACAGTCGGCTCACAGAAGTTGTGATGTAATTTGTGGCCCGTGACGTCATGCGATATCCAGGGATAATATATATATATATATATATATATATATGCATATATATATATATATATATATATATATATATATATATATATATATATATATGTGCAGATATATATGTGCATATATATATGCACATATATATATGCACATATATATATGCACATATATATATATATGCATATATATATATATATATATATATATATATATATATATATATATATATATATACTTATTCATATAAATACATATATAAGTTAGTATATGTATACGCAGAGAAATAAATGTGAGAAAGCAATTAAGTAAAGAGATCTATCAACAACAGCATCCTCTAGAATTAGACATAGAGACACAATTCATGTGAATACACTGGCAACATACGGTTAGATAATTGCTCATGTTGATTTGTGGACCTACACTATCTTAATCGACGCTAGTTAGCGTAGTAGTTATTTATTTAATTAAAAAAATACAGGTCTATTTCAATTTCAGAGAAGTTTTGAAATAGATTGAATTGGTAACTAATCATAGATTTTCTTTGGAATGCTGTTGTTTCGTCTGTTCACACATAGTTTAGTGGTACCGTAGTTACAAAATAATTGAAAACTTTTATTTGTATGAAACCAAGCTACACTAATTAATTACTTGTTACGTAGACATAAGTCATCTTAATTAGCGCACTCATTGTTTGATCATGTCTCAGATTTGTTTCAATCAATTTCATTCGATCAAACTGCTTAACAAAAGTAAGACACCATCTGATTGGATGATACAACTAAACACACGTAAGACGACAGCTGATTGGCTCTTACATCTAACCACAACTGAGTTGATCCTTGATTGGACTAAAGGACCGGGATTAAGATATCACGATACACCAAGTGACTGAAACCCGATCTTAAAAATGTAGACTTAGCTCTGAGCTAGGAGCTTTAGGTACAATGATACGAAAAAAAAGACATCTGGATTAATCCGCGTAGCTCTATCGAACACAAACACAAATGTTCGATCATTGATTTTTCCCCCCTCTCTCCCTCTTCATATAATCTTGCTTCGACGCCCAAGACGCCCCGGGGTGGGGGAGGGGGGGTATTTCCTTAAGTGTTGGGTTCCGGAGGATTCATAACACGTTTTTAAACGACAGTACCGCGGTCAATAGACAGTTTTTCTCCCCCTCCCCTGGGGACAGAGGGTTTGTATGGGCCCAACAATGCTTGTTTACACGGCCGGCGTGGGGGAATCTTGCTCATTAGTCGCTGGATCAAGGTCTGAATCTTGTCATAGACTTGGCAAGTTTTGGTCTTGTCATGTTCGGGCAAGTTTGGTCTCGGTAAGTTTTAGAGTAGTCAAGTTTCGGCCTTGGTAAGATTTAGAAGAGTCAAGTTTCAGCCTTGCCTATCTTTTACACTACAGCTCATGTAGTTTCTTTTCGATACGCAACCGTGTGTTAGTTACAGCAGAACAATGCCTGCTGTAGTAGATCTGGATCTACAAAACCACCATGTTTTTCTTGGTTGGATTTTGGACTACCTAAAGCTTCCCCCCTCCCCCCATGGGTCTGGAGGGGTTTGGCAGCATGGTAGTCCCGCTACTGATACGATTAGCCATGGCGAGGTTAGACTACTTGTTGACGGTCGGTAAGGTTGGGATTTAAAATATTCGTTACAGGCCGCTGTAGCTACACATTTTAAATTAAATATATCCTTCTAAAGTCGCTGTCGTCATGAAAATTATCTCCGGGGCTACAGCCCCCCCCCACCCCACTTCCTTAAAAACAACGCCCCCCTGACAACGTCACGTGACACAGTTTACCGTGCTCACCAAAACGAGACCGTTCTGCGACCGAGTCCCTGCTCACCCGGATGTACACGGTTCTTGAATTAATTTGAAACACGAACCGGCGCCGTGAAACACAGAGGTGGATTAACACGGAGCTACAACACGAACTATCGGGCACAGAAACAACAAACTCATTGTTTAGTGGGTTCCCTTGTTTTTAACACAGAAACAACAAACTCATTGTTTAGTGGGTTCCCTTGTTTTTAACACAGAAACAACAAACTCATTGTTTAGTGAGTTCCCTTGTTTTAAACACACAAACAACAAACTCATTGTTTAGTGGGTTCCCTTGTTTTTAACACAGAAACAACAAACTCATTGTTTAGTGGGTTCCCTTGTTTTTAACACAGAAACAACAAACTCATTGTTTAGTGGGTTCCCTTGTTTTAAACACACAAACAACAAACTCATTGTTTAGTGTGTTCCTTTGTTTTTAACACACAAAAAACAAAAACAACAAAAATCAATTTGGAAGAGATGAGTAAATCTATACAGCAAATTACATTTAGATTTAAAAAGTGGTATACATATACGTTATAGGAGATGGAAAAGTACAAATGAAAAAGTTTGAATTTCATCACGTGACCAGAGATTAGTGATGATGATTCCCCAGTGTGGCCTCGTTGCTGATTACGGTAGCTCAGATATTACCTGATGGTAGAGCCGGAATTGATTACTTTACAATAAAAAATTTACATTACATCCCCGGCATTGAAGGTTCAACTTACTAGAGTTACTGTCTAACTCTTCAACACACAAAGTTAAAAAACATGCACATTTAAAATGAGATTCTAACTCTCCAACAATCAAAGTTAAAATGGGATTCCAGGTCTTCAACATACAGTGTTAAGCTGTGATTCTAGCTCTTCAATATACAGAGCTAAACTATGATTCAAACTCTTCAATAAACAAAGTTAAATTGTGATTCTTACTCTTTAAAAACAGAGTAAAATTGAGATTCTAGCTCTTCAATATACAGAGGTAAACTGTGATTCTAGATCCATGCCATACTAAGTTAAACGGTCCTTAAAGCTCAAACCAAAGAAGTGAACCGGTCCATCTGGCCCTACAACATAAGAAGTTGAACGACCATCCAGCTATTCAACACATACCGCATATAGCGTCTTGTATCGGCCTTAATGCAGATTTAAATATTTAATTCTAGGAAACATTAAAGCACTCAATTTGTCCGACTTGGCTAATGCGAAGATTTATAATGCAAACTTGTCTTCCTCATACTCCGTTGGGGTTATAGCCCGTGGGTCACATGTTTTAGTCGGGGGGGGGGGGGGGTGTCTTAATAATGTTAAATCTACGGCAGCAGTTTTATCTTGTATGACATTGGTTGTAAAGGGACACAGAAGTTTCTAGAAAAATGAAATCCTAAAAGTGTATGTATAATCAGATGAGCGAGCTAAGCAAGGAGTTCTCTCAGCGGCGTAGTTGTAAAAAAAAAGTTTCTAAGTTGATTTAAGATATGAAGGAATTCATATTGACAGAGATAGTGTATATGTAGGTGAGAGATAAATACAAAAACAAAAAAAAAACCGTAAAGTTTCCGTTCAGACATGAAGTTTCAGGAGCAGTTAGAGTTTTTCAATTTCACTGATCTTGTAAATTTTCTCTCCGCGAATCGAGTCAGGTACGCGTAAGAACTGAGTGAGCTCAGAGTCATCCTAAGGCTTCCA